CCCGACGTCGTCGTCCTCGACGTCCTCGAAGCCCCACCACGCGACGACGACGTCGACGGGCAAGCCCCACCACCCGACGAGCTCGTCCTCGACGTCCTCGAAGCCGCACCACGCGACGACGACGACGACGACGGGCAAGCCCCACTACCCGACGCGCTCGTCCTCGACGTCGTCAAAGCCCCATCACGCGACGAGCACCACGTCGACCAAGTGGCACCACCCGTCGAGCTCGTCCTCCCCGTCGTCGAAGCCCCACAAGCCTTCGAGCACGACTCACAAGCCCTCGCCGCAGCCGACGTACCCGGCCTACCCGACCTGGCGCCGCGAGTGAAGCTGTGCGTCCTCCCTTCCTCTCGCTCTCTCTTCAAGGTCCGCGGCTCACTACGCTCTCTCTCCTCCGCAGCATCGCCACCGAAAAGCCCGTCGTTCACCGCCCTCGGGCGCCCTCCTTTGTAAGACACTCCTCTCGACCTTCGCCCTCGTCTGTCCCTCTTGGTTCCCCTCTTTCGTCTCTGTCTCCCCTTCGTTCCTGCAAAGAACCTGCCGTCTAGGCTCGTCGTCTCTTGCTGCCTCTCGAGAGAGCGATCAAGAGCGACATCGAGAGCGCCGTCGTCGAGAGCGACGCTGCGGCTCTTCCAAGTGACCTTCCGACGAGAGAGAGCTCGCGAGCTCGAGTCGCTTCCTCCCGCCCTTCCGCGCTCCCTCGAGCCGATTCTTGTCGGGTCCGTTGCGCAGTGCGTCTCGAGCGAGTCGCGGGAGGAGACCAGAAAGCGCAGAGAGAGCGTTCCCTGCTTTTTCCCTCGGCCGCTTCTCGCGCACGAGCCCCTCTCCGCGCTCGCTCGCTCGCTCGCTTTTCGAGCCGCTCGCCGCTCGCTTGCTCTCGACTATCTGAGCTCGCCGGCGTACGCACGTGCAAGCAGGGCACAGGGCAAGCTGCAGAGCGACACCCTACCTGTTCGCCGCTTCGTCCTCGCTTTTGCCGTCCGCCGCGGTCGCTGCCCGGTTCTCCACGCTCCTCGCCCTCCCGAGTCTTGGTGCGGTACTCGTACTGCGCTGCTTCGGCTCGCCGGCTTGGCGCGAGCTGCTAGTCGCGCTGACTCGGTTCTGCCTCTCGCCGCGCTGGAAAGCTGCGCGCTGCGAAAGGCGGCCTTCTCAGACTCGGCTCCGCATTTCAGCTCGCGCGGTTCTCTATGTCGACGGCTCAAGGTACACAGCGCCCACGGCGCAGCAGACTCGCTGCGACGGGACCGTGGCAGGAGGAGAAAAGCGGACCGTCGCTTTGCTTTCTCTCCCCCTTCCTCCCTTTCTTCCCCCTCGAGCACCGCCCGCCACGCATTTGCAGAATTGAGCATGGGTCTCATTCACCAAATCGAGGAAAAGGTCATGCAGCACGACGCCAAGAAGCACCACCAGAAGTGCGTCGTGTCGTTCCTCCCTCGTCCTCTTCCCGTCGAGGCTGACGTGTTCGGTCCGTTGGCGTCGCAGCGGCCCTGCATCGCAGCAGCAGGGAGCCTACAGCGGCAATGGCGGCTTCGGCGGCGCGCTGCAGCAGAACTACGGCGGGCTGGGCGGCGAGGGCGGCTTTGGCGGTCCGAGCGGGTTCGGGTGGGCCCTTTCGACTGCCTGAACGAGCCCTCGCGCCTAGGCTCACGCTTGCGTTCGTCTCGCAGTGGCGCTATTGGGCGGTCCCTGGAGGACCTGGCGGTTACGCCGGAGGTCAGGGAGGCCCCGGGCGGCTTTTTACAAGGGGCCGCAGCACGGCGGTCACGGCCATGGTGGGCCTCACAGCGGTGGCCCAGGTGGCCCGGGCGGTCTCTCGGGACAAGGCGGCTTCGGTGGCGGCCCTGGGGGCGGGCCTGGTGGACCTGGAGGTCCAGGGGGCCGGTGGTGAGCTGCGAGCGCGCGTACTTCCCCAGGCAATTGTGTCCCTTTCCTCAGTCTCTCGGTCTTTGATATCTCTCTCGCAAAACGACTGTGAACATCATTCGCCCCTCGCTGTACTGTGAGCAAGCTACTGAGAGAGAGAGACCTCGGGCTTTGACGTTTGGTCGAAAGTCGAAGGCATCGACACCGGGGGAGGCGATCGACGAAGGTGCGCACGGCCCTAGTCCGGCGCGGGAGCGGTCCCAGCTGCAGCTCGCTCCGGCTTGAGCAGCCTCGCGCGTGCAGCTGCGAAGCGCGTCGGGCAGCCTCTCGACCGTGCCGCCGCCGTCGCCGCGCACCGCGTTTGCCCCCACTGCCTGCCCCCGCCTGCCTCGGCCGCCTCTCGCCGAGCTTCCGTTGGCTGCGTCAGCCCCGAGCTATGGTTGATCTGCTACCGCTCACACGAACGAGCATGGGACCCATCGACGCTGTGAAGAAGCATGTGCTGCGGCGACAGCACGAGGAGCCGGGCGAGCGGGAGGAGGGTCAGTGCGTCCGCCTCTCGCTTCTCTGAGCCGCGGCACCTCACTTACCTGCACGGGCACCTCGCGCAGACATTCGACGCTTCCGCCTGCGGGCAAGCAGGGTCCTCCCGACCCGCACTTCCAGGGTCCGGGCGGCCCTGAGTTTCCCGGCAACGGCGGCAAGGCGTGCGTCTCTCGCTCTCTTTCTCTCTGGCCGCGAGAAACGACGCGAGACTGACGGGCGAGTGCACACCCGTGTCTGACACAGCGAGTACGAGCGAGTCGGGTGGCAAGCGGCGGGAGCACCGGCAGCGACGGCGGCGGACGGTAAAGGCGAGGACAAAGCGGCGAACAGGTAGGGTGTCGCTCTGCAGCTTGCCCCTGTGCCTGCTTGCACGTGCGTACGCGGGCGAGCTCAGATAGTCGAGAGCAAGCGAGCGGCGAGCGGCTCGAAAAGCGAGCGAGCCGAGCGAGCGCGGAGAGGGGCTCGTGCGCGAGAAGCGGCCGAGGGAAAAAGCAGGGAACGCTCTCTCTGCGCTTTCTGGTCTCCTCCCGCGACTCGCTCGAGACGCACTGCGCAACGGACCCGACAAGAATCGGCTCGAGGGAGCGCGGAAGGGCGGGAGGAAGCGACTCGAGCTCGCGAGCTCTCTCTCGTCGGAAGGTCACTTGGAAGAGCCGCAGCGTCGCTCTCGACGACGGCGCTCTCGATGTCGCTCTTGATCGCTCTCTCGAGAGGCAGCAAGAGACGACGAGCCTAGACGGCAGGTTCTTTGCAGGAACGAAGGGGAGACAGAGACGAAAGAGGGGAACCAAGAGGGACAGACGAGGGCGAAGGTCGAGAGGAGTGTCTTACAAAGGAGGGCGCCCGAGGGCGGTGAACGACGGGCTTTTCGGTGGCGATGCTGCGGAGGAGAGAGAGCGTAGTGAGCCGCGGACCTTGAAGAGAGAGCGAGAGGAAGGGAGGACGCACAGCTTCACTCGCGGCGCCAGGTCGGGTAGGCCGGGTACGTCGGCTGCGGCGAGGGCTTGTGAGTCGTGCTCGAAGGCTTGTGGGGCTTCGACGACGGGGAGGACGAGCTCGACGGGTGGTGCCACTTGGTCGACGTGGTGCTCGTCGCGTGATGGGGCTTTGACGACGTCGAGGACGAGCGCGTCGGGTAGTGGGGCTTGCCCGTCGTCGTCGTCGTCGTCGCGTGGTGCGACTTGCGGACGTCGAGGACGAGCTCGTCGGGTGGTGGGGCTTGCCCGTCGACGTCGTCGTCGCGTGGTGGGGCTTCGAGGACGTCGAGGACGACGACGTCGGGTGGTGGGGCTTGCCCGTCGACGTCGTCGTCGCGTGGTGGGGCTTCGAGGACGTCGAGGACGACGACGTCGGGTGGTGGGGCTTGCCCGTCGACGTCGTCGTCGCGTGGTGGGGCTTCGAGGACGTCGAGGACGACGACGTCGCGTGGTGGGGCTTGCCCGTCGACGTGCTCGTCGCGTGGTGCGACTTGCTCGAGCTCGACGGGTAGTGCGATGGGTGGTGCGACTTGGTCGACGACGACGGGTAGTGGTGCGACTTGGTCGACGACGACGGGTAGTGCGACACGGTCGACGACGGGTAGTGCGACACGGTCGACGACGACGAGGTGCCGCCGCGGACGCAGCGCTTGAGCGGCGACCACTTGTCCTTGCGCGCGCAGACGTAGCCCTTGGGGCCTGCACCGAGAGGACGGCGAGAGTGTCAATCGACGACTCGAGAGGAGAGACGTCTCGATAGGAAGAGAGAGACGAGGACGTACAGGCCTTCTCGCCCTTGCCAGACGCGGTGCCGCAGGTGCCCCAAGGCTTGGCCGTGTCGACGTGCACGGGCTTGCAGCGCTTGACGAACGGCGACAGGCTGACCGTCTTGCACTGGAAGCCGTCGTAGCCTGTGACGAGGGGGGAAAGGAGAGAGTCAGTCAGTGCCCGAGTCTCGCTCGACGACGACGACGAAGAGAGGGAGAAGAGAGGGACGCACAGTCGCGCTCGTGCTTGAAGCCCTTGGCGTAGCAGACGTCGAACGCGCCCGCAGGCTTGCCGCCGCCGTGACCGCCGTCGCCGTGACCGCCGCCGCCGAACCTCGAGGCCGACATGGTCGAGTCGTCGTCGGCGGCGGCCGGGTGAGGCGCGCCGACGACGAGAGAGACGACGAGCGCCGAGAGGGCGAAAGTCGTCAGGCGCATAGTGTAGAGAGTCGAGCGAGAGAGAGGACGAGGAAGGGATTGGCGAGAGAGAGGAGGAAAGGAGGGTGCGTGAGGAAGGGAAGAGAGAGAGAGCGAGAGGGCGGCGCGCGGAGCGAGCCAGGCCAGCCCCACGCTCGGTGGGTCCCAGGACCAAGCTCACGGTACGAGCCCGACGCTGGCGAGCCCGTCCCCCCAACCCCTCGTAGCGCTCGAGCATCGCCGCACGACGGCCTGTCGAGCGAGGCCGCCGCCGCGCGAGCAGGCCCTTGAGGCTCAGAGGCGCGTCCTGCCGCAGCCTGACACGTCCAGGTGCCCTCGAGCGCGAGAGCTGCACCCGAAGCGCCTGTGCGAGGGACAGGAGAGCCGCCGCACACCGTTTCGCGGACGTCGCGCGAAGCGGGGTTTCCGACGAGACGGCGCAGCGAGACGGCCGCGCAGCGGGATCCACCGCTCACGAACGGGTGCAACGGCCGTCTGAACGCAAGCACATGCGGTTCCGTGCGCGAGCAATGGTCGAGGACGCGAGGGGGGAAGAGAAGAGGACGCCCTGGAACGCAGCAGACGTCGACGGACGGGACCCGCACGCTCGCCACGGTCGTTCATCTTCGGGGTCGGGGAACTGGTAGATGAAGCAGCACTGCGAACGAGAGCGACGGTTCAGCTTGCGAGGTCACGGCGGCGGCAAGAGAAGGAGAAGCGCGAAGACTCACGAGCATGACCCGAGAACAGACCGAGTAGCCTGTGGCCGAATAGAACGACTCGTGCCAGGCGGTCGTGGCGCATGCCCGTGCAGTTGCGAGGCTGCTGGACGAGTGAACAGGCGGGGCGAGGTCGGCGGAGCAGGCGAGGCGACGGGGGCTTGGGCGAGCGATGAAGGAGGTGGGAGGTACCGTAGCAGGCCTCGCGATGCTGCTGAGCTGTCCAGCGTGGCACAGCGTGGCAGTGGGAAGCCGCGCTCGAGCTGCAGCTGATGAGGACGAGCGAGAGGAGGGTGCGGGAGACACGCCCTCACCACTACGAGCAGAGCACACGAACGGGCAGTGTGGGCGCAGGTGCGATGCAGAAGCTCTGTCCAGCACATTGTGCGCGAGCGACCGCCCTTCCAAGCCCTCCAGCCGCCGTTCACCTCTTCCTCGAGCTGCCGCGCTGGCTCGACTCGTCTCGAGGGCAGCGGGGGCTCGAGGGAGGCTGCGGTCAGGTCCACTAGGTCCAGAGCCATCGTCTGCTCGTCGGCGCGCGACCGAATGCCGAGCTTGCTCCAAGGTATTCGGTCCATCTCCAGCGCCGCCGGGTCGGCTCCCTCTTTCCTCCTCGTCCGCCTACTTGTTCTCGCCAGCTGGTCTGGCTGCACCTTCATCCGCAAGCCTACAAGTCGCTCTCCCGACTGGCTCACGCCGTTGCGCGCCGCGACCTCTCTTCGTCGCCGTCGACCGCCCGCAAAGGTCGCTCAACTCGCCGACTCGCCGCCACTGCAACCCCGAGCTGGTCTCACGGTCCACCAAGGTCGACACGATGCGCATCTGGGATTGCGTCAAGCACGAGTTGAGCGGGCGCCGCCTCGTGTGGAACCTCTTGTGCGTGCCTCGCCTTCTTCCCTTTGCCCTGTCGCGCATTCTCGCACTGACAGACTGCCTCGAGCACTGCGCAGCTTCTACGTCGGGCACCTCCTCATCTTCGCGTACGGCTGGTTCAAGCAGGCCAACGATGCGCGCCTCGCCGGCCTCAACTCGCTCCAGTACAGCGTGTCGATCTCGCGCGGCGCCGGTCTCTGCCTCGGCGTCGACGGCCTCCTCATCGTCCTGCCCGGTGCGCCCAGCTCTTCGACCGTCTCGCGACGAGGAACTGACTATGCTCGACCGCCCGCAGTCCTCCGCAACTGCATCCGCATCGTGCGCCCGCTCGTCAGCTGGGCGATCCCGCTCGACGAGAACTTGTGGTGCCACCGCCAGTTCGCCTACTCACTCCTCTTCTGGACCGTCGTGCACACGACCGCCCATTGTGCGCCCCACTCTGTCTTAGCCCCTGCCGTCGTGCAGCCTGACTGACCCTTGTCCCCCCTCCTCCCCCTTCCTCCCTCTTGTCCAGACGTTAACATGATCAACGTCGAGCGCACCCAGATCCGCAAAGAGACGGCCTGGGCCATCCTCTTCACGCAGCCAGGCGGCTTCACGGGCCACGTCATGCTCCTCCTCATGCTCGTCATCTTTACAACGGCGCACCACAAGATCCGCGCCCAGTCGTACGAGGCCTTCTGGTTCACGCACCACCTCGTGCGTCCCCCATCTCCCTGTGATGTTCTCCTGCGACGGCGCTGACGCGTCGACCGCCCACAGGTCGTCCTCCTGCTCCTTGGCCTGTACGTCCACGCAGGTGAGCCACCCGCTCTCTTTTTCCCTCGTCTGGCGGGAGCAGACCTGACGAGCATCCTCGACCTGCGCACAGTCGGCTGCTTTGTCCGTGGCGCGCTCCCGGGCCAGCAAGTGCGCTGCCTCGGCTACAACTCGTGGATGTGGACCATCTGGGGAGGTGTCGCTCTGGTCGTCGAGCGCGTCACTCGCGAGGTGCGCTCCGGCTCTCTCCTCGTCTCCCTCGTGAAAGGCTATTGATCTCCTGCCGCCACAGATTCGTGCCCGTCGCCGCACCCTCCTCATCGGCGTCCTCCTCCACCCGCAAGGCGCCATCGAGCTCCGGTTCGTCAAGCCGTCGTTCAGCTACAAGGCCGGCCAGTGGCTCTACCTCAACGTGCCCGAGCTGTCACGCTTCCAGTGGCACCCGTTCACCATCTCGTCGGCGCCCGACGACCCGTACATCTCGGTGCACATCCGCCAGGTCGGCGACTGGACCCAGTGCGACCCGCCTCGTCCTCTTCTCCTTCCACCCGCCGCAACCTGACACCCCTCTCCCACAGGGCCCTCGGCGCTCGTCTCGGCTGCACCCCGTACGCCGCCGCCTCGCTCTCGGCGTCGGGCAAGAGCCGGACGAGCTTCTTCCCCGTCGCGCTCGACGACAAGGTGGGCGCCGAGCAGAACGCGGCGAGCGACTTCTATGACGTGACGCTGGCGGCGCTCCTGGCCGGCGGCGAGCTCCCCGTCATCCGTGTCGACGGGCCGTACGGCGCGCCGGCGCAGGACGTCTTCAAGGCCGAGGGTGCGCACGAGCCCCCTCACTCTCGTTCGAGCCTCTCGAGCGCGGCACTCACCTCTCTTTCTCTCTCTCTCGTGCCCGTCACAGTCGCGATCCTCATCGGAGCCGGCATCGGCGTCACGCCGTTCGCTGCGGTCCTCAAGAATATCTGGTGCGTCTTTCGTCCCTCTCTCGCTCTCAGGCCGCCCGGGAAGCTCACGCCGGCCGTCGTCGCCGCCGCGCAGGTACATGGAGCAGCAGCACAAGCTCGGCGCCCTGCGTCGCGTCATGCTCGTCTGGATCGTGCGCGACACGAGCAACATGGCCTGGTTCGCGTCGCTCCTTCGCCAGCTCGAGCAGGTGCGTCCTCCTCTCCCTCTCCTCCTCCTCATCTTGCGCAAACTGACACGTCCTCACTCGACAGGCCCAGACCGACCCCGACTTTCTCTCGATCCGCCTGTACCTGACGCAGCGCGTCTCGCCCTCGATGCTCACCAACCTCGCCGTGCACGCGCACTCGCACTCGGGCGACCTCGACCCGGCCGACCCAGCCGGCGACGCCATCACGGGGCTCGCGGCGCCGACGCACTTTGGGCGACCCGACTTTGGCGCGCTCCTGCGCGGCGTCGGCGAGGGCGTCGAGCGCGGCACGTTCCTGCCCGGGAGGGAGAGCTCGCTCGAGACGACCGTCGGCGGTGCGTCCCCTCCTTCTCTCTCTCTCTCTCTCTCTCTTCCCGTTCCTCCCCTCTCTTTCCGAGACTGACGAGCGGGCACGCACGCGCGCAGTGTTCTACTGCGGGCCGGACGGGCTCGCCAAGGAGCTCAAGGGCCACACGCAGCGCGCGGGCCGCAAGGGCGTTAGGTTCACGTTCCGCAAGGAGCACTTTGTGCGTCTCTCTCCTCTCTCTCCGCTCTCTCTCTCTCTCTCTCTCTCTCTCTCTTTCGTGCGCCTCTAGGGGCGTCGTGCAGAGCGATGGACTGACGAGTGCTCGCCCGCAGTGAGCGGCGCGCCGGCGCGCCCTCCTCCATTCCTTCTCCCTCTCCCTCTCCCTCTCCTTTCGCCTCCCTCTCTCGCCCTTCTTCGTCTTTCTCTCGTCCACCACTTTCCGCCGTGCCCTTCCTCCTTGCGCGCGCGCCAACTCGGCGACTGCGCTCCCGCTTGATCTAGTCGCGCTGCAACGCCGCGAGCTTTTCCTTTTCTTGTGCCCCTCTCTCGCTCTCCACGAGAGGTGCACGAGAGCGGTCTCTCTCGAGGGCAGAGCGGGAAAGGAAAGACAGAAACGACCGTGCGACTCTCGAGGAACAGGGAGAGGAAAGAGGGAAACGCGCGTTGCACAGACTCGCGCGCGCCGCGTCAACCCAAGGCCGAGTAGCCGCTCCTGCTCCCTCCACGACCTGTGCAACACGGATCCCGTCGAAGAATCAGCTCGCGCTCTGGGTGCGGCAGGGCACGAGGCGATGCAGAGAGACGGGGTGCGCACCTTTGAAGAGGTCCGAGATGACGAAAGGGAGGTCGCGCCACACGTCGCGGTTCGGGATCATGTCTGCGGGCGCAGGGAGTCAGTGCGCTTCCGAGAGGAGTGCGAGAGGCCGACCGAGAGGCCGAGAGAGAGAGAGAGGAACGCGAGGGACGCACCCCAGCCGGTCGCGCCGTACGTCGAGTAGTTGTGGTACGCGCCGAGGGCAAAGTAGGCGACGAGGGCGACGAACAGGAGCGTAAAGAACCACCCGAAGAAGCCGAGGCTGCGGCTGTGCCCGACTGGGTCGCGGTCCGGCTCGCGGTCGCCCTCCTTGCCCTTGTCCTGGTCGTTGTCGCCCGCCGGAGGATCGGGCGACGGAGGAGGAGGAGCGTCGCCGCTCGTCGGGCACGCGGCAAACGTGCGCCACGTGAGGTACAGGATGCCGCCGCCGGCATCGTACTCGTCGACGGTCGGGGCCGTCTCCCTCGCGCCCTCGTCGCACACCATGTCGATGCGCGCCTTCTGCCCGACGCCGTTGTACGTCCCGCCGCCCATCTCGAGCACCCACCTCTCGTCGGGCTTGTGCCCCTCTTTCTCCTCTGCGCGCGGGTTGAGCGCGCTCCCGCCGGCGGCACCTTCGAGGTCACCGGCGACGGGCACGACCGACAGGAGGCGGTCGTCGTAGCCGTGGCGGGTCGAGAAGGCGCGCATGCACAGGCGCGTGCCGTGCGGGCAGTCGTCGTCGGGTGCGGACGCAGGCGGGTCGGGGAGGGCGTCGCACAGCGACAGGGCGTAGCGGTTCTGCGTAGGGTGCGGGAGGCCTGAGTGAGCGACGAGGTCTGATGCGGCGGGTGGGGGAGGAGGAGGAGGAGGGGGCGCACCTTGAGGACGGTGGGCGGGGTCTGCGACTCGATCTCCCACTCTTCTCGGCCCTTGACCTGGTGCGCATGGACGAGTTGAGCGGGTCAGAAAGGGTTGACGAGGGTGCGAGGAGGAAGGACGGGGGGCGCACCTGGTTGAGGTCGAACCGAAGCGAGCCGAGCTGGAGGGTGCAGTCCCACGCGGCGAGGGCGGCCGTGGCACCGCTCAGGAGTGCTGCTCCCTGGAGCAACCGAGTGCGCGGGGTCATTGGTCGTGGTGGTGGTGATGTGGGAGATGAGGATGAGGCGGAGAACCGCAGCGATGATGAGCGGGAAAAGGCGCGACTTCCGCCCCCGTCGCTCGACGAGAGCTGCGGCTTGGCTGGGCTGTGCGGTACAGGCTACCGAGACTATCGTACACCCGGCCAGATTTACCCAGGGCGAGCAAGCCAATGCACCTCTCGCTCGCCTCTCGTCCCGGACCCCGTCTCCTCCCCCGCAAACGCTCTCTCGCCGCTCGCCTGGGTGCTGCCGCCCTAGCCTGCCACCACCGCAGCCACACAAGAGCCACAGCCGCACCGCACCCGCGCCCGTCACCCGCAGCCTCGAGAAACCCGCGGCCCCGTCGTTCAAGGACCCGGCATCTGGTTCGTCTCGAGCCGGCGGTCTCAAGGGGCGACGACGACAGCCACGGCGAGCGAGCGGGGACACGAACGTGTGCGTCCCCTGTCGGTCCATTGTCGTCGACGACCGCTGACCGCACAGCTCGCCGTCGCAGCCACCACCACCGCGCCGTCCATGTTCCCCCACTACGCCGGAGGAGCGGGCCTCCCTCTGTTCCCGTACCCTGCACCGCCGCCGCACCACCAGCACCAGCACCAGCACCAGCCTACGTTCGACCCCAACCAGCACCCGTACCCGTATCCGTTCCCGTTCAACCCGCAACCCTCGCCGCACACCCCCTCGATCGACGTCGTCCTCCAGGGCGCGACCCCGTCCACCGCCCAGTCGACGCCCGACGACCGCCCCTCGGCCTCGGACTCGCACCCTGACTCGCACCACGCCGAGCAGTCGGCGTCGCCGAGCTCGCCCCAACAACAAGGTGACGCCTCGACCTCGACCTCGACCGCCGCCGCACCGGGGGCCAAGAAGCCCCGACCGCGACCGCAGCAGCGCGAGCCGTCGTGGCAGCCCCCGCCGCCGCCTCCACCGCTCGACGACCCGGTCGCGCTCCTCGCGCGGTCCCACGCCGGCCTCACGACGCTCCTCAACCAGGGCAACCTCGACGCGCGCCCGTCGCGCCAGGGCCCCGGCTCGGCGCCGCGCAGCGGCGCGTGCACTGGGTGCAGGACGGCCAAGGCCAAGTGCAGCCAGGACGAGCCCCAGTGCACGAGGTGCCTCGCGCTCAAGGCCGACTGCGTGTACCCGCTGTTCAACAAGCGCGGCCGCAAGCGCACCATGACGCCGTGCGTCCTCCTCCTCTTGTTTCCCTCTTTCCCTCGTCCAGGCCGCTCTCGAGGACTGACCCTCGCTCAACACACACACAGGAACCTCATGATGCTCGAGAACTGCCACCGCGACGTCGAGGTGGCGCTCGCCCTCCTCACCCGCGCCTCGTCCGACGCCAACGCGCACGCGTCGTCGTCCGCCTCGCGCACCGCCACCACCACCGCCTCGGGTCCACCTCGTCTCGGCCTTCCCGCCACATCCGCCTCGTCGTCGTCGTCTCGCCTGCAGCACCAGCAGCAGCCCGGCGGCGGCGGCGGCGGCGTCCCCTCGTCCGCCTCGTCGTCCAACGGCGGCCTGACGGACCCGACCGAGGACGACGACGCCGATGCGCGCGAGCTCAAGAGCGTCATCGAGAGCCCGCTCGCCGTCCTCGCTCACATCTCGAGCCTCAAGGTGAGCGAGAGCACCGAGGAGGAGAGCGGAAAGACGTTCTTGCCCAAGGGCAAGCAGGAGCAGGGCGCGGCGGCCGAGGGCTACTTTGCGACCGGTGCGTCCTCTTTCTCTCTCTCTCGCGCGCGCCTCGAGAAGGCGCTCTCTGACCCTGGGTCTGCCCGCCTACAGGCCTGTACCAGCTACGGTCGGACGCCGACCCGGCGTACGACCCGGTCCTGCTCGGCATCCTCAACGCGCCCGAGTTCGAGCGCGTCGTCAACTAGTGCGTCCTCGCGCTCTCTCCCTTCCCCGTCACGCCCCGACGACTGACACTCGAACTCGCGCGGCGCAGCTACTTCACGCACCTGCGGCCCTTTTTCTTCCACCTCTCGCCCGAGCTCCACACGCCCCAGTTCCTGCGCCACACGTCGCCCTTTCTCAGCTCGACGCTCGCCTACCTGTGCGCGTGCTACATGCCCGAGCTGCACGACCGCGTCCAGCCGCTGCACGACCACACGCTGCGCCTGTCGGACCGCGTGTGGAGCGAGGGCCTCAAGAGCCTCGAGATCGTCCAGGCGTACCTCCTCCTCATTCACTGGACCCCGATCGAGAACGACTGGGGCGACGACCGCCGCTGGGGCTGGCTCGGGCAAGCTCTGTGCGTCCTCCCCCCCTCCCTCTCCCTCTCCCCGTCTTGCGTCGCCCGAGTTCGAGCCGGCAAACTGACACGTCTCGTCGGAACAGCCGCATCGCGACCGAGATCAAGCTGCACAAGACGATCAACACGGCGACGTACGACTTTTACCGCTCGGTGACGCCGCTCGGCGAGGGCGCCTACTCGCTCTTGGCCGACGCCCGCGCGTGGAGCTGGAAGCTCCTCTTCGTCGCCGAGATTGCGTGCGTCCCACCACGCTCTCTCCCTCCCTCCCTCCCTCTGGCCCCTGCCTCGAGCACGTACTGACGCCCTCGTCCCTCGCAGGCTGTGCGTCTCGACGGGCCGCCTTGGGTCGGTCCACACGCTGCCGCTGTCGACGCCCGGCGCGCCGCTCCCGACCAACCTGCAGCCGTCCGACGCGTACTACGACGTCGCGGCCCTCGTCGCCCTCAACCGCATCTACGTGCGTCCCCCGGCCCCCCCTCCCCTTGTCCTTTCCTCCTCGTCCGAGCCAGAGCAGGAGAACCGTGCACTGACTCGAGAGTTGGGGGGACGGACCCGCCCGCAGGCCAAGGCGATTACGCACTCGAACGCGCTGCAGGACCACGAGGAGGGGCACGAGTCGCGCCTCAGGCCCGAGTTCCAGAAGGCGTGGCAGCGCGACATTCTGGCATGGCGCGCCGCATGGCCCGGCATCGGTGCGTCGTCGTCGCCCGTCGTCGCTCCTCTCGTCGCCAGACCGTGACTGACTCGGCCCTCTCTCCCTTCCTTTCCTTCCTTCCGGCGACCAGGTCCCCTCATCCGCCTCATCGCGCAGCACAACACGACGATCCTGACGTCCATCTCGCTGCGGTTCAAGGGCCCGATCGCGCCCGTCCTCGACGAGTGCCGCCTCTCGGCGCGCGAGACGGCAAAGATGGCCGTCAACTGGCAGGGCGACGGCATCCTGTGGATCAGCAATATCCTCATCGTCAACATTGCGTGCGTCCATCGACCTTTTCTCTCTCCCCTTGGTCTCGGTCGGTCAGGGACGGGCACTGACTCTCTCTCTCTTTCCTCGACGACAGGTACGCTGCGACGCTCCTCCTGCGAGTGCGCTCCTCCTTCCTCGACACTCTTCGTCCGACTCGGGACCTGACTCGTTGTCGCCGTGCAGCTCGCCGCCGCCAAGCCTGGCCCGATCGACCACGAGACCAAGATGCTGTGCGCCGCCGTCGCCGACGTCCTCCTTCGAGTCGGCGCCATGAGGCCCACGTGGTCCGTCCGCTCGTTCCCCTCTCTCCTCCATCGGGCCCTCGACTCACCCTCGTGCGCCTCACAGCCGGACCCTCGCCACCCTGCACGGCACCCGCATCCGCACGCTCCTCCTCGCCGACCTTCCCAAGCACTCGGCGTCGACGCCGTCTGGCGCCCTCGTCACCTCGCCCTCGTCGTCGACGTCAACCTTGCCACCTGTAGGGCACACCTCGCCGTACCCGGCCTTCTCGCCGACGTCAGCATCCCTCCTCCTTCCGACCCAGGCCCTCCTCCAGGCGCAAGAAGCCGCCGCCGCCGGGCTCGCGCCGCCCGTCTTTCCCTCGACGCCCTCTGCCGCGCCAGGCGCCGCCGACAACGCCGCCGACAACGCCGCCGCCGCCGCACGAGGCCCCAACGTGTTCAACCTCGCGCCGGCCGACTCGCACGCGCTGTGGAACCTGTTCCACGAGGCGCCGGCCGTGTCGCTGCCGCTCCCGGCGAGCGCGACCATGCAGAGCACGTTGCAGCCGGGCACGGTCGACGCGACGACGGGCACGTTCAGGCCCGACGACTGGGTGTACAAGAGCGCGCTCGACCAGGACTGGCTCAGCTCGGAACCTGGTGCGTCCCCGCGCCCCCCTTTCTCTCTCTCGTGCGTCGCCTTGAGCGCATCGTGCTCACCACTCTTGTCCTTTCTCGCACACAGGTGCGTGGGCATGGTGACGGGCTTGTCGTCGTATTGGCGAGCAGTGCAACCGCAGTCCTTTTCGCAGCTGGCAGTCGCTTGCGAGAGGCTTGACCGCGAGAAGCTCGACCGCGAAATGTGTCGTCTCGAGCCCGCCCCTCGATAGAGTCATCCCTGTGCTTCGTCTCGATCGACTGAGAGCACGCTTGCTCCGCTCGCGAGATGGTGCCGAGGTCTGTGAGCGGACGAACAGGCGGCTCGGCTTGAGAAGGTCAACTCGCTCTTCTCGGCAGCTCGTTCTCGCCAACATCTCGCTCTGTGGGCTTCCTTTGCTCAAGCAGAGCAAAAGAGAGTGCAAACGGTGCCCACAGCCAGCGAAAGCCTCGTCTCGAGGTCGGGAAGCCTCCCTTGTCCTCGTCTTCCAGACCGGCAAAAAGTAATTTGCACTTGCGGTGCTGCGCTTGCTCAGTGGCGGGATCGAACCGCCGACATTGGACTTGTTACGCAAGAGGTATTAGGTCCACATCATAACCAACTAGATCAACCGAGCTGTTGTTGAAGAATCCGCGCCGTCGAGCATCTACAATGTACCCGCGCTTTTTCTGCTAAGATTTCTCGTCCCCCTGAAGAGCCAGGCTCTCCCTGCACTTGCATCGAGTCGCACAGTAAGTAGCGACAGGAAATGGAGCGAGGAATGCGAAGATGTGAGGTCGAGAAGGAGAGGAGGCTCGTGCGTCGCCTCGGCGCGGCCCTGCTGTTCCTCGCCTCGTTCTCTCGATGGCGGTCTCGCGGTCGGAGGCACCGGACCATGACGATTTGCCGAGCCGTACGGCAGCTCGCCGCGGTAGACGAGGCGAATGAAGCGAGCGAGGGGTCAGAGAAGGTCTACGACGAGGCTCGAGCGCCGCGCCTGCAGCGCCAGCTCCTTTCCCCTCTCGCTGACGGTCTCTCGTTCTCGCGCAGCCGCCCACGACGTTCGGCCGAGTCCCTGTGCGACTCGCGGCCAAAGAGGAGGCGCACAGAGTAAGCAGCTTATTCGAGACGGTCGACGAAGAGGCTCGTGCGTTGCTCCGGTCTCGCTGCGTCTCGTCGGTGCCGCTCACCCTGGCCTCTCGCTCTCGCGCGAGTACAAACATCCTGCTTGTCGTCTGCTCGTCCCATGACTCGCGATCGAGCGGGACGAGCGCGCACACGCAGACGGCGGCCCACTTCTCTCGCCGAGTCTTTCCGGCTCCCTCTCGCTCGTGCTCCGCAATCGGCGCTCTCTCTTGCTCAGGACTCTCTCACCTCGCCCACGCCCTGCCGAAGCTTGTGCGACGACCCAAGCATCGTTGCACACTCGTCGCCCCTCGACACCTTTCAGTCGACCCGGATCCTCGTACTGCGGACGAGCGAGGGCGGCCAGTCAGTCACTTTGTCGCGCACGCCCAGCCTCCCGAGAAGAAGAGAGAGAGAGAGAGAGAGAGCTCGCGCCCGGGACGCACTAAATGACGCGGAGGAACGCAAAAGTCGCGACGAACCCGATGGTGCCCGTCACGATGCCGCTCAGGGCGCTGACGAGGGCGAGGTACCCGAGGTAGAGGACCTTGTTTGCGAACCCGGGGAGGTGGAGCTTTGACGCCCAGTAGAGGAGGCCGTACAGGAAGATGTAGACGGACGAGCCGGCGCCGGCGAGGAACGAGCGCCAGTGCCACCTGTCGGGGAGAGAGGGAAGAGGGCGAGAGGCGAGAGGCGAGGGGGGCGAGGCGACGCGAGGCGAGGCCGGAGTGACGAACGAGGCGAGGAGGGGCGCGAGGGCGGGAGAAAAGGGAAGGTGGAAGGGCGAGAGGCAAGGAGAGGTGCGAGGGAGGGAAGGCAAAGAAAGTCAGGGAGGTCCACGGAATTGAGAGGAGGGGCGCAGAGAGAGAGAGAGAGAGAGAGAGACAGCCACGCCGACTGACCGATAGTCCTCGGCGCACAGGTGAAAGTAGGCAAACAGGACCGTCGTGAGGGCGGCCGTCAAGCCGACGAGCGCGCTCGCGAGGCACAGGAACCCGAACGCGTAGTAGGCCTTTGCCCCGAAGATGGCGCGAGCGATCTGCGAGATCTCGATAAAGCCGGCGCCTAGGAGGAGGACGAGGGAGGGGAAGGGGGAGAAGGGAAGGGGAGGAGGAGAGGGAAGGGAAGGGGGACAGGGAGGACGAGAGCGTCAGTGTTGGCGCTCGAGAGAGTGCGAGAGAGACGAGAGGAGAGAACGAGCGGGCGCACCAAAGGGCAAGACGCCGGCGAGGAGCGCCGACGGGACGGGCCTGAGCCACCACGGCAGCGGCGGGATCTGGCGCGGGATCTGGTTGACGCGCAGCGGCACCGCGAGGGGCTGCGGTGCGTCGCGAGGGGTGGGTGACACGAGGAGCGTCAGTCAGTGCTCGGCTCGTCGGGTCGACGCCGGCCGATGCTGCTCGGCAAGGACGAGGAAAAAAAAGGGAAGGGGGGGAAAGCTCGTCCGACTCACCCCTTTGCGCACGCCGACCCACCCGCCGAGCACCGTCAGCGGCACGTTGATGCCGAACCACAGGGCGCCAATCGCGAGGAACGTGCCGACAGGGACCGCGCCCGCCGACCCGAGGCCGATCAAGAAGGCGTCGAGGAAGAGGAGGAAGGCGTACAGGGCGGCGGGGAACACGAGGGCCGTGTAGAGGATGTTTTTGCGGATCGCATCGCCCGAAAAGGTGAGGTACAGGCGCGACGCGACGTAGCCGGCGATGGACTGTTGGACGACGGCGTTGGGGGATGGAGTGGCGAGCGAGGCAGGCGGGGGAGGGAGCGAAAAGAGGGGAGGGGTAGCGAGGTCAGTGACCGACGAGAGGATAAGGAGGTGGGCCGCTGAGGTGGTCGCGAGGGAGGGAAGAGAGGGAGAGAGAGGGCGGACCCCGAACAAGGTCCAGCACACGACCATGGTCGTCGACAGCGCGCCGCGGTTGCTCGGGTTGAGGAAGCCCAAGAGGGCAAACACTGCGTTCGACGATCTCCAATCAGCGCTAGTCCTGCCTTTGCGCCGAGAAGGCGCGCGAGAGAGAGGGACACAGAGCGAGAGGCACTCGACGCACCGAGTGTGACGCCACACATGGCCGCCATCTGGGCGCCCGTCCCGACCGTGATGCACAGCCACATGCGGTACCTTGGCGCGCGAAACACCTCGCCGTGGAGGAGCTTCCACCCGCTCTCGTCCTCGGTCGCGTCGTCGCGCAGGTCCGGGTGGTGGTGGTGTGCGTCGGGGTGGTTGTGGTGGTCGAGGTTGTACGACGACGAGAGCGCGTTGTAGCGCGTGATGTCGCGCGAGAGGACCTTGAGGAGGATGATGCCGACCATGAGGCACACTGCGAGGCGGCGGCGCGGCGAGGAGGAGGGGCGAGGGTCAGTGCGCGAACGACATTTCTCGGGAGAAGAGAGGGGAGGCGAGCGACGCACAGAAGCCGCAGATGACGAACGAGTTGAACAGGGCGAGGACGTGGATCCTCGGCGAGAGGATGTGCAGGTAGGCGTCCCACCGAGTCGCCCAGGGCGTAGCCGATTCCTGCGAGCCCAGCCTCGACGCATCAGTGCTCGCTCTCTTGCGAAAGAAAGAGAACGAGAGAGAGAGAGAGAGAGGCGACGCACCCGCCACGTGACCGAGTACGTGAACGCGACCTCCTGCTCGCCGTCGCCTCGCAGCAGCACGAGCGGCTTCTTGACGCCGCAGTCGGGCTTGCCGCCCGAGCCCGCCCGGAGCGAGTCGACGCTCTGGGGCCACACGACGACGCCGACGATGCGGTTGTCGCCCTCGCGCGCGCGCGGGTGGTACTCGATGACGAGGTTGAAGTGGTTGTGCAGCTCGAGCGACGGCGGTGGCGGGGCCTGCTTGGTCGTTTGGTTCGGGTTGGCGGGCACAGGGACGGCGTTGCCGACGGGGAAGCCCGGCGAGAGGAACACGTCGCCGTCGCCCGTGCGGCGCATCTCGGCGGCGGGGAGGCCGTCGACGAGCCAGTGGTGCGCGTGCGAGCCGATCAAGGTCGGGAGGAACTCGAGCTGCTTGGTGCCGAGGGTCGAGGTGCACATGACCTGGCACGTCGAGTTGTGCTTGACGCGCAGGTCAAACAGGCCGTCGGTCGAGTACAGGCGGTCGCCCATGAGGGCCGAGCCGAGCGAGAGTGGGACGGAGCGCGGCGAGGCTGGACGGCAGAAGCCTATCCGCTCGTCGAACGCGTCGTACCTGTTCGCGTCGGGCGAGCGACAAGAGGTCAGTCGTTGTCGTCGTCGTCGTCGGCCCCACCAGCGGCGTGCGCCTGCCCTCGCGCTCGCCCCTGCGCCCGCGCACGACAGAGTGAGGAAAGGGGAGACGCACGGCACGATCGAGGTCTCGCCCTCGCCATATCTGGGCCCGACGGCGTTGACGAGGAGAGCGACCTGCTCGCCGTCCTGGTAGGAGTGCGGCGAAGCCCCGGGGAGGTAGAAGGCGCGGGCGAATGGCGCGAGGTTGACGGCGAGGAGGGAGAGGAGCCCAGGCCAGCTGGGCCGTGGTGGCGGCATGGCTCGCGTTGGTGGACGAGGACGCGGACGAGGAGGATTCAAGGACGGCGGAGGCTGGTTCTCGACCGCTCACTCGCTGTGCACTCGAGCTAGCTGCGTGCAGGCCAAGCTGGACTATCTGTGCAGCCCCTCGACAGCTACGGCGTCCCCTCGTTGCCCGCCCGCTCGCCAATCGGCTCGTCCTCCTCGTCCTCATCTCCTCGTGTCCCTCCTCTCGGCCGGCTGCGCCGCACGCCCGTAGGGCAGAGAATCAGGCCGCTCTGCCACTTGCTGTAGCTCCAGCGAGCAGCCGTGCCACGCTCGCGCCGCGCTTCGACTCCTGTCGGAGCTGCCCGATCCCCGCCCTCCTCCTGGACGCTCGTCCGCCGGCTGCCACGGCGAGTCCGGCGATTGCTCGGCCGCCCTGCTCTCGTGCTCTTTCTCTGCTCCCGCCTCCCGCTTCTGTTCGCACCAGCTGCCATGAAGCGCCTCGTCCTGCTGTGCGACGGCACGCTCGAGGACGCCGACCGTCAAGAGGACGAGAGCCGCCTCACCAACATTGCCCGCCTCTCGCGCGCCATCCTCGAGGTCGACAAGCGCGGTCAGTCCGACGTCGAGCAGGTCAAGCTGTACGCGAGCGGCGTCGGGACCGACGAGACGGCCGTCGGGAGCTTGATCACGGTGCGCCCTCTCTCTCGCTCTCTCTCTCGCGCCCCCTTCCTCGCCGTGGAACTGTCACTGACGGACACACACGACGCAGGGCGCCCTCGGTCGCGGCATGATGGAAAAGGTCAAGGACCTGTACGACTTTCTCTGCATCAACCACGAGGACGGCGACGAGGTGCGCTTCCTCCCCCTACTCGTCCCGCCCGAGCGCCTCCTGACTCTGCCCCGACAACCTCCCAGATCTACCTCTTTGGCTTCTCGCGCGGCGCCTACAGCGTCCGCCTCCTCGCCTGCCTCGTCGACCTCGTCGGGCTTCTCCCGCCCCGCACGAGCCTGCACCTGTTCCCGCGCATTTTCGCCGCGCTCGACGCCCACACGGGCACCGGCGACGCCGACGACCGCCGCGCGATCGCTGCCATCCGCGCGCTGCTCGCGCCGCTCGCGGCGCAGCGCGACGCACAGCGCGCGGCGGGAGGAGGAGGAGGAGGAGGAGGAGCGCGCGGCGAGCGGTTCCTGATCGAGTGCGTCGCCGCGTTCGACACGGTCGGCACGCGCGGCCGGCCCTCGTTCCTGCGCCCGGCGAGCTTCTCGACCGCGCCCGGCGGCCCGCCGGCCGTCGCGCCGAGCGAGCGCAACAGCTTTGGGCTCCCGGCCGCGCAGGTCCCGAGCTGTGTGCGGGTTGCGCTCCAGGCGCTGGCGGTCGATGAGCGCAGGAAGGATTATGCGCCGGTGCTGTGGAAGAGGTGGGCCGAGGGGGACAAGGAGGGGGAGAGGGCGGCGAGGGCGAGGGAGAGGGACGGGCAGAGGGTCGAGCAGGTGTGGTTCGCGGGCGCTCATGCCGGTGCGTCTCGCTCTCTCTCTCTCTCTCTCTCTCTCTCTCTCTCTCTCTCTCTCTCTCTCTCTCTCTCTCTATCTCTCTCTCTTCCTCTCTCGACTCGGCAGCACCGGCCCTGACTCTCGGACGTGACGTGGTCCCGCAGACGTCGGCGGCGACTACCCAGAAGCCGACCTGAGCTTCCTCACCCTCGAGTGGGTCGTCGACCGCCTCTCGTCCAAGCTCGCTATCGACGACGCGTACGTACGCCGGGTGTGCAGCCGCACGTCGGCGCCGTGGGGCGAGATGGAGCCGCATCAGTGCGTCGCGGTCCTCTCTCTCTCTCTTCGAGCGACGAGCGTGAGCGGCGCTGACGGGGTCCGAGCGCGCAGGTCGAGAGTCGACGAGTTCCGCCTCGCGCCCGCGATGGACCGTGCCCTTCCCTCGCTCCCGATCGACCCGTGCATCCTCTCTCCCTCTTCCTCTCCCGCCCCTCTCGCCTCGCACGACCTGACCCTCCCTTCCTTGCCCCTATCCGGCAGCTGCACCTCCCAGTACCTCCACCGCTCCCTCCTCGCCCAGCGACACGCACACCTCCGCCCGGCGCTCGTCGCCCTCCTCGCCGCCGGCCCAACCTCGCCTATCTTTGCCCCGCTCGGCCCGCTCGAGCTGCGGCTCAAGCGCGAGTGGGCGCCACCGCCGTCGCCGCCGCCGCCGAAAAGGGCGAGGCTGGTGGTCGCCGCGCTCACAGGCGGTGGTCGAGTGCGCGCGAGCGACGAAGGCGCCGTCGCCAACGAGCCGAACAGGCGCGCGCGCCCCTCGTCCGTCACGTCCTTCACCGACAACGAGTCGTCCGCTCCTTCCTCGCCCTCCGCCCCCTCTCCCTCTTCCTCCCCGCCTTCGCCCTCCTCTCCCGCTCCCTCTTCCTCCCTGCCCTCGCCCTCCCCGCCGTTCGACACGGCCCTCGCGCAGCTGAGCGCGCGCCGCGGCACGAGGCGGCTTTCGCCCGTGCGCAGGGGGTGGGACCGGCTCGTGAGGAGGGTTTCGGAGCATGGGCATCGGTATGCGTGAGGGAGGGAAGGCGCCGAGCGAGGGAGGGAGAACGCGCGAGGGAGAGGAGGCGGGAGCGAGAGGAGGCGGTCCGGGCGAGGGGAGGTCCGCTTCGCGCTGCGCGGGTGCTCGCTCGATGTCGAAGAGCTCCTCATTGTGAACGCAGTCGGTCAGTTCCTGTGCGCGTGCGTGCTCGACTGCGAGAGCTCTCTCTGCGCGCGAGAATTGCGAGACTCGGCGCTCGCTCGCTCGCGGGCGGTTCAGTTTCCAACTCGACCCTCTCTCACTCCCCCACAACCGCTGATCGTCGAGCGAGGCGATGCAAGAGCTTCAGCAACGCCCCGAGGGCACCGTCGACTTCGCCCAGCAGCTCGCACCGCCGCACGGCGCTGTGCCAGGCCAGCCTCCCGCCTCCTCCACCTCCTCGACCAAGCGCCCTCGCTCGCCCCCACAAGGGCCCGCGCCAGTGCCGCACCAGAACCAGCAGCAGCAGCAGCAGCACGCAGGCGACATGGACGCCGAGGGCGAGTTCGACCCGTCCCTGCCCGACCTGCTCGTTCACCGAGCCGCCAACGGCGCCGAGTTCGACCACCTCGTCCTCCCGACCCCGCCCGCGCACCTCTTCGGCCAGAACCAGGACCAGCAGCAGCAGCAGCTCTCGACCGACACGACCGCCAGGGCCACCGCGAGCAATGACCGCGTCGGCCAGCAGCAGCAGAACGCCGTTGCCGGGCCGTCGTCGTCAGCGACGGGCGCAGGCGGCGCGGCGGGAACGGCGCAGGACGGCGAGCAGGGCAAGGACGTCGCAGTCCGTGACGGCCCCGAGGACCTGCCCGGGCGCGACGCGTTCGAGGCGGCCGTCGAGGAGTACCTCCAGGGCTTGCACGCCATCAAGCGCACCAAGGCCCTCAGTGCGTCTCACTCTCTCTTTCACTTCAAGCGTACGAGGCACCCTTACTGACTCTCTCGACGTGCGCCCGCAGTGGGCGACGAGCTGCACGACCTCGTCCGCGCCATCCTGCGCGAGCCGCAAAACACCAAGCAGGGCGACCCGCAGATGCGGTTCTGGGTGCGCCAAAGGTTCACGCTCCTCGCCGCGCCCGAGGGCGACAGCGTCGTGCACGAGGACAAGAAGGTCGTCCTGCGCTCGCACCTGTTCGACACGATCTCGGCCGCCCACGTCGCCGCCGAGCACGGCGGGCGCGACAAGACGTTTGCCGAGGTGCGCAAGCACTGGAGCTACGTGCCCAAGGAGGTCGTCGTCCTGTACATCCGCCTGTGCCCGACGTGCGGCGGCAAGCGCGTCACGGTCCGGGGCAAGCGGCCCCAGGGCGACAAGCGCATCCCGCTCCCGCAGGACGTCCTCACCAGGCCCGCCGACGACGGCGTGCCCGACACATCCGGCTTCCTGCCCAAGCTCCGACCCGCCCCGACCGCTCCCGCCGCGACCGCCGACTCGACCAAATCCGCGACCGACATCCCGCTCGACCCCGCCCTCCTCGCCGCCGGCCCGTCCAACGCCGCCTTCCTCCCCGCCATCGCGCCCCGCCCGCCTCTCCCTCCTTCCTCTCTCGAACCCGAGCCCGGCCCCAGCTCCAGCAAGCGCCAGCGCACGTTCCCGCCTGCGCCGCCGCACCAGGCCAAGCCCAAGAAGGCCGCGCCGCGCCCGCGCGCCCCCAAGCACGCCCTGCCGGGCGCGCACCCGGCGCCGGCGTTTGTCCCGCAGCGCTCGGCCGACGACCTCGCGTCGCCGGCGGTCGCGCCCGAGGTCGGCGAGCGCGAGGAGGAGCACGAGGAGAAGGAGCCGGCGAGGGCGCGCCCCGGGAGGAAGAGCGCTCGCGCGGCGGCGGCGGGCATCAGCGCGCTTGCGGCGCTCGAGCATGGAGAGGAGGACGACGAGTACGGCGCGAGGGCGTCGGGGCAGGCGCGCGAGCAGAAGCAGCAGCAGCAGCAGCAGGGCGGCGAGGGCGCGCGCGAGGGGTCGCAGGACGAGGATGCGCCCGGCGAGTTGGACGACGACGACGAGGGCCTGGACGATGACACCGAGGCGCGCTTCGTCATGGACCCGGACCTGTTCGAGGGCGGCGGCGGCGAGATCCCGGGCGACGAGGGGGACGAGCGCGAGGGGGCGTGAGGGCGCTTGACGAAGGAGGGAGTTTCCGCTTTGCGCGCTTTATCAGTACCGTCTGTTGCAGTGCTAGTCGTGATTTGCTTGCGAGCTCGCTGTCAGAGAGCTCGTCTCGAGGGCCGTGAGTGCGAGGTCGTCGTCGACCGACGCTTCGTCTCGAGCCAGCGAGTCGACCGTCCAGCCCTCCTCTGCTGGCTGTCGTACGTCGAGCACAGGCTGCTCTCGTGCTTCTCGATGCCGTCTCGCACAGCGTCGCACCCAAGCGAGCGCAGCACACTCCCCCAACGCATTCACTCTCGCCTCGCCCGACTTCTCTCGCCTCTCGCGCTCGCTACACGCCCTCGAGCAGCGTCGGACTGCCAGTATGGGCCTCTCCGAGCTCAGTGCTGCGCGCCAGCCGCTCGAGGCGCTCTCCGGAGCGCTGCGGGTGACGCTCGAGTCGGAGGTCGCGCTCATCTCTGTTCGCCTCTCGCTCTCCCTCTGCCGCTTGTGGGGCCACGAGCGCCGCACAAACAGCGCACAGCATGTCCCGTGAGCCTTTGCGCCACTCGGACGAGCTGCAGGGGGGCTGTCGAGGGCGAGCGGGCCATCACGTCGAGGACGCGCCTGACCTCGTCTCCTGCTGCAGCCGAATCTGGACGGACGACGAGCGAGTGAAGGGACGGCGAGAAAAGGGGGTGCAGCGGGTGGCCGCCCGAGCGCCAAAATGCCTCTCTCCTTCCTTTCCCTCACTTCTCGCCCACCTCGCTCCTCGACCCGACGTCGCCCTCGCTCACCTCAAGACCGCCTTCGACCATGGCCCTGCGCCTCCTCACCAACGTCGCACGCGCGACCCTCCTCGTCCCGCTCCTCGCACCCGTCGTCCCGTTCCTCTCGTCGTCGTCGACCTCGCCCTCGTCTGTCCTCGTCCACGCTCGCGACTTCAACGTGTGCCCGGCACAGTTCAACGCCTGCAGCGGTATCAAAGACTGGGAGCCCGTGTGCTGTGCGTCCCCCTCTCACTCTCTCACACCCTCCCTCGACGTCGACACGCCGTCGCCGAAGCTGACCCATCCTCTCGACCCTCCCTCGCAGGCCCCGAGTCGTGCTCGTGCGTCCGCGACGAGAGCGGCTTTGCCTTCTGCATGAAGCCCAACGAGCAAGACGACGAGTCGGGCGACACCCCGTGCTGTACGTCCTCTCCTTCCCCTCGCTCATACCCCTCTTCCCTTCCTGCGCCTCGAGAGGGCCATCCCGCTGATCCCTCGCCACCGATCGTCGCAGGCGTCAAGGGCACCTACTGCGAGTCGATGCACCCGCAGTGGATGGTCTGCAACTCGGAAGGCCCCGCTCCTCGCATCGCCTCGTCCGCCGTCGTCACCGTCCCGCTCCGCAACACGCCGACCTCGACGTCGTCCCGTCGCCCGACGTCCACCTCGCGCCCCAAGAAGGACGACGAGGACGAGGACGACTTTGACGACACGTTCGACGACGACCGCGATCTGTTTGGCTCGGGCTCGGGCCGTCGTCCCGCTCGTCCGCACAAGCCCCGTCCGCCGCCGTCGCGCCCGAGCGTCGTCAGCAAGGTCGACGAGCTGCGCCTGTCGCCCAAGTGGAACATCCACGCCAAGCCGCAGAAGCGCGAGTACTGGTTCACGATCGACGAGCGCAAGGGCGCTCCTGACGGCTGTGCGTCCACCTCTCTCTCCTCGCCTCCTCGGGGTGACCTCGACTGACTCTCTTCTCCTCCCCCTCTCGCAGTCGAAAAGTCGATGTGCGTCTTCCTACGTCTCCTTCTCTCGTCACTCGTGACGCCCGAGTCACTGACGCGCACCCCCTCTCTCGCTCGCTCGCCCGCTCGCAGGCTCGTCGTCAACGGCCAGTTCCCGGGCCCCCTCATCGAGGTCAACAACGGCGACACCCTCGTCGTGCACGTCACCAACGCGCTCGACCAGCCCATCACGCTCCACTGGCACGGCCTCGTGCAGAACGGCACCATCTGGGACGACGGCCCGTCCGGCGTCACGCAGTGCCCGATCGCGGTCAGCAAGAGCTACACGTACTCGTTCCCGATCCCGGGCGACCTCGAGTTTGGCACCTACTGTGCGTCCTCTCTCTCTCTTTTGCGCGAGGTCGTCGTCGTTCGCGCTCGAGCCGCCCCGCCCTGACCCTCTTGCGCCCGTCCACAGGGTGGCACGCTCACCGCCGTGCGCTCTACGCCGACGGCATCGTCGGTCCGCTCATCGTGCACTCGCCGAGGGACCCGCTCGTGCGCGGCCGCGACTACGACGTCGACCAGGTGCGTCCGCTCCTCCCTCCCTCGTCGCCGAAATCCCGACTGAACCCCTCTCATGCCCGGTGCGCGCAGATCATCATGCTCAACGACTGGTACCACGACTCGGCCGACTTTCTCGTCGACTCGCTCCTGTCGCCGCAAGGCCTGAACGGCGTGCGTCCCTGCTCTCGCCCCCCTCCCTCCCTCGTCGACTGCCCGACTGACCCACTCTCTCTCGCTCGCCGCGACAGACCTTCCTCGCGCCGTCGCCCAACTCGCAGCTCATCAACGGGCACGGCATCTACAACTGCTCGCTGTCGCCGCGCACGTCGTCCAAGTGCACCCAGCGCCGCCAGCTCGACCTCCCCGAGCTCGTGTTCCCGCCCGACTCGCGCGTGCGCCTGCGCCTCATCCACTCGGGCGCGCACCCGGTCATCTTTACGTCGGTCGACGAGCGCTCGCTCGAGGTGATCGAGGCCGACGACACGGGCGTCTTTGGCCCGTCGTTCCACCGTGTCGGGCTTAACGTCGCGCAGCGGTACTCGGTCCTGCTCGACACGTCGTTCGACTCGGTCGGCGACGCCTTTTTCCTGCGCGCCGAGGTCAACACGGGCTGTCTCGGTGCGTCGCCCTCGTCCTTCTTCTCCTCGCGAGCCGACCTGACCTTGTCTCCTCTTCCCCCCTTCTCTCTCTCGCTCGCAGGCGCTCCTTTCCCCGACCTGAACCCGCAGGCGCGCATGGTGATCCGCATCGGCGACAAGGAGCACGGCAACGGCGGGCGCAAGACGCTGCCGACAACTCGCGACTGGAGCGACCCGTCGGTCGGCAACTGCACGGACCTCGACGAGTGTGCGTCCTCCCCTCTCTCTCTCTCTCTCGCGCCACCTCCTGCGCACCCTTCCCTGACCCTCCCATCGCCGACCCGCAGCCCTGCTTCGTCCTCGCATCGTCCGCCATGTCCCGGACCAGGCCGACCAGATCAGCTTCTTCAACTCGTCGGCGTCGGGCGGAATCGTCGCGACGGGCAACGCGAGCGCCATCTTTGAGTGGACCCTCAACAACATCACCTTGTGCGTCTCTCTTGCTTGTCTCTCCCCCAGCGACGAGCCTCCCCGACTGACCTCGCTCGTCGTCGTTCCCGCCCCCTTCCTCGTCGCAGCGAGAACTTTGCCTACGAGTGCGCCCTCGGCTCCCTTCCCTCGTCCTCTCGGTCCATCACTGACTCGCACCCGCACGCAGCCCGATCCTGCACCAGGTCGTGCGCGGCGACAACTTCAATAACGGCCGGTTCGCGGTGGTCACGGCTCGCAAGCTTGAGACGGTCGACCTCGTGATCCAGAACGTGGCCGGGCCCGACCACCCGTTCCACCTGCACGGCAAGCCCATGTCGATCATGGCTCGCGGCACAGGCCTGCTCTCGCCGAGGTGCGTCCTCGCTCGTCCTCTCCTCGTCTTGGGGGCTCGAGCGCGACGGTCTGACCTCGTTCCTCGTGCAACCTGCAGCGCCGCCGCTCGTCTGCGCCTCAAGACGTTCAACCCTCTGCGCCGCGACACGATCGGCGTCCCTCCTGGCACCTGGGTCCTCGTCCGCTTCGTGTCGGACGTGCCCGGCGTGTTCGCGATGCACTGTCGTGCGCCTCCTTCTCCCTCTCCTCGGCAGGAATCTGCCACTGACCCCCTCGCTCCCTTCCCCTCCCTTCCCCTTTGCGCAGACATCGTCTGGCATCAATCTCAAGGCCTCATGGGCGTCTTTGTCGCCCAGCCGGACCGTCTGCGGCGCCTGCGCATCCCGTCGGCCAACCTCGCTGTGCGTCCTCGCCTTTCCCTCGACCTCTTGCACGCTCTGTGCGGCGTACTGACGCTCATGCAACCCGTGCGCAGCTTTGCGACGGCGGTAACCCCAACCTCATCGACCCTGGCCGTCGCCAACGTCGCGACGCGCTCGGCCCGTCGTCGCCTGTCGCGAGGCGGCGGCTCTTCTGATCGGCCAGAGCAGCATAGCGCGTCTCTTCTCTCTTTCTTCCCCCGCTTGTTGTCCCCTCGCCCCTCCTCCTTCTCTTCGTTCCCTCTTCCCTCTTGTCCCTCTTGTCCCTCGTCGCATTCTGCTCGCCTCCTCCCTTCTTGCTTAGTCTCCCTTCCTCGTTCTAGGTCCTCTCTGCAACGTCGTCTTCTTGCATGCTTGTCTCGTCTCGTGTCTCCTTCCTTTCGCCCGGCCGAGAGCGAGAGAGCGGACGCTGTCGAAAAAGGTGAGGCGCGAACCGTCCCCTCGCCTCCGCGTCCACCTCGAGCCCGCCCTCGGCTACAACTACCGACGCTGCCTCGAGCACCTCTCTCGAGCTGGTGAGCCTCGACGCACCCCCGTGTCCAGCCGGCAGAGCTCGACCGCAACTTGGCGCGGGCGGGCGACCTTCTTCGTTCTCCTCCCCACCTCGCCCTCTCCTCATCATCCGCTGAGGATTTGGTGAGCAGTCGAACTTCTTTCTCCGCACCTCTCGAGACCCTCCGCAAGGTCGCCTTGCCCCGTGGAGGCCAGGGTGGAGCTGACCACGTCCTCCCGTTCCTCATCTCCCCCTCCTTCTTCCTCTCCTGCTCGCCCTCGTGCAGACCCGCAGATAATTTTGGACGGGCTTTGATGTCGCTGAGGACCGCTGGGCAGCACGTGGAACTGCTGGGACGCGAGGGCGGCGAGAGGCGTTGGAGGGCCTGGCGCGGGAGCGAGGTGCGGCCGGCGAGGGTCACTGTCCTGCACGTGGGCCGTGTGAGCGGCACGGCCATGCCTCAAAGGCACTGTGGCCTCTCTGGAGGAGGACGCAGCCGAGCAGGAGGTCGTTGCCGTCGTCATCGTCGCCTCGAAGCGAGCAGCCTTCGCACCCCCCTCGAGCGCCCTTTCCTGACCACGTTCCTCGTCCATCCTCACAGAGACTCGTTCAGCATCGTCTTGGGCAAACGCTCGGTGCATCCCTCGCCCTTTCTCCCTGCGGCACGTCCCTCCCTCACCACTTTCCCTCGCCCTCCCCCTCTCTCGTCCCTCCTTTCAGGTCTCGCCCGGTGCGCCAAACCCTCTCCCTCTCCTCCTTCGTGGCCCCGCCCCTTCCTTACGACCTCCTCCTCGAGATGCCGGGCCCCTCGTCGTTCGACGGGGTCACCTTTCGAGCGAGCTTGCTCCTCGCCGACCGACGTCGCCTCTCGAGCAGTCCTCTCTCTCTCGCGCAACCTGACTGACCTCCCTGCCCTCCTTCTGCAGCGACTCTCAGCTACCTCTCGGTGCGTCCCCCTCTCCTCTTTCCTCCTTCCCTCGGCTCGAGCTCGCCACCGCTCGAGCCCTCTCTCGCCTCTCGTACAGCACTGACACGCTCTCCTCCCGTAGCGCAGCACATCCTCTTTGTAGCTCTCCCTCTGGTACGTCTCTCTTTCTTTTTCTCTGCCTTCGCGACCTCTCTCTTCCCTCGCGGCCTCTCGCACGTCTCGAAACTCACGTCAAGCCCTTCTCCGCGCCGTCGCAGAAATACTACGAGCGCTCATCGTCCCGACCGACGGAGCGTTCCTCGTTGGCGAGACGTGTGCGAGAGATCCGGTGCAGGTCCGTGCCGGCGACGCGAGGAGGCGACGTTGGGAGGGGAACGAGGAGGAGATGGAGCGAGAGCAGCAGGAGGGCGGCCGCAGCCTTTCGAGAGGGGAGACAGGCGCATGTTGCAAAGTCTGTTCAACTATACAAATGCGCGATGCGCGCCCTCGCACGGCCCAGAGAGCCCGCCGTCACGAGCTGCGTCAGATTGCCGATCAGACCTCCGGCGGCGTACAGGTCGAGGTTCTCGATGTTGAGGGCGACCGGGGTGCTCTTGCCGGATGCAGGAACGGCGAACGCCTGCGCAAAGGGGCGAGGAGGATCGGTACCCGCTCGCACGAGCCGGACACAGGGATTTTGAGACGTACGGGAGGAGAGAACTCGCTCACGAGCCCGATCGCCTGAGAGCCGGCCGTCCCGGACGGGCCCGAAACGGTCGCGAGGTTGAGCAGGCGGTAGCAAGGCGCTCCTTGACGACCTGAGCGCTCGAGCCCCGTCTGCAACGACACGTGAACCGTCAGGCGGGCGAGTAAAAGAAGGCGGCGAGAGCGAGCTCGAGCGCACCATGTGCCAGTCTCCTGGCTCTCCTTGGCGACCCGAAAGCTCCCACGCCTTGCGTTGACGGTTGTGGATCTTGCGCGCTTGACTTGGCTGAGCGCGAGGCTGGTGGCAGGGAGGAAACGAGGGCCAGTCAGTCGACGGTCGTGCTCGCGAGCGACGGTCCTTGTGAGGGCGGCTTGCCCGCTCGTTCGAGTTGATATGGGGCTCGGTGGTCGACGGAGCTGCCGACCCGAAAGGCGGATCGTCAAGAGCGCCGACTTTGGCAACGAGCTCCTCCTTGACCGTGCGGAAGAACGGCAAGATCTCCTCGGGCGCGAGGGACTCGGCCTCTCCAAACCCTGCATCGAAAGGTTCGTCAGTGATGCGCGCACTCGAGAGGAGAAGAGGGAGAGGAGGGCGCACCGCTGTCGACGAGGAGCGCTCGGAGCGTGCTCGGGTCCTCCTTCTCGAAGAGCGTGAGCCAGGCTTCGACCGAGAGATCGGGCTCGTCCTTGCGGTCGTCTGCGTGATACATCAGGTTCGTGCGGCTCGAGAGGGCGAGGAACAGAGGCGACGCACACTTTTTGGCCCATGCGCGGCGGCGAGCGACGTAGCCGGAGCAGGCGATCGTACCCGAGTTCGTCTCTGTCGCGCGCCAGGTAGACAGGGTCAGAGAGACTCGTCGAGACGAGAGAGAGAGAGAGAGAGAGCGCGCACCGTCAAGCTGCGGCCGACGGCCAAACTTGCCCGTGCCGAACAGGCGCACGAACCCCTTGACGAAGCACGAGACCGCGAAGAACGTGTCGTGCAGGTCCGGGTCGGTGGTCGCGTCGTAGCGAGCGACGCCGGCGATGACGTCGAACGTGTCGACCTCGAGCTGGAGCAAGGCCGCGAGCGCGTCGTAGATGTCGCGCAGTCGGTCGGGCTTGTCGGCGATCCAGGCGAGGATGATGCAGCGGCGGTACAGGAGGGCGGTGCGGAGCTCGACGTAAGCCGAGTTGGCGAGGACCGACGGGTGGTACAGCTGGTACGCCTCGAGGCCGAAGAAGGCGGACCGGAGCGTCTCCGAGAAGAGGTCGAGCGCGCCGTTCAGGTTGGGCATGTCGGCGAGACGACGGGCGACGTCGCCGTTGGCCATGATGTGCGTGACCTCGATGTTGAGGTGCTGGATGAGGTCGAAGAAGACTGTGGCTCAAGGAAAAGAGGGGTCGGCGTCGGCTCGAGCGCGAAGTGAGGGCGCCCGGGCCTCGAGAGGAGGCGACCCACTCTCTGAGAGAAGCTGCGCCGTCTCGATCCACGCCGCCGGGACCCTGGTCGAGCCAAGAGCGCCGCGCTCGACCGCCGCTTGAAGAGGAGGAGCTCGACATTGCGCGAACGGGTCCTACGCGCGAGCATGGGTCCGCGAGAGCGTCAGGATCCGGAACGGTCGCGGCAGAGAGGGCGAGACGGGACGCACGTGCACCCAGTACTTGAGGTCGGGAGCGATGGCGCCGAGAACGGCCTCGACGGCGAGCACGACGAGGCGAGTGCCTTGCGGCTCAGGGTCGCCGGGAACGTCTCGCCGCAGCGGGTGAAAGTTCTTCGGGTGGTCGTAGGGCAGACACTCGAGGATCTCGACGATGATGCGGAGCGGCGTGCCGTCGGGTTGGGCGAGCGCGGCGCGCAAAATCTCGTCGAACGCCTTGAGGTCGTGCACTGGAGGAACGCGTGTCGGACCGAGGGCGTCGTAGTCGGCGTTGTCGAGGTGCTGGAACTCTTGGACGGCGCCAATGATGAAGCGGTGCAGCTGGCCGACGGCGCCGGCGTCGTGCGGGTTGATGCGCAGTTGGTCTCGCAGAGCGACGAGCTGGTCGCGCACGCCGGGAAGCTGGCCGAGGGCGTACACGTTCTGGGTCTCCTCCATGGAGAGAAGACCGTGCTGCAGAGGCGGAAGAGTCAGTGCGGGACAAAGAGGCTGAGGAAGAGGCGAAGGAGACGCACCTGGTCGGCGAGCTGCGCCATTTGAGAAGGTCGCGCAGGGTCGTGCGCGGCACCGTGTACTGTAGCTTGGGCACACGCGAAGCAGGAGCTCCAGGACGCAGCGAAGGAGCGGGAGAAGCCGAAGCTGAGCTGCGTCGGCTAGCGGTCGCCGACGGACGGCGGACAGGGGCTCGGGGACGAGAAGCAACGAGTTCGTCCGCTCCTCGCCGGCAACTCCGAGGAGCCTCTCGCGCTTGAAGCAGAGCCGCCTCCTTGCCCGCCGTTCATGCCCGCCCCAAGCTTCAAGCAGCGTTGGGAGGTGCGTCGCAAGTTCGAGCTCGTCCCAGATCCGACGCGGCGCTAACGCCTGCCCTCGCGCAGCTCGTGCAGTCGACGCTCGCCGCCAGCTCCTCGTCCAGCGGCGCCACCTCTTCCTCCTCCTCCTCCTCTTCTTCTTCTCGCTTCCCGTCCATCGGGCTCGCGCACCACCAAGACCCGCACAGCAAGAGGCGGTACCAGGCCGTCGACCTTGACGCGATGGCCCAGCTGAGCCGGCAAACCGCGCGCGCCTCGTCGAAGCCGGCGAAACGAGCACCAGCTGCGCCGCCGCCGCCGCGAGCCGTGCAGGTGCAGGACGACCGCCAGCCAGGCGAAGCGTCGTCGTCCAAGCAGGTCGAGGAGCAGGCGGCCGGCTCGAGCGCGCGCCGCGAGGAGCAAGCTCGTGCGCTCCGATTTCTCGTCGCGCTCTGAGCCACACGACGAGCTAACCCGCCCTCGCCGTCCTCGCCCACAGCGTCGTCGAGGAGCCAGTACGAGGCGGTGCGCAAGGAGCTCAAGACGCTCGACTTTAGCGACCCTCGCTACCTCGAGCCCGGCCGCGCCACCGACGATATCGATCGACTGCTCGGGTCCTTGACGATCGCGCCCCTCGAGGCGATGCGGGCCGACGGCGACGTTGCGGACGCCGCGTGGGAGGAGCCGATTCGCGAGGCGGTCGACCGGATCTGGGTGTCGGGCACGACCGCGGCGGACAGGAGGGCTCGGTGCGAGGAGGCGCGCGAGTTGCTAGGGGAGCTGATTGCCGAGTCGCTGCGGCGAGAGTCGGACACGGCGTATCGCGGGAGGGAGGTGCGCAGGGCCGTGGTGAACGCCGGGCTGCGCCACATGCTCGAGTAGCCGTGCGAAGGCGTTCAAGCGAGTGGAATGCGACGAGCGGTGTCCCTGGCGTGGCGACTGCGCGAGCGGCTGGGTCGAAGGAGGAGGAGCGAGAGAGAGAGAGCGAGTGGGGAATGGCGCGCGAGGGGACGGTACTTGGCACGACGCCTCGCGCGCCTCGCCGCCTCTCTTCGAGCGCCTCGTCTCGTTCTGCCAGCTCTCCTTGGGCGACAGACTGCTTCCTCCTCGGCGACACATCGCTCTCGCCTCGCTCTGGCCTTGCTTTCCCTTCGCTCTCGTCTCGCTGTCGCCTCGCGTCTTCTTCCTCTTGCCTCGTCCTCTCTCTCCTCGCTCGCCAGAGAGCTAAAGGTCACATGATTGCAGGGTACGGCCACGAGAGAATGTATCGGCGCGAGCGCAGACCTCGCACGAGAGAGAGAGCGAGAGAGAAGAGGGCCGGCCGACGAGGACGCACCTTCGCGTCCGGGGCGACAGCTGCGAGAGACAGTCACGGAAAAGCGTGAAGGAGGGAGAGAGAGAGTCAGTTCTTGTCGCCGAAAAGGCGCAAAAAAGAGAGCGGGGCCTTGGTCGTCCGCCGAGGTCGCGAGGACGAGGCCGGTGAGGAGAGAGGGCGACGCACCGAGAGCCTGTGGACGCTGCTTGGCGGGACGGGCGACTAGAATGTCAGTAAGCGAGGTGCTGCCCGACGAGGAGAGAGGACAGGAGGGACGCACTTGAGGGCCGTGCGACGCCGAGTCGAGGGGGATGAGCGGTCGGCAGGGGACTGTGGAGGGGAAGGGGAAGTCAGTGTGCGGCTCGCAGATGCCCCTCAAGAACAAGGAGGATCAGGACGCACCTCCACGAGTCCCGAGCGTGCGCATCTGCGAGACGAGGAGTGAGCGGTGTACGCCCAGCCGTGCGCGAGGGACGACGACGACGACGATGGCAAGGAAGAGAGAGAGAATGAGGACGCACCTCGGCGCACCGCAGCCCGTCGACTCCTTCGAATAGACGTGCACCGAGCGCTGAGAGCGAGAGGGTGAGAGGGCGAGAGGAAGGAGGAAGGAGGGGAGGGCGCCAGGCGAGACGAGCGCGCACGACCAAGTCCTCTCGCCTGAGACGACCGCGCCAACCGCCCCTCTTCGGCTGCTGCCGCCGCACAGAAGCATTTTCCATCCACCCATGACAGCTCTGCCGGGGTCCCATAGCCCCTCGTGCCGCGCCCAGCTTGTAACGACCCTCGGCGTCCTCATCGCCCTCGCCCGCTCTCCCCGCTCGCCTGGCCCCACCTCGCCTCGAGAGCCCTCGAGAGCCGCACACACGCCCACTACAGGCCTCCATGCCGCCGATGAAGGGAAAAGAGGGCGCACCGGCGTGGATGAATGTCGGGCGAGTGAGGTGAAGAGGCGGCCGCGGCCGCGCGAGCGAGGCAAGTCGGGTCGGCGAGGCCGGCCAGGATCGCGCGCGGAGTGCGACCGAGCTACGAGCAAGGTGCGACCGATGCGCAGGCGAGGCGAGAGCAAGGGCGGGTCGAGGCGAGGAGGCGAGGGCGAGGTGCTGTTGAGGAGGTCGCCCCGAGCTGCGGGCAAAGCGGCGACGCGAGAGAGGACGTCTGCGGTCCCAGTCGAGGTGCGCAAGGAGACAAGGGACCGTAGAGGTCGAGGTGCGCAAGCTCGAGGCTCGCAACTCGCCGCGACTCGGAGCCGCGCGTTTCTCGGCTCGTTCCACCTTTCGTCCTCAAGCGCTTGGGTCTGAGCCGGCCCAGATCTGCTCCTGGGCCGGCACACGCGCCAATTCAGCTGTCGCCGCCGCTTGTAACCGGGTCGAGACGAGGTCGGCTCTCGCCTTCCCCTCCCACTTCCTCGGCGCTCTCGGCGTGTCGCCTGCTCGCTCTCGCCTAGCTCGTCGGCCGCGCGACGCATGTCCATCATCCAGGCAGACGCTGCTCTGCCGGTCGTCGAGCTGGCGCCATCCAGGTGGGCGCGCACGACTCGACGCGACTCGGACGCGCCGCTCAGCAGCTGCACCTCGGTCTTCGCGAATTCGAGCGGACGAGCTGGCGAAGCGAGGCAGAAAGCCAACATGCTGGCCCCCGCTCGCGGCTTGCCTCCGCTTCTCATCCTCGCCGCTCGTGTGCGCCGACCTGCTCGCTCCGTCGCGTCCAGCTCGATGCCCTCCTCCGCAACTGGTGCGCTCTCCTCCCTCTCCCTCAGCGTACCCGAGGAGTGGGTGCATGCAGACTCTCGATCGAGCTGACGAGCGCTCCTCCCCCGCAGTCGAACCCGCCTCAAAGAAGCGCCGTCTCTCGACCAGCTCGCCTTCCACCTCGTCGTCGTCGGCGCAAGTTTGGCGCGCGTTTGACGTCCTCAAGGAAGACGCTTCTCGCCTCATCGCTCACGGCCTCGACGCCCTCCACCGCCGCGAGCCGGGCGTTCGCGCGAGGTTCAAGACCGCCTGGAGCTGCGTCCTCGGCGACATGCGCTACTCGAAGCAGGACATCAGCGCCATCTCGAGCAAGATCCGCACGCTGCGGTGCAGCGCGAGCTGTGTCGAGGCGGACCGCGACGAGCTGTCGACTCTGGAGGCGCTCCACGCCCGTCTCGAGCGCGAGTACATGCGCGACGAGGTGCAGCACTTGCGCTCTTTCCGCGCCAACCAGTTCATCCAGATCCTCGAGGCGTACAACGACCAGCTCTACCGCACGGGCCACCTGTCGAGGGCCGACTACGACTCGTTCAAGGCGAGCGTGCGCGAGGAGGTGGCGGCGGCGCTTGGCGCCGGCTTTGCCTTTTCAACGGCGGAACCGCCGACAACCTCGCCGTGCGTCCCTCCTCTCTCTCTTCCTCTCTCCCTCGTCGTCGTCGTCGTCGTCGTCGTCGTCACGAGCCAACGACTGACCCTCCCTCGACCGCCCGTCTCGCAGCTCTGCGACGGCGGCAACCCAAACCTGATCGACCCGGGCCGTCGCTACCGCCGCAACGCGCTCGCCGCACCTCGCTCCGTCCCGCGCCGCCGCGTCTTCTAGTCGCACGCCTTCTCTGTCCATCGTCGTCGTTCTTGTCCTTCTTCCCCTCGTCTTCGTCCCCTCCTCTTGCCTGCCCCGGCGTCTTCTTGTTGTACACCTCCCCCTCTTGTCCATCTTGCGTAGCTTGGCTTAGTGCAACCTTACTCGTCGTTCCCTCACCAGGTCTCCGTGCGACTCTGCCGGCAAGTTGTCGAGAGTCGGCTCTCGCGTTCAAAGTCTCATCGCCTCTCGCGGTTTCCCACTCGTCTCTCGCCTCGCCCTCGGCACGTGAGGCTAGTCCGATGCGCTCGCTGTACTCAGTGCCCTTGTTTTGGCCTCCTAGGGCTTCGCGCCTGCTCTTGGCGCGCCGTGGCGCCGCTCGCTCGTCTCCCCGCCCGCCTCATCTTCGTTCAAAGTCTCTCGCGCCTCGCTGTGCGTCTCACGTCTCACTCTGTTGCTTTCCGTTAGACAAGGACCCCGAAGCGCTCGTAACCTCGCCATCCCAGAGCTCTCCGACGGCGGTGTCGTCGCGCTCCTCGCACGGGCCGGGCCCCCTTCTCCTTCCTCCTCCTCTCTCTGTCGTAGCTTTCCGCCGCGTCGCCTGAATGTGCGGTAGAGCTCGTCTCTCTCCGACGAAGCTCTTCTCCTCTCCCGAGTTGCCGAGAGTTCCGAGGGCGAGCGGTCTGCAGCCTCTCGAGCGACAGCGACGACGAGGAGAGGGAACGCTGCTGCCGATTCCTTTTTGGACTGGCTCTACTCAAGAAGAGGAGGGACTGCTGCCGATGACTGCTGATGAGGGGAGATGCGCGAGAGAGGGAGGAGAGAAAAAACTTGGGGAGGCGGCGGGGCGCAAGAACAAGGGCGAGAAAGCGAAAAGAGGGTGCGAGAGGGGGGAGGAGGAGGCTGGACTAGTAGTCGTCATCGTACTCGCGACGGTCACGGCGAGGCGGGCGAGGCGCGTTGAGCTCCTGGATGATGGCGTACGCCGAGTCGATGTTGACGGGCGAGCCCGTGAGCGTGAGCTGGTTGGCGTCGCGCTTGCCGACAACCTCGACGTCGACGCCCGTCGCGCGCAGGCGGTCGAGCCCGGAACCGCCGCGGCCGACGATGCGCGGCATGAGGCCTCGCGGGACCGTGACGAACCCGACGTGCGACGCGTCCTGCGCCTTGGCGAGGTTGCGGCGGATCTCGTCGGCGACCGACTCGGCGTCCTCCTGCGTGCGCGACTCGACGACCCACGGGATCGAGTCGTCGTCGGCCTCGGTCGAGTCGCCGTTGTCGTCGGCGTGCAGCGACACGAGCTGGAACTCGAGCGCCTCGGCGCCGTCGGTCGCGCCGTTCGACGCGTCGGCGCCGTCGTCGTCGATGCGGGCCGCGCCGTTGGACGACGACGAGGCCCGGGCCGACGAGGAGGGCGCAGGCGGCTTCTTGCTCTTGAGCGCCGACGAGGGCGGCTTGATGCCGCGGTGCGACACGCGCGTGCCCGACGGCAGCGACCGGAAAAAGCGGCCGCCCTGCGCGACCTGCGCGTGCAGCTTCTTCGGGATGGCGACCTCGACCGAGTGGGCCGCGCCGCCGGGCGTGCTCGCGCCCGAGCCCGAGCCGCCGGCGCCGCCACGAGGCTTGACGGCTTGGAGGTCGGTCGCGGCGGCGAGGGCAGCGTCCTTGGGGCCGACGACCTTGACGAGGTCGCGCGCGTCGGCGTCGGCGACGTCGGCCTGGTTCTCGGGCTCGCCCGCCGAGGCATAGTCGTTCCAGCCGGGCATGACGACCTTGACGCCGTGCTTGCGCTGCAGGTCCTGGAGCGCCTGGGCGCCCTTGCCGATGACGGCGGCGTGCGCCTGGTGCGGCACGACGACGCCCCACACGACGCGCGACTGGAGGAGCTCGACCTCGTGCTCGAGCGCGGCGCGGATCTTGTCGGCGACGGTCGACGGCGCCGTGATCATCACCTTGTCCTTGCCGTCGCCCTGGCGCGGGAATCGGACCGTGTTGCCCGACGCGCGAGCGTCGGTCGGGCCGCCGCACCGCGCGATCAAGTCGCGGATGCTCGAGCCGCCCGAGCCGATGAGGGTCGTGTGGAACTCGCGCGGGATGTCGAGCTCGAGGCGGAGCTCGTCCTGGACCTCCTGGGCAATCTTCTCGACGGCCTCGCGCGCCTTCTTGATGCTCGACTTGGTGCCGCGGAGCGTGATGGTGGCCGTCGTCGAGTCCGAGCTCTCCTGGTCGACGTCGAGCGAGGCGACGCCCGTGTCGTCCTTGATCTGGTTGACCTGGGACCCGCCGCGGCCGAGGATGCGCGGGAGCGCCTTGACGGCGACCGAGAAGCTCGCGACGTTGCCGTGCTCCTTCTCGTACTCGATCAGGGCGACGAGCTCGCCCTGGGCCGCCTTTGCGCCCTTGGTCGGCCCGCGGATCGAGATCTCCTGCGGCGACGACTTGTCGTCGGCCTTGCCGCGCGGGAAGTTGATGCGCACGTCGTACCGGTCCTCGAGGCGCTTGAGGAACGCGCCCTGCTTGCCGATGAGCGAGCCGCGCTCGACCGAAGCGGCGAGCGGGATCGTGACCGTCACCTCGTCGGCCATGCGGGTCGCGAGCGACTGGATGCGGCGCTGCGCCTCCTCGGCGTTCTCCTTGCGGCCCTTGACCGTCACCTTGCTCGTCGGGCCCTTCTTGGCCGCCGCCGCCGCCGCACCCTGCTCGCCGCCAAAGTCGACGCGCACGCCGAGGTCCTCGCGCAGCTTGTTGACGCCGGCGCCCGACTTGCCGACGATGTGGCGCACGTGCTCGGTCGGGATCTCGAACTCGATGACCTGCAGGGAGCGAGAAGAGTCAGTTGCTGGTCCGAGAGAGGGAGAGAGAGAGAGAAAGAGAGACGCACGTGCGAGTTGACGATCTCCTCGTTCTTGGCCTCCTCGGCGATGCGCAGCAGCTCGCCCTTGACGCGCGCCACCTCGTCCTTTGGCCCACGCACGACAACGTCGTCCTCGGCGCCGCTCGCGGGCGCAAACTGGACGTGCACGAGCTTGTCCTCGCCAATGACGGCGTTGAGCGTCGTGCCGCCCTGGCCGATGACGGCGCCGTGGAGCGCGTTGGGGACCTGGATCGTCTCGGTCGTCAGGTCGGCGTACTCGGCCGCGAGGGCCTCGATCGCGCCCTTGACGGCGTCGAGCGCCGAGCGCGCCTCGGGCCCGGCCGGGTCGTCGCCGACGAACACGACGAGGACGTCGTTGCGGTCGGCATCGGCGGGCGGGAAGACAACGTCGACCGAGTGCTCCTTCTCGAGCTGCTTGACGCGCGCGCCCTTCTTGCCGCCGACGAGGTGGCGGTGCACGAGCGGGTCGACCTCGACGACGTCGAACGCCGACGGCGGCAGGCGGCGCACCTCGGCGATGACGGCCGCGCGCGCCTGGGCGACGCCCTCGAGGCCCGAGCCGCCCTCTGCGCCGTCGCCGACGATCTCGAGCCACGCGTTGGACGCGTTCGGGATCGTGTCGGCGCGCGGGAGGAAGATCGAGGTGCCGCTCGAGAGGGCGACGGGCCGCAGGCGCGCCTTGACGAGGAGGTACCGCGCGAGGTGGGCCGCGTACGCGCGCGGGTCGTGGGCGCCGCGGTGCGCCGTGAGGAGGTCGAGCTGCTCGACGGGCGCGGCGTCGGCGAGGTCCATGACGAGTTGCATCGCCTTGGCCGTGGCGCGGCCGGGACCGCGCACGACGACGTCCTCGGACGCCGAGTCGGCCGGGGCCACCTCGACGGCGCAGCCCGTCTCGGCGAGGATCTTGTCGGCGACCGAGGGCGCGGCGAGGAAGCGGTGCTGGCGCTTGGGGAGCTGGAACGAGACGACCCGGGCCGTCGCGCGCAGGTCGGCCACCTCGTGCTCGATGAGCTCGATGACGCGCTTGACCGCGTCCTTGTCGCCCGAGACGGTGACGGCCTTGTCGGCCTGCTGCTGCGCCGCGGTCGCGTTCGACGACGACGACAGGAGCGCGTCGTCGCCGCCGTCCTTGACGACGTCGACGCCGCGCTGGCCCGAGCTCCGTCGGGGCACGTCGATGCGCACCTCGTCGTCGGCGGCGCCCTCGGCGACGCCGGCGCGCTCGAGGATGGCGGCGACGCGCGCGCCGAGGAGGGCCCACAGCTCGGCGGGCACGTCCGGGACGCGGACCGACGCCTTGGACGTGCGCTCGCGCACGATGGCGAGGATCTGCTGCTTGGCGGCGGCGACGGCGGTCGACGCGCCCGAGAGCGTGATCGGGATCTGCGGGCCCGAGTCGGGGTCGTCGGCCGGGGTCGAGTCGGCGTCGAGCTCGTCGTCGCGCGGGATCTGGATCGAGCACCCGGTCGAGTCGGTGATCGACTTGAGCGTGCGGCCTGCGGACGAGCCAGGAGGATGTCAGCCTCGAGAAGCGCGAGAAGGAAAGAGATAGAAAGAGAAAGAGAGGACGGACCCTTGCGCCGATGATGACGGCGCGCAAGTCCTTGGGGACGAGCACCTTGTCCTCGATCTTCTTCTCGAGCCAGGCCGTGAGCTCGGCCTTGGCACGCTCTGCGCGCTCGTCGGCGCGGGCGCCGCGCGCCTTGATGATGAACGTGGCCGTCACCTTTGACGAGCTGGCGTCGATCGTGACGCCGTCGTGGCGGCGCATGACCTCCTTGAGGACCTCGCCGAGCGTGGTGGGCGCCTCGCGGCGCTCGTTCGAGAAGCCGCGCGGGCCGCGACGGTGGTCGGACGGCGCCGAGATGTGGATCGACGCGACGGGGAGCGACAAGGTGGTCGACGCAGCGTCGGCGGCGGCGGTCGTGCCGGGTGCCGGGGTCGACGCGCGACTGCTCTGCGACTGGGCCGAGGTGGTCGGGGCCTGCTTGGCGCGCAGGGCGGCGCCTCCACCTGCGCCCCACAGCGACTTGGGGGCAGAGCCGGCGAGAGGGGCGCCGAGCGAGGGAAAGGCGCTCTCGTCGCTGACGTCGACGTTGCGCTTGGTGGCCGTCGACGAGGTGCCGTTGGCGCCCTGCTTGGGCGGGCCGTTGGCGGCGACAGGAGGTGCGAGGGCGGCGACGGGGAACGGGTCCTCGAGGAGCGGCTCGTGGGGCTGCTGCTGCTCGTGTTGGGCGGCCTTTTGCGCGGCCTCGTGGGCGGCCTGCATGCGCTGTGCGGCACTCATGCTGGGCGGGGGGCGAGGGTCGTGGGAGGTAAAGGGAGCGTGGGGAGGAGGAGGGGGACGTGGACGAACGAGACGAGGGCCGGACGACGGTAGGGGGACCAGACGGGGGGGAGGGTTGGAGGGTAGCGAGTTGAGTGCTGCCTGCTGTGGCTGGCTCTCGTGGGGGGGTGGTGCGGACGAGGAAGAGGTTGAGGGAGAGCGACGAAGAGGTCTCGGCCCTCGGCTCGCTTCGCTCTCACATCGTCTCGTGCAGGCTGTCGAGCAGCTGCAATATTCTTACAATGCAGTAGCACACATGCCCAACCGGCGGACCCTCGACCCGCGAGAGCCGCCCGACGCTCAGACCCGCCTCCACCCCTCCTCGCCGTACTCGCGCCGCTCCTCCTCCTCAACGAGCCTCTCCTCCTTGCCCCCCTCGCTCCCCTGCTCCCCCTCCCCCTCCCCGTCCTTCCCCTCTCCCTCCTCGCCCTCCTTCCCCGCCGCCTCCACCGCCGCGGCCTTCTTCGCGCCCTCCCTCAGCGCCGCCAGCACCTCGTCCGGCGCGCTCTCGCCCGCCGGGTGCGCGACGAGCTCGCGCAGCTCGCGCAGGACTGTGAGCGTGAACGACTCGAGGTCGAGGTCCGACGGGTCGTACCCGAGCGGGCTGCGGGCGGGAGAGGGAGAGGGAGAGGGAGAGTCAGGGCGGGTTCGAGAGGGCGCGAGGGCGCGAGGGAGGAAGGCAGGGAGGGAGGGACGCACTTCTCGATCTGGTCGCCGAGGCGCAGGAGCCCGAGAAAGACGAACGAGATGATGGCGGTTGCCGGGACAGTCTGTGGGCGTGCGCGAGCGGGAGCGTGAGCGTGAGCGAGTGAGCCCACCTGTCACCCGGACGGATGCGAGGCGGACGGGTCGCGTGAACGGGAAGGAGGAGGGAGAGGGAACGAGGAAACGAGGGCCCACCAGCCACCCAAGCGTCTCGTGAAGTTGACTCGGCGCCAAGAGGAGGTATATCCAGATGACATCTGCGTGCGTGCGCTCGAGTCAGTACAGGGAGAACGAGGGAGGAACGAGGGTCGAGGAGGAACGAGGGTGCGAAACGCACGACGGAGGTGGAGCGAGTAGGCGATCGGCATGGGCGTGAGCAGGACGCGTTCGAGGCCCGTCAGGGCGTCCGACAGCGCTTGGAGCGCGCCGAGGAGTGCGTTGATCGTTGGGACCTGCGACGGCGGGAGGAGGTGGTCAGGGCGGGAGTGGCGCGAGGAGAGGAGGGAGGGGGGGACAAGGGACGCACGTCGATCGTCTTGCGGCGCTGCAGGGCGGCGACCCAGCCCGAGAGGAGGAGGATGAGCTGCGTGAGGGTGCGTCAGTACCGGCCGTCGAGGACGAGGAGGACGCGCCGAGACAGAGAGAGAGAGAGCGCACCTCGAGCGGGACATTGTCGCCCCCCTCCCTCGTCTGCAGCGGCTCCTTTTTGCCCTTCTCCCTCCTCATCCTCCTCCTCCTCCTCCCGCTCCGACTCGCCGCCCCGCTCTCGTCGTCGTCCCCCTCGAGCCGGTGCGCCGCGTCCTCGATCTTGTGCGCAACGCCCCGCCCGCGCCGGAACAGCCAGTGGAGCACGTCGGCGAAGAAGTCGTAGAACGGGACAAAGTCGTCGATCGAGCTGCCGGGAGGCGGGGCGTGACGTGGCGAGAGCGAGTCAGTGCCGGGTCCGGGGTGGGCTCGCGAGGACCGCGGACGAGGGAGAGGAAGGTGAGAAAACGGTGGGACGTACCGCGGTGGCGGGTTCCTCGCCGGCAGCAACTCGTGCCCCTGGCCCGGCGCCGCACGCTCGACCGCCATGGCGAGCGCGGCCGTGCTCCGGCGCTTCTTGACCTCGCCGAGCCCGAGCCCGCGCCGGTCGCGCAGCGTCGCCGCGACCGCCGCGAGGTCCACCTCGGCGGCCGTGTACGGGTGCGCATGGGCGCGCGGGTAGGACGGCTCGGCGGTCGCTGCTGCGCCCGAGACGCTCGGCGAGGCGGTGCGCGGCTGCACCGGCGACGTCGACGACAGCGGCGGGAACAGCGGCGTGCGGCTGTGCGCCTCGCTCAGGCTGTGCATGCTCTGCGACGACGCCGCCGCCAGCCCGCCATGGAGCTCAAACGCCGGGTCAAAGCTCGTCTGGCGGCTCATGGCGAGCGGCGTGCGCGCGCCCGCACCGGCGCCCGGCCCGCCGAGGACGGCAAACGCGCTCGCGCCGAGCGTCTCGACGCTGCCCGGCTCGACCGGGCTCGGCGCGTAGCCCGGTCCGAGGTCGTCGCGGCGCAGGTAGAGCGACGACGGGAGCTTGTGGTACCGCGGGAGGAACGCGACGAGGGGCCACAGGTCGGTGTAGTGGACGCCTGGCTCGCCGCGCACGTAGTGCTTGAGCGCGACCGAAAAGGCGGCGACGAGGTTGATGTAGGTGCGCTTCTCGGCGAGGGCCTCGGCGCGCTCGGCGTGCGAGATCGAGGTCGACGGGTCGGCGGGGACGTGAAGCTGATCTGGGCAGTGGAGCCAGGCCATGCGGGCAAACGTGCGCGAAGCGAGGATGACGGACGACCACAGGCGGCGTCCTTCAGAGTAGCTGCCGAACGCGCTGTTGGTCTTGAACGTGAGGAGGAGGCCGATGACCTGCGGAGCGGCGAGCGAGGTCAGTAGTCTGTCAGGCGCCGAACGAGAGCGTGGCACTCGAGACATCGAACGAGATATCAGGCTCACCGTGCCAAAGACGGTAAGGAGCGTCGGCGCAATCTCGAGCCTGCGAGGGCGAGAAAGAAGGTGAGCTCTGCGCCCGTCGACCGGCCGAACGGCGACGAGGGGACGCACTGATGGACCGTCTCGCTGAGGGACGCGATGAGAAAGGCCCAGCCGACAAAGATGCAAATCTCGGGGAGGACGGTCCAGAAGATGGTGGCCTGGAGGTGCAGGAGGCCGCCCGGTGTTTTGAAGTCGTGCGCGTGCGTGTGGTCGTGCGTTGCGGTTGAAGGCATGTCGGCGGCGTGCGATTCGGGAGAGGTGTGAGGTCGAGGTCGCACAGCTGGGCGCGAGGACGTGCTGGCGAGGAGAACCGATGCGAGATTGAGGGAGGGGGAGATGACGAACGAGGCGAGGTGGGGCAAGGGCGAGCACGCGCAGCGGCCAGCGCTGGGTGGCGTGAGGACGTTGAGCGAGCCTCCGAGGACGGCTTGAAGGCGCTTCTAGCTCAGCACGAGGGAGCGAGGCGAGAAACGGAGGCCAAACCCGGGTTGCGAGAGAGCGACGAGGAAGACGACGACGGCGCGCCCTCATCTCTCTCAGGCAGCGCAGACCAGGGCTGGGAGTCATCTGCAGCTCACTGTAGAGTACTCTAGCCCAAGAAGGACTGTGTCCGCCGCTGCCGCCGAGGCGCGACGAGTGCACCGCCTCGTCCTCTTCTCAGCAACCTCACCCTCACCCGCTTCACTGCACCCGCTGCAGCCATGCCGTTCGGCCAGGTCGTCATCGGCCCACCAGGCTCGGGCAAGACCACCTACGTCTGGGGCCTGCACCAGGTCCGTTCCCCTCCCCCTCGTCCTCCTCATCCTCATCTCCCCCGAGCCATCCCTCGTCCCCACCACCACGCCCTGACTCCTGTCCCTCGCCACGCAGTTCTTCACTGCCCTCGAGCGGCCCATCCTCCTCGTCAACCTCGACCCGGCCGCTCCCTCTCCCCCTTACCCGCACTCTGTCTCGATCGCCGACCTCATCAGCCTCGACGACGCCATGAGCGCGCACGGCCTCGGGCCCAACGGCGCCATGCTCTACTGCCTCGAGTACCTCGAGGCCAACCTCGACTGGCTCGACCACGAGCTCGACCGCGCCTTGACCGCCCTCGAACAGGCTGGGCCCGCAGGCGGTGGTGCAGCGTCCGACGACGACGAGCTGGATCCGGTGAGCGGCGGGAGGAAGGAGCGGCGACGGTGGAGGCGGGACGAGATGTACGTCGTGTTCGACACGCCGGGCCAGGTCGAGCTCTCGACCAACCACGACAGCCTCAAGCACGTCCTCGAGCACCTGCGCAAGCGCGCCGGCTTCCGGGTCCGTCCCCGCCTCTCTCCTACTCGAGTCCACCTCCCTGACACTGACTGACCCTGCGCACACGCCCCGCAGCTCGCCGCCGTGCACCTCATGGACGCGTCGCACATCCTCGACGCGCCCAAATACGTCGCCGTCCTCCTCCTCGCGCTGCGCACAATGCTCCAGCTCGAACTCCCGCACGTCAACGTCCTCAGCAAGGTCGACCTCCTCGGCCAGGCGGGCGACTTGCGTGCGTCCCCCCCGTCTCTCTTTGGTCCAGCCCGCCTCGCCCCGCGCGAGCCCGCACTGACCTGCACGACGCTTTTTGGGCGACACACAGCGTTCAACCTCGACTACTACACCGAGGTGCAAGACCTGTCGTATTTGCTGCCGTTCCTCGAGCGGGACCAGCGCACGCAGCGGTTCGGCGAGCTGAACCGCGTCATCTGCGACCTCGTCGAGGAGTTTGGGCTCGTCGGGTTCGAGACGCTCGCCGTCGAGGTGCGTCGGCCGGGTTTCCTCTGCGCTTCGGCGACTCTTTCTCTCTGTTCGAGAAGCGTCACTGATACGAACTGCTGCCACCCGACGCAGGACAAGGACTCGATGCTGCGCCTCGTGCAGGTCATCGACCAGGCCCTCGGCTACGTCCCTCCCGCCCTCTCCTCCGCATCTCCCTCGTCCTCCTCCGACCCCCACACCCACTCGCACCCGCAACCTCCCTCCTCCACCTCCTCACACACGTCGCACCACGCGCACGCCCCGCACCCGTCCTTCGCCCAGTCGCAGCCGCTCAGCACGGCGCTGCACGCCGGCACGGTGCAGGAAAAGTGGGTCGACCACGCGCGCGAGTACGAGGTGCACGAGCGGGGCATGTGGGAGAAGGAGGGCGAGTGGGCGGCCGAGAGGGCGACGGAGGAGAGCCGCAGGAGGGCGGTCGAGAGGGCGAGGAGGGAGGCGGGCGGGGAGGCGGCGGGCGGCGGGGAGGGTGCTGAGGGACGGTAGCGAGTGTCGGGAACTGGCGCTGCAGTGCGAGAGGTGCAGCGTGCTCCTGGGCTGTGCTGGTCGAGCGTCGACGTCGCTCGTGAGCAGGCTCGAGAGCGCGAGAGTCGCTCGTCGTCCTTCTTTCGTTCGGTCCTGTGCGGCTCTCGTGCAAAGCCATCGCGAGTTTCTTGCACAGTTTCGCGTCACGTCCTGCACGAGCGAGAGAGACGAGCTGGAACCCTCGCCCGACTTTCATCGCTCCTCGCAACCTTCGTCGTCAACTCGCTCCTCGCCACCGCCTCGAGGACCGCCAGCGCTCCACCAGAGCCGCTGCACGGCCTCGAGCATCGCCTACTAGGCCCCGACGCCCCCTCCACAGCCTGCGCGTCCCACCTCCTCTCGACCTCCCCGCATCCGCCTCGCCGCGCCCGCCTCGCAGGCGCCGCGCCCCGCGCCGCATGGCCACGACCTCGCTCCTCCCCTACTCGCTGCGCCACCCTCTCCTCGCCCTCCCGATCCCGACCTTCCTCCGCCCGTCGCACCTCGGCCCCAAGCGGTCGCTCCTCGTCGGCCTCACACTCGGCTTCTCGCTCTCGTTGAGCCTGACGGGCCTCGCGTGGTACGCGCTGGACGCGTGGCGGAGGGGCTTGAGGCGCGAGGCGAGCAAGAGGATCGTCGAGGTGAGGGGGGACGAGGTCGTCGACGGCATCGAGGGGCTCATTGGTGCGCTCCCCTCGTCCTCTCTTCTTCCTCGTGGGACCCAGAGCAAGAGATGCTGACAGAGCGTCTGACCGCACGCAGGCAACACGCCCCTCGTCCGCATCAACTCGCTCAGCGACGCGACCGGCGTCGAAATCCTCGTGCGTCCCACCTCGGCTGTCCTGCCCAACGACGGTCGCACGAGCGGCACTGACTCGGCTCCACCGGTCCCTTGTGGCGCAGGGCAAGGCCGAGTACCTCAACCCGTTCGGCTCGGTCAAGGACCGCGTCTCGTTGCAGAGTGCGTCGCTCCCCCCTCGCATTCCTCTTCTCGCCTCGTCCCGTCCTGACGAGCCCGCCGGCCCCCAGTCATCAAGCAGGCCGAGTCAGAAGGGCTCATTCACCCGAACACGGGCTCGTGCATCTTCGAGGGCACGTCGGGCAGCACGGGCATCTCGATCGCCGGTATCGCTCGCGCTCGAGGGTACACAGCTCGTGCGTCCTCCCTCTCTTCTCTCTCCCCCTCCCGACCCGCCACTGATCCACTCTCGCGTCCCCCACAGACATCGTCCTCCCCGACGACGTCGCCGCCGAGAAGATCCAGATGCTGCGCGTCCTCGGCGCCGAGGTCGAGCCTGTCCGCCCCGTCTCGATCGTCGACCGCCGCCACTACGTCAACCTGGCCCGACAGCGCGCGCTCGAGTTTGGCAAGGGCCACGACGTCGTGCGCTCGACGACGAGCGCGAGCACGCCGAGCGCGACGCCGAGGGCCGTCACGCCGTCGCTCGGGAGCGACGGCGCCAGCGGCGTGCCGCCCGACCTGCTCGTCACGGCGGGCTCGCCCCGGCGCCGCAGCAGCGTCAGCGGCGACGACGACGGCGACGGCGACGTCGGCGGCGGGTACCGCGACCCGCCTCGCGGCCTGTTCGCCGACCAGTTCGAGAACCTGTCGAACCTGCGCGCGCACAGCGAGGGCACGGCGCAGGAGATCTGGACCCAGACTGCCGGGCGCGTCGACGCCTTCATCAGTGGGGCTGGGACGGGCGGCACGATCGCGGGCGTCGGGAGGGTGCTCAAGGAGCGGACGGGAGGGAGGTGCGAGGTCGTGCTGGCGGACCCGCAGGGGAGCGGGCTGTACCACAAGGTGCGCTCACCTTTCGCTCTCTCGTCTCGCCTACTCTCCTTTCAGCAGGAGAAGGGCTCTGACTCTTGCAGCTTCGGCACGCGCAGATCCAGGACGGCGTCATGTACGCCGAGACCGAGTCGGAGGGCAAGCGGCGGCGGTACCAGGTCGACACGGTGCGCCCGCTCCCCCTCGTGCTCGTCGTCTCGCAGGAGCAGGACCTGACGACGCCGCACGCCCGCAGATCGTCGAGGGCATCGGCTTGAACCGCATCACGCGCAACTTGTCGCAGGCGCTGCCCATCATCGACGACGCCATCCGGTCCGTCCCTCTCACCTCTCATTCTCTCGCTCTCTCCGTCTTCCGTCCTCTCGCTCATCCTCTACGTCGTCTCGCAGCGTCACCGACGCTGAAGCCGTCGCCATGTCGCGGCACCTCGCGCTGCACGACGGCCTCTTCCTCGGCTCGTCGTCGGCCGTCAACCTCGTCGCGAGCGTGCGCCTCGCACGGTCATGGGGCCACAAGGGCCGAGGGCGACGCATCGTCACGATCCTGTGCGACTCGGGCGCACGGCACGCGAGCCGGTTCTGGTCCGTCGCCTCGTCTCGTCTCGCTCGCGCCCCCTCCTCCTCTGTCTCTCGCCCTCGCCGCTCACGGGCCTCTCTCTCTCTCTCTCGCGCAGGAACGACGACTACCTCGCGCGCGCCGGCATCCCGCTCTCGACCTCGATCGAGTTCCTGTACACCGAGGCGCCGCTGCGCGCGCCGACGACGGCCGACGAGCCTGACCCGAGCCACGACACGGAGTTGGCGAGCGACGACCCGAGGGAGTTGGGGCCGCCGCCGCCTGAGGCGCTTGCGACGCCGAGGGAGGAGAAGGATGGACGGTTTGCTCCGGCTTAGAGGGGCGGCGAGGGGGTAGATGGCGCGCTGGTTGTCGGTGCGAGCGAGGTCGAGGACGAGGTGCAACACTCTCGGCTCCGCCCAGACCTCCCACTCGACCTCGTCATCCTGTATCTGACTGTACGAGAGACCTGTACGAGCGTCGACAGCGCAGAGTAAGCTTGTGTCTCGCGACCCGCCGGCACGGATCCGACGCGACGACGAGGTGCTCTCGCTCTTTCACCGCTCTGCACCGCTCGCGAGCCAGTCGCGCACCCCTGCTCGAGCTTAGCTGTCGCTGTGCACGCCCTGCTGCGACAAGCGCTCGCCACGCCGCACCATCGTCGCTTCGAGCCCACCCGACTCCCGCCATCATCATCATCATGGTCGCCTCGTTCGCCTCGCTCCCTCTCGAGCTCGTCAGCCGGGTCGTCGATATGGTACACGTGCAAGACCGAGCCTGGACCGCGCTGGTCATACACCGAGCGCGCCAGAGTGGAGCCGCGAACTACTTGGGCAGGCGCGGAGACGATGTGCCCGCGGGCAAGTGGTCGTCTTGGTACGGTCGAGGTGTACTCGCACTCGCGCAGGTCGACAGACGGCTCCGTGCAGTCGCAGTGCCCCGACTTTACGAGGTGCGCCCGCTCTCGCCTTCCCTCCTCTCTCTCTCTCTCTCTCTCTCTCTCTCTCTCGCCTCGCGCACGCTCACTCGCGTTCGTCCCGCAGAGCCTGCCCGCCAGATCAACAAGGACCAACTACTACTACTTCCGCATCGTCGGCCAACCTCTCGGGCAGCACGTCCGCCACCTCGACTGCAGCCTTTTCGACAAGGTCGAGCTCGCGTTTCCTGTCGCCTGCGCGCTCCAGGCCCTGCTCAACTTGACGTCGATCGCGGTCGACGACGTCGCCCTCCGCATTGGGTCAACCATGACGGGCCAGAGCTTCTCGCTGTCGCCCTCCAGAGCGCCCTGGGTCGCGTCACTACGCTCGAGATCCTGTCGGGCGACGCGCACGTCGTCGCGCACGCCCTGTCGCACGTCAACAAGCATCTTCTCGGTCGTCTAGTGCTCGTGCCCACGGCGAGCCTCGTGCCCGTGCCAGGCGAGCCCGTCATCGACTTCAATGACTTCGAGGCGCTGGTCGAGGTCGAGCTCGGCGTCGCGTCGAGCCAGGACTGGCTGCGGCTGCAGGACATTCTGCGCTTCCCGCATCTGCGCAGCCTGTCGATCAAGTGCGAGGACTATCCCCACCGGGAGGCGTACGAGGACGTTGTCGTCTGGGCTCATCACGTTGCGCCGTCCCTCGTCGTCCTCAAGCTCCACAACTGCGACCCGGCGGCCGACTACTTCCCCGCAGATTGCCCGTCACCGCTCCTGCCGTACCTGCGCGTCCTGCGCCTCGACACCGATCAAATGCCCGAGCTCGACTGGCTGTCGCTCGACCGCCTGCCCGCCCTCGAGCGTTTCGACGCCAACGTCCTCGGGCGCCCTTATCCGCACCCTCTGTCCGGCGCGGCGCCTTCCAAGCGCACGACACTGCGGTCCGTCCACGTCACGTACAACGACACGTCTCCGATCCCGCTCGAGCCGGCGGAAAGGGCCGAGTGGGACAAGCTCGGCATCCGCATCTTTGAGCGCTGGACGCCGTCGTACGACGCCGCGCCCGAGACCTCGGGGCTGCCCAAGTACGAGCACGGCAGTCTCGAGGGGGCCGAGGAGGCCGTCGAGGCCGTCGCGCGGCTCTTTTCGTGGGCGACCGAGCGCGCACGGTGGCTCGCGCACGTCGGCGACAGCGGCGGCCTCGACGAGCTGTCCGAGGCGGCGTACCGCCTGAGGGAGCGGTTTGTCGTCGAGCACATGTGACGGACGGGCGGGCAGGGCGCGGTTGCGAGCGCAGGGCGAGGCGAGGGACGGGCGCGCGCGGTCGGCGGCGGGTCGTCGGGGCGTGAGCGACGAGGCGGTCAGAGGGGGCTGGCGCAGGGCGGCAGACGGTGTGCAGCACGGCGGCGAGTGTGTTGCGATGCACTTTCCCTTGCCTTGCCTCTCGCACAAGCTGGCGAGCCTGAGAGCGGCGGCGGTGCGAGCGACTCGACCTGCTCTCGCTCTCTCTTACCTCTCGCCCGGGCGTGCGAGAGTGCCGGCACCGTCTTCTGAAGTATTCTGCTGCACGTTCGGGTGCTCACCACGCCGCACGAGAGCGATGCGCCAAAGCCGTTCTCATCAGCTCCTCGTCCGCCGCTCGGCTCTCCTGCTCCCACGACTCGACGTGCTGCACGCCAGAACGTGCACAGCTTGAGCACCAGCTGCTCGCTGTCCCGCACGACCACCGCGCAACCCGCCCGCATCGCCCTCGCCCAGCCACCTCGTCCTCGCCCTCTCAGCCCTCCCCATACCTCGACCGCGTCGGCAGCCATGCCCGCCTCGTACAGCTCGCTGCCAGAAGAGGTCATCAGCCACATCGCCGACATGGTGCACGCGCAAGACGGCGCGTTCGACCAGCTCGCCCTCAAGCGCGGCACGACCTCACTGCAAGCCTCGAGCATCGGCAAGAAGCGCGCGATCGAGGACGAGGACGCCACGAACCCGCTCGAGGGGCGCTGGTCGCCCGTGTACGGGCGCGGCATCCGCGCGCTCGTCCAGCTCGACCGCCGCACTCGCTCGCACGCCCTCAAGCACCTCTACAAGGTGCGTCCTCGCGCCAGCTCTGCACTCGTCCGACTCGGTTCGCTCACCTTCTCTCTCGACTGCCCGCAGACTATCACCGCCAAGCAGGCCGCCTCCGACTTTTGCCGGTACGCCGTCCTCGGCGAGCAAGTCGGCAGCCTCGTCCGCGAGGTCGACCTCGACCTCGACCCGTCCCACGACACCGACCCGTTCTCGCTCGCGTGTGCCCTGCGCAAACTCAAGAACCTGTCGAGCATCATCGTCGACGGCGCCGCCCTCGAGCTCGCCTTCCCGCACGTCTTTCCGCCAGAGCGCGAGCCGGACGAGGCCGACAAGCTCCTCGGCCTCGGCATCCTCGACGCGCTCGGGCGCGTCAAGTCGCTGACCGCCCTCTCGGTCGACGACAAGGTCCTGGCGTGCGCCCTGAGCGGCACGCGTTCGGCTACCCTGTCCCGCCTGTCGATCGACAACTCGTCGTCGCTCGTGCCCCTCGACGACCAGCTCGTCGCAGCCCTGAACGGCCTGCAGTCGCTCGTCGAGCTCAACGTGGGCGACATGTCGTCACCCTTGTGGCTGAGCATGGAACAGCGCGTCCGACTCGAGCACGTCAAGAAACTCACGGTCGGTCGTGCCGGCGTCGAGGCGTACTACCACGAGGTCCTGCTTCTCGCGCACCACATCACGCCGCAAGCACGCACCCTCTGCATCGTGTTCACCCTGTCCGAGTCGGCGTTAGATCTGGCCCTACCAGAGCCTCTCCTCCCGACGCTTCGCGTCCTCGACATCCAGCACGCCCAGGACGAGTTCGCCGCCTGCCACGAGAGCCGCCTTTCCGCACTCGAACACCTCCACATCGCCTTCGATTGCCCCGTCTCGGTCTTCCCGTACAAAGTCGACTACCTCCCGCCCGCGCCGACCGCTCTGCGCAGGATCACCCTCTCGTACCCCTCCCTCAAGCGCCTCACTCCGCCCGCCGCGCTCCTCGCCTGCTGCACCTTCCTCAACATACACCTCTCGGTCCATCGCCGCCTCGCCTCGCCTGAGGCGTTCACGGCCAGTCGCGTCGTGACGGTCGGCGCCGGCGAGCAGGCCGCCAACGTCGTCGCGCCGAGCCGGTCGCAGGCCCTCGCGCTCGAGGAGACGCTCACGTGGGCGCGCAACCGCGCGAGGTGGCTGCGCGAGACGGGCGACGGGCCGGGCCTGCAGGAGCTCGCCGTCGCGGCCGTGCGGCTCCGCGAGCGGCACCTCTTGCACGAGTCGTGAGGCGGCGGGGAGGGGCGGCGGCGAGGAGGCGGCTCGTGTGGGAGCGGACAGGCTTGCAGGTGGGGGCAGGAGGAGCGTCGGTGCAGCTGCACGGGCGTCGAGGCGGTTCGAGAGGTCCGGGTGCAACGCTCGAGCAGCTACTCGACCCGTCTCGCTTTTGCCCCGAGAGATGCGCCACTTCGCGCCGAGCTGTACGATAGAGTGAATGGACGGGCTGCAGTGCGCGTCCCTCTGTGCGCGAGCATCGAAAGTCGAACCAAGTTCATCTGTGTCTCGGCTCCTCGTCGCCCTCGTCCTCGCCGCTCTCGTCCCGACCGCACCACGCCTGCGCTTGACGACAGCGCCAGAGCCCTGTACCAGCTTGCTCGACGCCGTCTACCCGATCGACCACGCGCCCTCGACTCGCCAAGCTCGACCTCCCCCTCTTCCCCTCGTCGTCCCCACCCTCGGTACCCTCCCTCGTCGCCCGCTCGCCATGGTCACGTCGTACAGCTTCAGCACGCTCCCCGCCGAGCTCCTAAGCCGAGTCGCCGAGCTCGTCCACGAGCAGGACGTCGCGTTCGCCAAGCTCCTCGAGGTCGACCCGATCAAGCGCGCCGACTCGCCGCCCACCCAGCGAGACCTCGAGCTTGACATCGTGTCCGGCTTGTGGAGCTACTGGTACGGTCGCGGCATCAAGGCGTTGGCTCGAGTCGACCGGGCGACGAGGGCTGCGGCGCTTCCGCACTTGTACCAGGTGCGCCCGCCCTTCCTCCGCCTCGTCGCCCGCAGCCGCAGCAGGACCTGACGGATAGCCCTCGCCTGCAGAACATCACGGCGAAGCAGACGCACACGTCATGGTTCCGCTACGAGGTGCTCGGCGAGGACCTCGCTCAGCACGTCCGCCATCTCGAGATCACCGACAACGACTTGGTCCTCCCCAAGCTGGCAGAGTCGGTCGCCTGCGCGTTGCGCAGACTGCCCAACCTGTCGTCGCTCGTGCTCGGGTACTGCGCGCTCGCCAAGCTCGACGACCCGCAGCCGGGTGTCAAGGCGAGCCAGCGCGACGCCATGCTCCGCGGCGCACTGCGGGTCGCGCTCGGCAAGGTCACGTCGCTCCAGCTCGACCACCCGGACGTCGAGCGCTTCCTCGCCGCGCTCCGCTACGCGAGCGGGTCCCGACTGCGACGGCTGTGCCTGACGGGCCCGCGGTGGAAAACCTCGCGACGCGCCGAGGTCCGAGCGGTCTGCCGCGGCCTTGTCGGCCTCGTCGAGCTCGAGATCAACCACCTGTCGGACGACACGAGCGCCGCCATGCGTCGAGACCTACGGCTGCCGTCGGTGCGCTCCGTCGTCCTCGCGACCGGCCTGTCCTACGAGGACGACCTCGCCCTCGCCCACTTCATCGCCCCCTCGATCACGTACCTCGCGATCTACAACCCCATCTGCGCAGACGAGATTTCCGCCCCCGAGTCCGAGGTTCCCTCGCCCTCGCCCCTCCTGCCGACCTTGCGCACGATCGCCCTCGACTGCGACTTTTACCGCGACGACTTGCACGAGATCACCCTCCCCAGCCTCGAGCACTACGACCTCTCGGTCAGGTACGACAGCTCGTCGTTCCCACTCGACCTCGACGAGATGCCGTTCGACAGCCCCCACCTGCGCACCATCACCGTCTCTCTTCGCCCGCTCTACCTCGACGAGCCGCACAGGGCGTTCGAGGACACGTGCGCCGCAGCCGGCGTCCGCCTCGTCGTCCACACGCGTCCCTTCGACAGCGACGTCATCGCCGACACCAAGTCGTTCGTCATCGACTGGTCGTCCGACCCGCCCATTTCCCCGAGCACGTCGCACGGCGCCGTCCTCAAGCAGCTGTTCGACTGGGCCGGCCGTCGCGCGCAGTGGCTGTCCGACGTCGGCGATGCGGCGGGGCTCAGGGAGCTCGCCGACGCGGCGGTCCGCCTGCAGGAGCGGCGCATCATCGAGGGCAGCTGAGCCGCGACGGGCTCGGCGGCGAGCGGCGGCGCGCAGGTGCGGCGAGCGAGGCGGGCAGGTGCGACGAGGCGACGCGGCGTGCGGGAGCAGCAGGTTGGGAGCGCCGGACGGCGTCGTCGAGCGGCGGACGGCGATCGGCAGCGTCGAGCGGGACGGTCGAGACGCGCCGACGAGCGGCAGCGGTCGGCGGCGACGAGGGTCGAGCGGTGTGAGCGAGCGAGGAGGGTGCGAGAGGGGCGCAGCTGGGCCAGTCGGCGCTGTAGACGAGGGCGCGTTCGCAACGAGGGAGGAGGGAGTTCCTCGACTTCCCGTCTCTCTGCTCGCCCGCCGTCGTTCGCCTCGACTCGACGAGAGCGCTAGAGCAAGAGCGACGAGGAACTCGCTATTTGCTCGGGAAAGCCTCTACGTCGAGCGCAGCTTGACTCGCTCGCCGTCGCTCGCCGTCGTCGTCGTCGCCCACAGCGCCAAGTCCCGCTTCGCTGGCTTCTTCTCGGTCTCTGGGCTCGGAGCTGGGGCTACCTCGGTGCATGATGTACTCGAAAGGCCTGTCAAGCTCACCCGAAGCAGCCAGGGAGCCGACACGGCGAGAACGAAAGCCGGCGCCTCCTCATCAGCGTCGACGAGGTCGGGGCCTCTTCGCTCCTCTTTATCACCCTCCACCAACCAGCTCGAGCCTTACAGCTGCTCTAGAGCACTGCAAGCACCGCCTCCAGGTCCACCGCCACCGCCAAGTCGCCCCGTCCGCGCTCCCCCTCGTCCGCCCTCCCCCCAACTTCCTCCCGCCTCGTCCACTCGCGCACCCTCGCCTACCGCCGCACGAGATGGCCCCGTCGTACCAGTCGTTGCCTGTCGAGCTCCTGAGCCGAGTCGCCGAGCTCGTCCACGAGCAAGACCTGGCCTTCGCCGCGTCCCCTGTGCCGCGAGCCGATTCGCCGACTAGCAACAAGCCGGGCAAACACGTCGACGTGACGGGCGGCACATGGAGCTATTGGCATGGTCGCGGCATCCGGGCTCTCGCGCAAGTGGACCGTCGTTCCCGCACAGCCGCCGTCCCCATCCTGTACCAGGTGCGTCCTCCCTCGCCCCTTGTCCTCTCTCGCACAGCGCCCCTGACATCGAGCTCCTCTCACCTTGCAGAGCATCACGGCCAAGCAGACAAGCACCTTGTACTTCCGCCTCGAGGTCCTCGGTGAGCCCCTCGGGGCTTTCGTCCGCCACGTCGACGTCGACACGGTCTACGACGCGCACATCGCCCCTCTCGCGTGTGCGCTTCGCAAACTGCCCAACCTGACGTCGGTCAAGCTCGGCTACGAGGTCGTGCGTGACTGCATCGCGTGTCACGACGAGGTCGAGTTGCCCGAGGACTTCTTGGCGCTCAAGTCGTCGATGCGGCACGCGCTCGGCAAGGTCAAGTCGCTCGAGGTGGACGTCATAGGCCAGTCCTCATTGCTGAAGACGCTCGTCTGCGTCGACGGAGCTCGCCTGCGCAAGCTGCACTGGGTCGACCCGGAATGGCCCTCGGAGCCCGACGTCGAGCTCGAGTGCGCCGTGCGCAGCCTAGTCGGCCTCGTCGAGCTCGAGGTCAGCAACCTGTACCTGCAAAACTACGACGACCTGCGGCGGTGCCCGCCGTTCCCGACGGTCCTTTCGCTCGTCCTCCGCGGTACTCACGGCGACGACCACAAGAACCTCGCGCTCGCCCACTACCTCGCGCCGTCGGTCACTCGCCTCGCGATCTACTACGGCGTCGTCGAATCTCCGTTCGACGACGAGCTCGAGCCTCTCCCGCGCCCGCTCCTGCCGACTCTCAAGTCGCTCATCGTGGAGGCCACCTCGTGTCCCCCCGTGTTCGACCATCTCAACCTCGGCGCCCTCGAGCACTTCAAGATGACGCACAAAAGGGCATGTATCGAGTTTCCGCTCGACATCGACGAGGTGCCGTTCAAGGGCGCGCCAGTGCGCACCATCACGCTCGCGTTCCGAGCCAGCCCGCTCGTCAAGGCGAGCAAGAAGGTCCTGCGCCTCCTCGATGCCGCCGGCGTACATCTCGTCGTCGAGCAGAGCCCCTTGTCGGTCCCACAGCTCAAGGCCACGGGCAGGGTCGGCGGCAGCCCGGCCAACACGCTCGCCGTCGCCCGTCGCGCGCACAGCCAGCTCGTCAACACGCTCGACTGGGCCCGCCGCCGCGCCGACTGGCTCGACGAGGTCGATGACGCGCCGGGCCTGCACGAGCTCGCGCACGCGACGGCGAGGTTGCACGAGCGCTACCTCATGGACCGCGCGTGAGCGGCGGCGCGAGCGGCGGCGGGCCGCGACGACGATCGGCTGGCGGCGACGAGGGCGGCGCTCGTCGGCGGGTGCGACGGGCGTGGCGAGCCGGCGCGACGAGCCGCAACATCGGGAGGAGGGCGGCGAGCGGCGACGGCGAGCGGCGACGGCGAGCGACGAGCGGCGAGGAGCAGCGAGGACGAGGAGCGGCGGGACGAGCGCAGCGCAAGGCCGGCGGCGACGTGCGGGACATGTCGAGCGTCGATGAGCGAGCGATGGCGAGGGCGAGAGCGAGCGTGTAACGACGACGGGTTGTCTCCTCGCTCGGGCCTCGTCGCTGCGAGAGCTCTACTCATTCCTCCTCTCGAGCTCCAAACGTCCCTCAGCTTCTCGCGCTCTCTCCACCTGGTCGTCTCTCGAGACGTGCGACAGCCTCTCTCTGCGACCGCAAGAGCGAGAGCCTCTCGCTCGAGAAGGGCAAAAAACGACGAGCGACGTTACAACCTCCTCCCACCTCCTCCCTCCTGCCCTCGTCCCTCGTCCCTCGCCCCCTCGCAGCGCCCTCAGTCCTTGTCCAACGAGTACAGCACAGTCGACGCGATGACGAGTCCTGCGCCGAGGAGGAACTGGGGCCCGGGCACGAGGCTGAAGAGGGCGGCCGAGGCGAGGGTGGATACTGCGCGCGAGGGAGGGGGCGAGGACGAGGGGTGGGGCGGGTTAGGGCGGGGTTGGGGGGCGTGGGAGGGAGAGGGGGAGAGAGAGGGGGAGAGGGCGAGAGAAGGGGAGAGGATGGGCGAGGCGAGGATGGCTAGGCAGGAGGAAAGGAGGAAAGGAGCGAGCGAGGGACGCACAGACGATGGCGATCGACGTCGCGAACCCCTTGGCGACGCTGTCGGCGAACCGGACGACCTGTGGCGGCACGACAGGGCATCAGTCGCAGCCTGAGGGACCTCTCGGCCGCGAGAGAGAGAGAGCGAGGGACGCACCATGGCGACGAGCAACCCCCCCAGCGCCTGGTTGAGCACGACCCCCCAAACGAGCGCATCGAACGGCGCCCACAAGCCCTGCGCCGCCGTCGCCGCCGCGCCTAGCCCGCCCTTGGCCCACGCGCGCGACACGGGCGCACACAGGGCGACGCCGACGAGCGAGAAGCAGAGGGACGGGACCGAGAGCTGGAGGTTGCGCGCCCAGAGGGTGGGAGAGTTGGCGCGCAGGGCGAGAGGGGGTGAGGGTGGGGCTTTGTCGGGCGAGGAGGGGGCGTCGCGAGGAGGAGGAGGGGGACGAGGGAGGGCAGAGGAAGGGGACGGTGACGCCGCCGGCGACTTGAGCACCCACTCGAACCACGCTCCCGCCAATCCACTGCTCACGCACGCGGCCAAGATGGCCGCGAACCCCTTGCGGCGGTCCTGGCCGTCGTCGGCCGTGCCGGCGAGTCGCGCCGTGCCCGCCGCCATGTCGGTCGACTCGAGCTGGACGATGGCGACGCCCGCTGTGAGGAGGACGAGGGCGGCCCACCGGAGCCGAGAGAGCGAGCGCCGGAAAAAGAGGATCGAGAAGAGGGCCGTCGTGAGGAGCTTGAGCTGCGGGTGGGTCGAACGAGGGTGTCAGTCAGTGCGTGGGAGACTCGAGAGGGAGGAAGAGGACGCACCTGATAGGTCGTCTGGTACGTCGCCGCGTCGAGGTTGGACAAGGCCGTGTACTGCGCGCGCGCGCCAAAGGGAGAGGGTCAGGAACGGGACGCCTGGACCGAGAGCGGGGCGAGGCGACGCACGAGGAGCGTGTTCTGGAGGGCGTAGAGGGCCGCAGGTACGGCGAGCTTGAGCATCTCGGCCTTCTGGTGGGCGACGAGGTCGTGCACGGCGCCCAGTGCGTGCGCGACCAGGCCCGACTTGGGCCCGCGCCCGCGCTTACCCTCGCCTTTGCCGTTCGGCAGCGCCGCACGTTGCCGCTGCCGCGCGAGCATCGAGAGCGACACTGCGCACTTGATGCACTCTGCGGTAAAGACGGCGACGGCGGGCTCGTACAGGGGAGCGCCCGGTGGGCGGGTCGAGGTGCGGCTGAGGCGGGTGAGGAGCGAGACCGAGGCGTTCTGGAGGCACAGGAGGACGAGGGCGATGGTGCGCTTGCTCAGGCGGTTCCGGTCGACGGGCGGGCTGCGGGCGGGCAAGGGTTGGTGAGTTCGAGATGCCAGCGAGGAGGACGAGGAGGTCGAGGAGGGGGCGCACCTCGGCGGGGATTCGACAGCCTGGGTCGGGTGTTGCGGTACATTAGTCGAGAATGGAACAGGAGCAGCTCTTGCCTGTAGCCGTTGGCGCATAGCAGCTGATGAGGTTGAGCGAGGAGGAGGAGGACGTCGCGTCGGCTCTCCTCCTTCCTCCTCTCTCCCTCTCGCTCCACTGGACAGGCACAGCTGCCTGCGGTCCACACGCAATGACCTCGCACCTGCTCGACAGCTTTGCGAAACGCGCCCTCGCCGCGAGCCCTCGTCGCTCTTCGTCGCCGCCGCCCCCACTCCTCCCCGACCTCGACCGCGATGACCGCAACGCAGGCCCCGCACGACGCTCTGGCGCACCAGAACCCGACTGCGGATTCTGCATGATTGCGTCTGGGCAAGAACCGGCGCATTTGGTGCGCTCGTCGTCCTCCTGCTTCTCCTCGCCTCCGAGCAACGCTCACGGATGCTTGCCTCGTGGTCAACGGGTCTACGACGACGAGCACGTCCTCGCCTTCCTCGGTGCGCTCAGCCAAGCCAGCTCCTCCCAACGCCGCCACTGACCCCTCACAGACATCCTCCCCATCCGGCCCGGCCACCTCCTCCTCGTCCCTCGGCGACACTACGAGCGCATGTGCGCCTCCTTTCCTCCCTCCTCTCTCTCGAGCGACGCAGAGAGATGTGACTGACCCTCGTGCGCCCCGCTCGCTCGCAGCCCGCACCTCCCCGACGACCTCGCGGCCCACCTCGGGCGCGTCCTCCCCCGGCTGTGCCGCGCCCTGTGTCGAGGTGCGTCCCCTAAGTTTGCCTGGGTCTCCCTCGAGTCGCCTGCGCGATACTGACTGCGTCTCGACTCGCCTGCTCGCAGCGACCGGCCAGCCGGATCATAACCTCGTATCGAACGTGCGTCGGCGCTCGCCCTGGCCCTCTCTCGCTCGACTGCCTACCTCGGTGCCGACGAGCAGAGTAGCACTGACACGCCCGCCCGTACGCGCCCACAGCAAGGCTACGCCCAAGTCGTCCCGCACGCCCACATCCACCTCGTGCCCGCACCGACCCTCTCTCCCTCGTCGTCCTTCTCCTCCTCCTCCTCCTCCTCGACGGCGCCCGCCGCGCCAACGACCCCGCCCTCGTTCCGCCGGCTGCTGGGCCGCGAGGAGCTCGACGACGCAGAGGGCGCCGAGCTGGCGCGGAGGATCAGGGAGGAGCTGCGGCGCGAGGAGGAGGGGGAGCGGGCGCGAGAGCGCGAGGGAGGGAGGGCGAAGCTGTAGCCGCTCGCCCGCCGCAAACGGACACGACGTCTCGACGAGTTCGAGCGTGAGAGAGAGGAGGCGGCTGTGGGGATTCGCTGCAGACTGTGCGTCCATTCGAGCCGCCGCTCGAGAAGCAGTGCTGGTGGAAAATCGAGCACGGCTGCGGGCGCTGCGGCTGTTGGCGCATCATGTTCCTGATACCTTCCTGCGTCGCCTGAATGTGCGCAAGCTGGACCAAGACGAGAGGAAAGCAGGCCGGCCGAGGTCTCAGTCGGATCCGTCGCCGCGAGGAGGACGAAGGCGCACCCTCTCGCGCCTCACCTCCCCACTTGCTGGACGAGCCCGCTTGCGCACCTGCTGCACCTCCCGAGCACCGACCCACTGCACCACCGCTACTGCGCCCGCCTCGCGAGCCCGCCGCCTCCTCGAGGGCCGCCGTCCGCCCTCTCTCTCTCACCCGTGGCCGCGCCATGCAGCACCACCTCGCGCTCGACGCGGCCAAGAGCGAGCCGACGTCGCCTGCGGCATCGAGCGCGGCGGGCAAGCAGGGCAAGAAATCGCAGCGCCCTTCGTGGTCGGTCCGTCCTGCCCCTCGTCCCTTCTCTCTCCTCGCTGGTTCGCGCGACACTGACCCCCGCGACGACAGTGCACCGAGTGTACGAGGCGCAAGATCCGCTGCGACCGTGTGGTCCCTGGCTGCAACCAGGTCCGCACCGCTCTCTCTCTCTCTCCCCCCTCGCACCTTAACGTGGGACTCACCCTCTCCCACGCGCTACAGTGCATCAAGCGCAACAAGGTCCACCTGTGCCGCCTCGACCAGGACGACAAGATCGGCTTCGGACCCGACGGCCCCGACCCGTCCCTCTCGTCGCTCCCGCACCCGCACCCGTACGCCTCGTCGGCGTCGCTCGAGCCCGCCGCGCCGCCCTCCGAGCCCCGGTTCGCGACCGCGCAAGAGTTCGAGGCCATCCAGCGCAACGTCAACGTCGTCCGACAGCGCTTGTTTCACCTCGAGCGCGTCGTCGCCGCCTTCGTGCCCCGCCCGGACGTGCTCGACCCGAGTGGGCAGCCGAGCTGGGCGGTCGACATGACGGCGCTGCACCAGCCGCATCACCATGGCGGCGCGGCGGCGTCGTCGTCGGCCTCGGGCGCCACCACCGCCGCCGCAGACGGCTACGCGCCCTCGTCGTCGTCCGCCGCCGCCGCCGCCGCCGCCGGCCCGGCGCCGCACGACATCTACGCGGCGCAGCACGACGCGTACCCGGCCTCGACGCACCACCACCCGCAGCACCACGTGGCGTACCCGCCGCCCCCCGTCGACGCGTACCCGTCCTCGGGACCGACAGCCTCGGGCAGCTCGCACGCCGGCCCTCCTCCTCCCCCTCCTCCTCGTTCCGCGCACCCCTACGCGCCTGCGCCTGCGCCCGGTCCCGCACCCGCTCCTGGGCCCTCGCCGTCCTACGCCCTCCCGCCGCGTCATCCGCCTCATCCGCAGGCGCAGGCGCAGGCGCCGTACGACGACGGGCAGCGGCACGAGCGCCGCGCGCTGTACCGCCGGCACTCGTCGAGCGGCGACGGCGACGGCGGCGACGGCGGCGGCGGCGGCGGCGGCGGCGTCACCGAGGAGGACGACGGCGAGGTCGAGGCGGCCGTCACGCTCGAGTACCTCGCGCTCGGGCGCGACGGCCAGTCGGCCCATGTGAGCCGCGCCGAGCTGAGGCGGCCGGGGGTCGAGGGCGAGGACGAGGGGGCTGGGGAGCTCGGGGGAGGGGCAGGAGGCGAGGCGGGCGGGCAGGCGGTGCACGCGGCGGCGATGGGCGGGCAGGGGGCGTCGATCGGGCCGCCGCAGGCGTCGTCGCTCGACGACCTCGAGCAGCTGCAGCAGCAGCACGCGCTCGCTCCCGGCGCCGCAGGTTCCGCGTCGGCGGTGCCGCCTCCCTCGCAGGCGAGCGTCCTCCCGCCGTCGCCGACGGCCGCCGCCATCCTCCAGTACTCGCTCGAGCGCGTCGGGTGGCAGCACGGCGCCGTCCACGCAGGCCAGTTCCTCGCCGAGTGCGCCGAGTTTGACTCGTGGGGCGCCCACCGCGCCGACAAGGTCAACCAGGCGTGGCTCGCGCTGTACTTTGCCGTCCTGTGCGTCGGCGTCAAGCACATGGCGCCCGACGACGCGCGCGCGTGCGGCCTCACTGCCGACGACGTGCGCGTCCTGCCCAAGCTGTGGTTCGACGCCTCGGTCGACGCGCTCCACCGCGGCCAGTTCCTCGCGCAGCACAGCGTGTTTGCCGTCCAGACGATCGTCATCCTCGTCATCTCGTGCCAGGACGTCGGCGGGTCGGACCTGATTGCGACGCTCCTCGCGTGCGGGATTCGCATCGCGCAGCACTTGCACCTGTCGCGGTTCGGGCCCGACGACGAGTGGGACCGCAAGAGGCGGGCGGCCGGCGTCGACCCCAAGAGCGACGAGGGCGTCAAGGGCTTGGTCCAGCGCGAGGTCGGCAAGAGGCTGTGGTACGCGCTCGCGACAGAGGTACGTTCCCGTCTCTCTGCCCCTCTCTCTCTCTTTCCCCATCTCTCTCCCCATCTTTCTCGCTATCTCCCGCTCCCTCGCTCCCTCTCCCGCTCCCCCTCCCTCTCTCCCTCTCCCTCTCTCCCTCCCTCCCACTCTCTCCCTCTCTCCCATTCACTCCTCGGCGACGACGACTGACCCTTTCGCGATCACGCAGGACTGGCTCAGCGTCCCCTTTCGGCGGTCGTACAGCATCTCGCCGTCGCACTTTACCACGCCGCTCCCGCTCAACTGCCACGACGAGGACCTGTCGTCGGGCAACGCCGTCAACCGCCCGCAGGACGAGGCGACGTGCGTCAGCAAGGTCCTCGTCGCGCACAAGGTCGCGTCGTGCATCCGCCGCTTCTTCGACGACGTCAACTCGGCCGCGACCGCGAGGCCCGACCGCGCCAACGGCGCCGGCGCCGGCGACCACCTGTCGTACGACCTGCTCCTCGACGTCGACCGCGAGATCCGCGACATCATCGAGACGGGCCCGGCCTTCTTGCGCGCCGACGACAGGGCCATCGAGGCGCAGCCGCCGTGGGTCCGGTGGATGCTGCACTGGTGGATCATGAGCGTCTCGCGTCCGTCCCCTCTTTCTCCCCTCTCGTCTCCTTCCCTGACGAGCCCGAGCCTGACTTGCCTCGACCTCTCGCTCGCAGACAAGCTCTTGATGTGCCACCGCGTCTTCCTCGGGCGCTCGTTCCGCGACTCGAGGTACGCCTTCTCGCGCAAGGCGGCCATCGAGGCGGCGCGCTCGATCATCCAGGAGCTCGTCAAGGGCTCAAAGCTCCCGTTCCAGCACCTGTGGACCGTGAGTCGCCGCTCTCTCCCTCTCAGTCTCCCTCTCTCTCTCTCCTCGCAAGGTCCACGAGCTTACTCAGACGTGCGCCCGCCTCTACAGGTCCCGTACCACTCGATCTCGGCCGCCGTCGTCGTCATCCTCGACATCTTCCAGTCGTCGTCGGCCGACCCGGACCTCGTCCACAAGCGCCGCGAGGTCCAGTCGGTCCTCGACGAGCTGCGCGTCCTGTCGGACGAGGGCAACAGCCAGATCGCGTCGCGCGGGATCCAGCTCTTGACGACGCTCCTCGCCGAGGAGCAGCGCCACCGCCGGCCGCACAAGCGCAAGGCGGCCGAGCTCGGCAACAGCAACGGCAACAGCGGCGGCGGCGGCGGCGGGGCGCACGACCGCTCGAGCGCGAGCGCGAGCCCGGTCAAGCGCGTCGTGTCCATCTCGGACAGCCGCACGTCGCTCGGCGCGCCGTCGAGCCTCGGCGCCTTTGCGCCGCAGCATCACCCTCCTCATCATGCCCCTCCTCTTCCTCCTCAGCACGGGCAAGCGCCACCGCCGCCGCCGCCGCACTCGACCCTCTCGCCCTTTCCGTACTTCGCCGCAACGTCCTCGGCTCCGGCCTACCCTCACGGCGCGGCGCTGCACGGCGCCGCCTCGGCCTCGACGCACGACGCGACGTCGCCGCACTCGCACGTGTCGGACACGAGCCTGACGCAGGACGCGTTCGAGTCGCTCTTGAGCAACCTCGGCGGGTGGTCGGGCGGCGGTGGCGAGGCGGGCGGCGCGTTCGGGTCGGCGGTCGACGGGCCGTACGGCGGCGGGCCGGGAGCGGGTCCGCCTCATGGCGCGTACGGTCGAGGGGGAGGAGGAGGAGAAGCATTTTTCACCATGCTCGACGCCGGCTCGTTCCTCGGCGACGGCGCGAGCTACCACGGGCATCATGCGCCGACGCCGGGTGGGCAGGCGAGCACGCCCGGCCAGCCTCACTCGATGTGGTGATCCAGCTGCTCTTCCTCGTCCCCTCTCTCTCTCTCTTCCTCGCCCGAGCTTGTAGACGTCGACTAGAGAGTTTTGCAGTTGCACGTAGAGGTACACAACAAGCGGGCGCACGTGTCGATCGAGAGATCCTCGTCCCTCCCTTTTCCTCACTTCCTCGCCTTCTTCGCTCCTCCTGCCGCACCTCCTCCCGCCGCCGCACCCCGCTTGGCCGGCGCCGCCGCCTTGCCCGTCGAGCCTGCGCCCGTCGCGCTCTGCTTCGGCGGCGCGAGGACCGAGCGGTTCTTGAAGCCCTGCGAGGCGCACTCGGCTTCGAAGCGCTCGAGGAGCTTGCTGAAGTCGGCCGTGTCGCAGCAACCGTAAACGTCGTGCTGCGGAGCGAGAGAGAAAGGTCTCGGTGTCAGTGCCTGGACGACGTTGGCGGGGAGGAGAGCGGGCGAGGGAGGAGAGGAACGTGCGCGAGCCCACCTTGGACAGGCCGAGCGCCGTGATCCTCGGGCTCGAGACGCCGAACGCGAGGCGCGCGAGGAAGCGCGGGTCGTCGCGCACGCCGCACACGCCCATGACGAACGCGATCTGCTTGTCCGTGAAGGGCGCGTCGTAGCGCGGCTCGAACGGGATCTTGGCCTTGGTCGTGCAGAACTGCGGTTGCGAGGAGGGGCTCGAGGTGAGCGAGGTTCGAGAGGGACAAAGTCGAGCCGACGACGACGAGGCTCGCTCGGTCGCCATCAAGGGCGAGGAAGACGAGAAAGGGAGGACGCACCGAGCAGTTCCCGCACGTGCCGTTCGGGACCGAGGTCGGGTCGCCAAAGTACTCGGCGAGCTCCTGCGCGTAGCCTGCGTGTGACAGGGTCAGGATCTAGATACTCTGGAAGAGAGAGAACGAGAGAGGGAAGCTGAACGACGCACACTTGCCGCCGCGGACAAAATCAACGACGTTCCTCAGGCGCTTGACGTCGGCCTCCTCGCGGTCGTACAGCTGCTTGTACAGCTTGTCGGCGAGCTCGTCGATGTCCTCGTCGAGCTCGGGGAGCGTGCCCGTGACGTGGTACCGGTTGCGCACGCCGGCGACCTTGACCTCGCAGAGCCCGTGGAGCTCCCACCTCGAGATGCAGCGGACGAGGTCGGCACGCGGAATGTTGCTGTCCTCGGCGGCCGGGACGACGTCGACCGTGTGCCAGGTTGGGCCCTTCTTCCAGTGCGCGCGAATGGCGACGGCCTCGGGCGACTCGTCGTTCTCGACCTTGGTCTTGAAGGCCGACGGGTTGCTCGACGAGGGCTTGAGCTGGTACGACGAATAGAAGGGCGTCGTAGCTCTGTGTGGGTCGAGCGGGCGAGTCAGTGCGAGGGACCTTTTGACGGCGAGGGCGGGCTCGACGCACCGAAGGAGGCCCTGCTGCAGCTCGAGGAGCGCGTACAGGAGCGATAGCGTGTTCTTCTGCGCAAGGGAAGGCTCGTCAGGACCTCTGGCGAGAAAGAGAGAGAGGCGGGCGAGGATGACGAGGACGACGAGGATGTCGAGGAGAGAGGGCGAGAGGGAAGAGAGAGAGAGGACGCACGCCGATGTCGAACGTCTGACTCTGCTCGTACGGGTTGGCCGACATGGTGCCGTCGGCCTCGATCGTCGACAGGAAGACGACGTCGAGCCACTCCTTGACCGACTTGCGCGACGGCGTGTTGGCGCGCGCGAACGACTCGAGGATCGGCATGTCGGCCGAACTCGGGAGCATGAGGCACGTCGAGGGGAGGCCGTCGCGCCCGGCCCGGCCAACCTCCTGGCTGTAGTTCTCGAGCGTCTTTGGCATCGTAAAGTGGACGACTTGGCGGATGTTGGCCTTGTCGATGCCCATGCCGAACCTGTACAGGCCGAGGCGTCAGTGAGGTTCTCGAGGAGAGGAGGCAGAGAGTAGGAGAGGGAGAGGGAGGGGAAAGCAAGTTCTCGAGGAGGGAGAGCGGGACGCACGCGATGGTGGCGACGACGACGCCGCAGCCGCCGATGAACCAGTCCTGGACCTCCTTGCGCTTGTCGGCGGCCATGCCGGCGTGGTAGGACCTCGTGTCGATCTGGTACGACTCCTTGAGCTCCCTCGCGAGCTCGTCGGCCGTCTTCTGGACCGTGACGTAGACGATGGCGGCGCCCTTGCCGCGAGTGCGGAGGAACGGCGCGAGGACCGAGACCTTGGAGCGGTAGTTGGCGCACGGCTTGATGAGGAGCGACAGGCTGCGAGGGTGAGGCCAAGAGGGGGTCAGTTTTGAGGCTCGCGCTCAGGCCGCAGAGGAGAGGGGAAAGAGGACGCACTTGGGTCGGTAGGCGCCCGTCGAGAAGACGCCGTGCTCGAGGTCGATGTCGAAGCCGTCGTCGGCGTCGCAGATCTCCTTGACGACCGTGGGCGTCGCCGTCGCCGTAAGGCACAGGACGCGCTCTGCAGCAATCTCGACGGCGAACCTCGCGACCTTGAGGTACTCGGCTCGGAATGAAGGCCCCCACTGACTGACGCAATGAGACTCGCTGCAAGGTAGACCGTCAGTCGATGCGTCGTTGTGAGAGAAAACGAGAGAGGGGACGTACTCGACGGCGAGCAGGGCAACCTTTTGCTCAGAGATCATGGACACGAACAGCTCGTTGTTGAGGCGCTCGGGCGCGACGTAGAGGATCTTGAGCTTGCCCTCGCGCAGGTCGCGCTTGACGGCCATGCTCTCCTCCATCGACAGGCTCGAGTCCATCGAGGCGGCGGCGACGCCTTTGGCGCGCAGGACGTCGACCTGGTCCTTCATGAGGGCGATCAACGGCGACACGACCAGGGTGAGTCCGTCGAGGCACTGTGAACAGGCTGGGTTAGCTTTGCGTGCGCTGCGAGTCGCACAGAGAGACGCTCGAGGGAAAGGGGGGGAGACGCACCAGCGCCGGAACCTGGAAGCACAGCGACTTGCCGCCGCCGGTGGGCATGAGGCACAGGGCGTTCTTCTTGTCGACGAGGAGCCGCTCGATGACCTGCACAGGGAGGGAGGGTTCAGCTTTACTCGACCTGGCGGCGGCCCCACCTGCTGGCTGGACGAGGAGGGGGGAGGGGAGCGGCTCACCTTGGCCTGGACGCCGCGGAAGCTCGAGAAGCCGAACGTGGTCTTAAGGACCTTTTGCGCGTCCTCCATGCTCGTCTCGTGCCGTTGGCGATTGGTGCTGAGCGACAGGTGCGACGCGTTGATGAGGGCTCTCGTGCTGGACGGGCGCGGCGGGCGTGCGTCGGTGCGGTGAACGACGAGAAGACTCTGCTGAGCAGGCGGGCAGCGCAGCCGATGCTCTCTGCCGTGTGGGGAGCGAGAGCTCAAAGTCGACGCAGTCGCCGCTCGCGACCTGGAGCGCGACCAACTCTCGGCAGCTCGTCCTCGCCAACGGCTGGCTCTGGGTGCTTCCTTCGCTCAGGCAGGGCAAAAAGGAGTCCCACCTACAGGTTCGGCGCGCGAGAGGCTCGTCACGAGGTGGGGAAGCCTTCCTTGTCCTCGTCTTCCAGACCGGCAAAAGGTAATCTGCACCTTGCGGTACAGCTACTTGCTCAGTGGCGGGATCGAACCGCCGACATTGGACTTGTTACGCGACAGGTATTAGGTCCACATCATAACCAACTAGATCAACCGAGCTGTTGTTGAAGAGCGAGCGCTGTTTTGCACTATGCATATAGCTACGCTTTGCACTGCTCACTTTTCTGGTCCCGCCGACGAGCCAGGCACTCTCTGACGCTGCGTCGAGTTGCACAGCAAGTAGCGAAAGGAAAACGGGGCGAGGAACACGAAGATGTGAGGTCGAGAAGGTCGAGAGGAGGCTCGTGCGTCGGATCGGCGCAGCCCTACTGTTCCTCGTCTCGTTCTCTCGTTGGCGGTGTCTCGGTCGGAGGTACCGGACCATGACGCTTCGTCGAGCCGTACAGCAGCTCGCCGCGGCAGACAAGGCGAACAAAGCCAGCGAGGGGTTTGAGAAGGTCAACGACGAGGCTCGAGGGAGTCGCCGAAGCGTTTACGATCTTGTTCTCTCGCTCCCGGTATCTCGCTCTCGCGCACTCGGCCCGCACGCTCAGGCAAGTACGACTTGGATATTGACAGTGCGAAGGGCCAGGGCGGCAAAATGTGAGAAGGAGAGAGACCTCGACCGACTCGCTCCCGCTCGCCCTCGGCTCGACATCGTTCAGATCGCGCCCGTCTTCTGCATGAACGCGATCTCGTCGGGCAGCGACTCGGCGAGCGTCGGCGCGTCCTGGACCTTCCACCCAAACTCGCGCAGGAGCTCGGCCGTTGCGCGACTCTGGGTGCCCGTCTCGGTGTCGGTCGAGCCCTTGGGGTCGATGACCGGGTCGCCCGAGATGAGCTTGCGCTGCTTGAGCTCGCGGTCGACGACGTCGGCAATGTCGCCCCACCGGTGGACGCCCGTCTCGGCAAACACGTACAGCGGCGCGGTCGACGACTCCTTCTCGAGGTGCGCGAGGAGCGCCAGGTACCCGGTGACGAGGTTCTTGATCTGCGCGACGGAGTAGCGTGTCAGTGTGTGTGTCGAGAGGACGACAGAGGGCGCCAGACTCAACGTGTACGTTGTTCCAGGTCGCGTCGGGCCCGCTGCGTGGACGAGGAGAACTCGAGGTCAGCGCGCGCTCACAGGTTTGCCCGCCTCTTCAGGATCGACCTCGGCAACGTCCGACGACTCGATAGGCTCCACGAGAGGCAGGACGCACTGGCTGATGAGGTGGCCCTCCTTGATGGCCTCCTTGATCCACAGCGGGCACTGGATCGAGATCTTGTTGAACGGGCTGCAAGGAATAGACCTGTCAGGGAAGGTCGCCCAGACGCAAAGAGGACCGCGACGCACCCAGTACCGATGCCGTAGATGCAGGGAGGAAGAATCTGCGCGAGAAGCGGGCGAGGGTCAGTACGGGCGCGGCTGGGTACCAGGGGCGACGAGGGGACGCACAATCGAGATCTTGGCGTTGAGCTTCTTGCTCTCGACGGCTGCCTTGATGGCGAGGTCGATCTCGCGGTGCGGTGCGTGGTCGGGAATCTCCTTGTCGAGCGTGTCCGGGTCCTTGTCGGTAAAGACGACGTCGGTCGAGCGCTGCGGGACGGTGAGCACGCCCGTTCCCGACGTGTGAATGTACACGGCTGGCGGCTTCGACGACGAGCGCGAGGCGAGGCCCTTGAGGATGCTCTTGACCGACGGGAGGTCGTCGGCCGTCGCGATGTGCATGATGATCTGTGGGGTCACACGCGGGTCAGCTGTGGGGTGCGCCGTAGGAAGGGCACAGGAGGAGGAGGAGGTGTAGCAGGAGGAGGGGAGGGGGAGGAGGAGGAGGGGGAGGAGGAGCTCACGTCCGCCTCGGCCGCCTCCTTGGCGATGAGCTCGTCGCTCGCGAGCTCACCCTGGACGGGGCGCACACCGAGCTCCTTGAGCTTGTCGGCCTTCTTGGGGTCGCGACACAAGGCGGCGATGTTGTACTGGTCCTTCTTCTCGAGGAGCGCGGCGAGGACAGAGCCGCCGATGAAACCGGTGCCGAGGAGGAACAGCTGAGCAGGCATGGCGTGCGTAGTGCTGGTGCGAGCGTGCGTGCAGGGAGCGAGCGAGAGGCGAGGAGGAGGAGCTCGAGAGCTTGTCCGAGCGATGATGCGCGCAAGTCGAATCGGCGTGCGGGGAAGCGAGCGCCGACCGCGCTCAAAGTTGACCGCAGCAGGCGCGAGCGCACGGACCTCGCGAGCGCAGCTGACGTGGCTCGGCTCGCTCAAACGCCAGGTCGATGCCAGGAAGCCGGCGCACAGTACGCACGCAGACGAGCGAACGGCAGGAAAGCCGAAGCCGGGGGAGCGATTCCCTGAGTCTGCGGCCGACGGCAGGCGGCGCAAGAGCCAGGCGCTGGCCGACTGGCGCTTTCGTCGACGGAGCCCGCTTAAGCTTGCTCGGCAACGGTGCCGCCACATCCGCGACACGACAAAGAGGCGCCACGGACCACCCATCATTCCGCCCGCTCGCCCCTGCGGACCGGCGCAGAGATCGTCAACCATCCGGCCGGACTTTTGTGCACGCTCGCTGTACACCGCTGTGGCTTTGCATGCGGCTCGATGGCGGGCAGTGACTGCGAAGGGGCGAAAGCGCCTCATTGTGCCGCGAGCGCCAGGGCCGTCCGACTTGAGAAGGTCGAGAGCGGGGCCTGAGCGGCGGCCGAGCAGACTCGCGCACCTGACCCCTCGCACGTTGCACGCGTTCGATCGCGCAGGAGAAATGGCACGCAAAGTCAAACTTAGCCCGCCGCACGCGGTGGGGGCGCGCAGGACGAGAGGCGAAGCGATCGGCTCTCGAGAGGTCCAGGTGCGGCCGCGTCGTCTCATGGGTGCAGGCGCTCGGTACGAGCAAGTCGACAGCGCAACGACGAGCCTGGTGAGAACACGCTCGAGCGACGTTCCCAGCTGGAGCGAGCAAGCCGAGAGCGAGCCCACAAGCGGCACTGCGGATGCCGCCGCTCGAGCCGGTCCGGCGGGTTCGAGCCCGCTTCAAACCCTCGCGGCCTCCACCGCGCTATTCTTGTGCGGCTCGCTGCACAGCTCCCGCCGCGTTTCCCGTGCGGCGGCGAGGCTCTCGCGACGCACACAAAGTGGGGCACCCGGAGAGATTGGCAGCAAACGAGGAGGACGACGTGGGACTCCAGCCTCGCTCTCTCCGCCCCTCCTCTTTCCCTCCACTCCACACCTTTCCCTCGCCCCCACCGCCCCTACGCACCCACTCGAACAACATGCAGGCTCAGCGTGGACACCTTGACCGCGCCAATGGCGACCTCGAAGTCGGTGTCGCCGACCTCCTCCAGCAGCGACCCGCCGCCCACCACAGCGCGCCGATCCCGGCTCCCCCGACCTGGCTCGTCAACTGGGAGCGCAAGCGCCCTGCGCTCCTCATGGAGTGCATCGCGGAGTGCATCGGCGTATTCTTCTGTGCGTCTCCCTCTCGCTTTCCTCCCCAACCTTCCCAACCTTGACCTCGCCTTTTCGCGCGACTTGTGGCCATTCGAACGACCAGAACTGACGGCGATACCCCCGCACAGACGTCTTCGCGGGCATTGGCGCGTCGGCGGCGTTCCTCGTCACGACCGCGGCGCAGGAGCCCGGCTACGGTTCCCTCCTCACGATCGCGTTCGCCTACGCCTTCGGCATCGCTTGTGAGCACTTTCTTTTGGGCCGCTACGGCACCGTGCACCAACTGACATGGTCTGCGCACCCACAGTCGCCATCATCGTCGCCGCGCCGACCTCGGGAGGCCACCTTTCGCCCTCCTTCAGTGCGTCGGCTCGTCCCGACGCTCTCGACGGCTCCTCGGACTCTCTGACACTCTCCCCGTGCAGCTGTGGCCTTCTGTGTGTTCAAGGGCTTCCCCATCAGGAAGGTGCCGTTCTACATCTTCTCGCAGCTCCTCGGCGGGTTCCTCGCAACCCTCGCCGTCTACGGCATCTACAACCAGCAGTTCAAGGAGGTCGTCGCCGCTCTCGAGGTCGTCAAGCCCGCCCAGATCTTCTCGCCGGCAGGCCCCGCCGGCATCCTCGCGCTGTTCCCGGGCGTCGGCCAGGAGCTGAGGTGGGCGTTCCTCAACGAGGTCATCGCCAACCTCTTCCTTTCGATCCTCGTCTTCTCGGTCCTCGACCTGTGCAAGTATGTGATACCCCTCTCTCACGCTCGCCACGCGAGGGTGCCCTCTCGGCGGCGCTCTTCCCCGACAATCGCTCACTCTCTTTCCCTCGCGCAGCTTCTTCGTCGCCCTCCCTTCCGCCCCGTGGACCATCGGCCTCGGCTACTTCGTCATCATTGCCGGGTTCGCTGTCAACTCGGTCTCGCTCAACGCCGCTCGCGACGTCGGTGGCCGGTTCGCGTGCGCCGCCATTTACGGCTCCAAGGTGCGCTCGAGCCGCCTCTCTCTCCTCGTTCGTGTTCTGCGACTCACTCTGTGCCTCCCCTCGCCCTAAAGTGCTTCACTGCGTCGTCGGGCTACACTGCGCTCGCCGCCTTGACTACGTTCCCCGTCACTGTGCGCCGCGACCTCCTCCTTCTCCTCGAGCCAGCGAAGCCGAAACCTGACTCGTTCCTCTTCCCGCAGCTCGTCGGCGCCCTCATCCACACCCTCTTCCTGTCGGACACGGCGCGCATGATCGTCAACGGGCCGCCGGCCATGGCCGACCAGATCTCGATTGCCAACGAGCAGCGCGGCTTCAGCTCGGCGACGCGCGCCCTCACTCGCGAGTCGGTCTGGCGCGACAACGGCTCGCCGACCAAGCAGTAAACGCGTCGTTCGTCGTCACCTCGTTACCCCTAGGCGTCGTCGAGGGCTCGACGGCGTCGCCAGGTCGCCTCCGAGGGCGTTGTCGAGTCGCTTTCAATCTTTTCGTCACCGGTCTCTGTCTCCTTCTCGGTCTTCTCGCAGTCTTTAGTACCCCCCTTGTCGTTCTTGTGCTGTCATCGAGCCCAATGCTGCCCGTCTCCCACGTCGCGAGAGCGACCGAGAGGAGCACAGCGAGACCGGCTCCGCGCGCCGTTGCGCTTCAGCAAGCCCTTTCTTTTGACGCTCGCTCGTTTCTCGGGTCCCAGGAGAGCTTGATACGCCTCACTGAGGAGAGAGCAGACTGCCTTGCGCCGCTGCGGCAACGACAGCCGAACCTGCGGGACCTTCTCAAGTCGAAGCTCCTCGCCCGCGCTCGCACCTCTCTTCCTCGCTTGAGCTCACGAGCTCAGATCCTCGGCCTGCGACCCGCGACTGCATCGTGCACCACGACTCGAGGCGTTTTCGAAAGACGCGAGCCCGCACAAGGCAAAGCCAGTGCACACACGATGCGAACGAGGCAGCGCTTGAGGAGGAGCAGCTCGTTGCTGCGGCGGCCGCGGACGTCCTCGACTGGCCAGACCGGCGCAGCCGAGACACGCCAGAGTTGGGCGGGCGACGCGCCTGCAAAGTGGGGCCCACGCGTCGGGAAGGACGACGGCGGGGTCGGCCTCGAATGACGCTCGTCGAGCGGGAGGGAGGCTCTCTCGTGACAACTTTGGGCGGGAACCGGCTTTCCCTCTCCTCTTTCCTCACTACAAGCACAAGCTCGCACCAAACTAGATCATGTGCGTCCGCGAGACAAGCTTCGAGCCGACGAGCTCGAGCCGCGCACTGACCTTCTCTCCTCTCTCTCCCTCGTGCCCCCGCCGCAGGTCGTACTCTCCCGCCGACCAGCACCACCAGTGGCAGCGCGACACTGGCGACGCTGCGCCCCTCGACTCGACGACCTCGCACACCCACCACCACGAGACTGGCGCCGCTGCGGCCGCCGTCACGCCCAAGGAGCACGTCGCGCCCCACCACGAGCCGGGCGCCGTCGCCGCCAAGGAGCCCGTCACGCCCGCCGCTGCTGAGCGGACGTCGTCGACGACCGCTGCCCCGTCGACGACGATTGACGCCCCGCCCGCCAACGCCGAGCGCACGGCGTCGCTGAACAAGGCCGACTCGCACCGCGACGCCTCGCCGGCACCGACCTCGACGACCGACGCCGCCGCGCCCGACGCGGCTGCGGCCAAGCCGGACGACGGTGAGTACCACGGCGAGCACGCGGGCAAGCTCGGGTACGGACCGCAGGCGCCGAGCGGCGGCGGGCTCCCGGACCGCTTGAAGGCCATGGAGGAGAAGATCAAGGGCAAGGTGCGTCGCCCTCCCCCCCCTCTCGCTCGTCGCAGCTCAGAAGAGCACGCACTGACTCGTCCTTGCGTCCCCCTCCCTCTCGAGCAGCTCACGCACAACCCGGAGCTGGTGCAGCAGGCGCACGAGCGCGACACGGGCGAGCTCGCCGAGAAGCGCCGCCAGTACGACGCGTCGCACGACGACGGCGCCTTCAACAAGCCGGCCGAGGACGACGAGCCCAAGCCGGCGGCTGCTGCGACCACCAAGGAGGGCAAGGCCGAGGACGTGCGCGAGAGCGGCCACGCGGCGTCGGCTGACGCGGCGACGGCTGGCACCAAGTCGGCCTGAGCGAGCGAGCGAGTTTGAAGCGCCCTCTCTCTCCAAGTACCGTACATACCGTCCATGCAATACCTCTTGAGTACCCGTCCCAGCCGAGCGAGAGCCTGCTGTGAGCGCGACAGCAAGAGGCGACTCGGAGCGAGCGAAAGCAGGAAACGTAGCAGAGACGACGCCACGGATGAGGCTCGCTCGAGGACAGAGAGGGTCCAGAGCAATGCGTGGTGGCAGCTGACCGGGCAGCAAGGTCGCCCGAGGGAGACGAGTCGTCGTCAGCGTGTGGTGGTCGAGGAGGAGACGGGGCGTCGTCAACCTCTCGCAACCACCGCACTCGACCTCGACAGACTCGCACAGAGCACTACTGCTGCCCACCAGACCGTCCACCTTTGCTCGACAGTCCCCCCTCGCCTCGTTCCGCCCAAGATGGTGCGTCCCTCTCCTCGTCACCATCTCTCGCTCGCCCTCACTGACCCGCTCGACCTCTGTGCGCGCTATGCACCCTCGCAGAGCATCATGGAGCTCAACGGCGTGCGTCCACTGCCCTCCCCCTCTTACCGACGAGCGTGCTGACCTCTCGCTCCTCCAGGGCTCTTGCATCGCCATGGTCGGCAAGGGCTGCGTCGCCATCGCGTGCGACCTGCGCCTCGGCAACCAGGCCCTCACCGTTGCGTGCAACTTTGAAAAGGTGCGCCCCTCGCTCTCTCTCGCTCTCTCCTCGCCTTCTCTCCCCCCCACCTCGCACTCACCACGGCCTCGCACCCACCAGGTCTTCCCGGCAACCGACCGCACCTACTTTGGCCTGCCCGGCCTCGCATCCGACACGATCACGGTGCGCGACAAGCTCCGGCAGCGCGTCAACCTGTATGGCATGAAGGAGGAGCGCACCATCGAACCCGAGACGTTCTGCCACCTCGTGTCGAGCACCCTGTACGAGCGCCGCTTTGGCCCGTACTTTGTCGAGCCTGTCGTCGCAGGTCCGTCCTCGCCCCCTCTCCTCGCCTCCTCTGGGCTGTGTGCGCGGCGCGAGGCGACGCTCACCTCGGCGGCTTGCGCGGCCCTCCTCTTACTCGCAGGCCTCAACAGCAAGGACGAGCCCTTCATCGCCGCGACCGACCTCATCGGCTGCATCAACTTTGCAAAGGTGCGTTCCCCCCCTTGTTCTCTGGCCCTTTCTCGCTCCCTCAGTCGCTGACCGTGTTCCCTCCTTGTCCCCCTCCCTCCTCCACCTCTCTCGCCTCGACCCACTTCTTCCCGCCTCGCCCTTCACAGGACTTTGTCGTGTCGGGCACGGCGTCCGAAAAGCTGTTCGGCATGGCCGAGTCGCTGTGGGAGCCCGACCTCGAGCCCGAGGACCTGTTCGAGACGGTGAGCCAGACGCTCCTCAACGCCGTCGACCGCGACGCCTACTCGGGATGGGGCGCCGTCGTGTGGATCATCGAAAAGGTGCGTCGCCGCTGTTCCTCTCTATCTGTCTCTCGGCGTCAGGGCGCACGAGCCGGCCCCGACTGACTCTGTCCCTCGTCGACCTCCTCGCAGGACAAGGTGACGAAGCGGTGGCTCAAGGCGCGCATGGACTGAGCGTCCCTCTGCGCCTGTGGTCTGCGTAGACCTGCGCATGCCCTGTATCATACCCTCTCCGAACGAGTGCCGCCGTGACGGTCGCGAGAGCCAGGAGGTTCCGGAAAGCGAGAGGTCCGAGAAGGCGCGCCCCGACTCCTGAACCTCGCCTGCCTGCTTGTTACAAGCTCTCGAGCGTGTCCTGTAACCCTGCGCTTCCTCTCTGTGCGAGACGAGCGAGCGACTTCCAGCGCCCCGCTCTGCCGCCGCCGGCTCGACATCCTCATCAACCAGTCGCCCTTGCTCGCCTCCCGCCGGCTAGAGCTCAAGGCCAAGCAGCAGGGTCTACTCGCCCCCACCAGTCATGGACCCTCGCCACCGCCTCGCCCTCACCGACACCTCGGACGACCGTCCCGGGCCCTGGCAGCCCGCGCCGAGCGTCGCCGCCAACAAGGTCGCGCGCTTCACCGGCACGACGCGCAAGTCCAAGTTTGAGCTCGAGCGCGAGGCCGAGCAACAGCGCGACAAGGCGGCGCGCGACGATGCCGCGAGGGCGTACGACGAGTTCGTCGAGGCCTTTGGCGGCGACGACGAGGTTGGGCCGAGCAGGGGCGGCGCGAGGGCGCGCGTGGGCGGTGCGGGAGCAGGGAGGAGCAAGGGCAAGGGCTTTGTGCGCGCGGGCGGCGTCGAGAAGTACGACCCGCTCGCCGGGCGACCGCCGCAGCCTGAGCAGGCGGCGCCGGCACCTGCGCCTGCCGCGCCGACCCCGAGCGCGTCGAGGGCGGCACTGCAGCCGCAGGCGGCGGCGTTTGTGCCCAAGAACCAGCCGAGGGCGACGGCGGCGTCGCTCATGGCCGACGAGGACGAGGTGCGCACTCGGTTTCTCTGTCCCTCGAGACCGTCTCTCGCCCCGCGTGAGCCTGACTCTGGCAAGGGACGCCTGCGCACAGTCGCAGGCTCAAGCACCTGTCGTATCGGTACGCAAGAAGCGCGCAGGCGACACGTTCCTCGAGCAGCTCAAGAGGTTCCTCCCCTTTCCCTCCTCGCTCGCCCTCGTCCTCGCGGCCTCGTCCGCCCCGAGACGGCGTCCTTCCTCGTCGTCCTCGAGTCGGTTGTTGACTTTACGTCGCCTCCCCTTTCATCCTCATCCTCGTTCGGCGCGTGCGGCGGTGGCAGAGACCAGGCGGCAAGGGAGGAGCGTCTCAAGCAGACGGCGGGACGAGGTGCGCCCCATTCCTTTCTTCCTCTTGCCCGAGCCTCTCGACCGACTCTCTCGTCACCCTGCAGTCGGCTCGTCTATCACGGCACTCGCAGGTGCGCCGAGCCTTCTCGTACCCTCCTTCGCCGACCTTTCTGACGTGCAGCTCCCTGCGCGCAGCTCGCGAGCACGCGCCCGTCCTGACGGGCTCGTACGACGTCGGCGACCCGCTCACGACCAACCTGCACGTCGGCGGCCTGCCGACCAACGTCACCGAGCAGTCGTTCGGCAAGCTGTTCGCCCAGTTCGGACCCGTCGGGAGCGTCAAGGTGCGCCCGCTCTCCTCGCCTTCTCTTCGTGACTGCCCTCGAGCCTCGCACTCACGCTCGAACTCTCCTGCAGATCATGTGGCCTCGTCTCGACTCGGGCCACCTCGCCGCGATGGGCGGCCGCAAGCTCGGCGGCTTTGTCGCCTTCCTCCGCCGACCCGACGCCGAGCGCGCCGCCAAGGAGATGGACGGCGCCGAGTGGGGCGACAACACGCTCAAGATTGGCTGGGGCAAGGCGGTCCCGATACCGGCCACGGCCATCTACGGTGCGTCGCGCCGTCCCCAGGGCCTTGCGAGATGCGGTTCGCCGAACGGAACTGACTCGCTCCGTCTTAACGGCCTCGCACGCACAGAGCCCGACTACGACGCCCGATCGTCGCACCGCGCCCGCTCGCGGTCCCTCAGCCCCGACCTCGACCCGCACGAGTTCCTGCGCGCCAAGGCCGCCGGGGGCCCGTCGTCGGCCTCGAAGCGCGCCCGCTCGCACTCTCGGTCGCCGCCTCGCACGCGTGCATGGCCGCAGCTCGAGGAGGGTGTCGACGAGCCGTTCCTCGTCGCCGTCGCCAAGCGCGTGCGTGACAACGGCCGGCAGTTCGAGGAGGTGCTCAAGGACAAGGAGCGGGACAATGCGCGGTTCGACTTCTTGCGGGACGACAAGGTGCGCCCTCTTTCTCTATCTCTCCTTGAGCTGTGTCGCCGTGTGGGACTGACGGTACTCTCCTTGCGAAACAGCTCCCGAGCTACCACTACTTCCGCATGCTCGTCGACCCGTCCTACGAGCCTCCTCTGGTGGCCAGCTTTGACGACGAGGTACCTCCTCCTCTCGCTTACTCTCGTTCCTCGTTCGTGCCCCTGACGCTCCTCCCCCTCCTCCAGGGCAAGGCGTCCATCTACTCGTCCGACTCGAGCGAGTACTCGGACGACGACCGGGTCGGCAAGGGCCACCTGAGCCCGCTCGCCGAGCGCCGCTTCACGAGCCTGCTGCGGGGCCTCACGAGCTCGAGGGACAAGATCGCGAGGGGCATGAGCTTTGCGCTCGAGCATGCCGACAGCGCCGATTACGTGCGTCGACCGTCTCGCCCATTCTCCACTCTCCCTCTCGGACGGCATTGATCTTGTCGTTGTGTCGACGCACAGATCGCCGACCTCCTCGTCTGCTCCCTCACGATCGACTCGACGCCCGTCCCGCGCAAACTCGCCCGGCTCCACCTCGTGTCCGACATCCTGCACAACAGCGCCGCGTCGGTCCCGAACGCGTGGACGTACCGGTCCATCTTTGAGCGCAAGCTCCCCGCCGTGTTCGACCACCTCGGCGATATCTACTTGAGCTTCCCTGGACGGCTCAAGGCCGAGCAGTTCCGCGGCCTGATCGAGAAGGTGCGCTCTCGGACCCTCTCTCTCTCTCGCCCCCTCTCTCTTTCTCTCCTGTCGCCCCGGCGCACTCACATCTCGCACCCTCTCGACGCAGGTCCTCGACGTGTGGGCCAACGACTGGATCGTGTTCGAGCCGTCCGTCATCGACGACTTCAAGCGCCGACTCGCCGGTCTCGACGTCCTCCCTCCCTCCTCTGCGCTCGAGCCGTCGACCGACAGCGCGCCCTCAGCAGACGTCGACATGCATGGCGAGTCGGCCGTCGCGCCCAGCCAGGCACCTGCCCAAGCACCGGTCGCGGCCGACGCCCTCGCCGAGCCGTCCTCGCGCGCTTTCAAGCCGAGCTTCAAGGCCGCCTCGTTCGCTCCTGCCGCGCCTGAGCCCGAATCTGAGGTCGACGCCGACGTCGACGGCGCGCCTGTCGAGCTCGGTGGCGGCGGCGGCGAGGACGACGTTGATGGCGCGCCGGTCGAGCTCGAGCTGGACGGCGCGCCGCTCGATCTTGACGGCGACGAGGTCGACGGGGCGCCTATCGCGCTCGATGACGACGTCGATGGTGCGCCTGTCGCGGCGGCAGCAGAGGAGGACGTCGACGGCGCGCCGCTGCCGGTGGGGCGAGAGACCGAGACGGTCGTGCTCGACGGCGAGGGCGAAGAGGCGATGGACATGGGGAGCGAAGACGACATCTTTCAGTAGCAGTCACCGATCTTGCAAAGCGCATTCTCGAGCGCTTTCCTTCTCTCGTTGCACGGCGAGGCTTCTTGCAGAGTCGCTCTCCTCGAGCGCGACGAACGGCACAAAGCGCTTGCACGTCGAGCTACACAGCCTCGCGCATCCTGTCCCTCACGTCGAGCAGGCCCCTGAGCGAGTCGGCAAAGTCGCGCAAGGCGGCCCCGCCCGCCGTCTCCCCCTCGCCCTCCTCCCCCTCGCCGCCGCTCGCGCCTCCCTCGCCGTCGAGCAGCCTCAGCAAGCTCCCGTCGCCGTCCTCGGCGTCCTCGACCTCCTCGCCGAGCAGTCCACGCGCAGCGACGTCGCGCAGGGCGTCGCGCGTGCGCCTCTGGGCCTCGCGCAGGACGTCGGCCTGGAGGGCAAAGGCCGGGTCGAGGAGCGACGAGCGCTCGTTGCCGGGCCCATCGACGCGGACGCGCTTGGCCGAGCGGTACGACGCGCCGAGGCGCGCGAGGGCGTCGACGTCCCACTCCTTGACCATGACCGGGTGCTCCTCCTCTTCGTCCTTGCGCTCCTCGTCGCTCGCGCCGCTCCCTCCCTCGCCGCTCTCGCCCTCGCCGCTCCCACCTTCATCGTCCTCGTCCTCCTCCTCCTCCTCCTCCTCCTCATCATCATCGTCGTCATCGTCGTCGCCAAAGTCGGCGCCGTCAGTCGGCCGGCCGCGCTTCCTCGTCCTGCGCTGCGAGACGAGCACCTCGCGGCGGACGCGGCCGAGCGGGAGCTCGCGCGCCTCGTCGGCCGCGCCGAGGATGGCGAGCGCGCGCTGTGCGCGCATGCGCAACCAGCGCGGGTTGGGCACGGTGCGCACGAGCGGGAGGGCCGAGGGCGGTGGGTGGAGGAAGGTTTCTGGGGCGACGAGGTGGAACGACGACGAGGTGAGGAGGGCGTGCAGGGCGGTCGACAGGTCGTGAGAGGCGGGAGGGGAGAGGGAGGCGATCGGGGCGGCGTCGTTGAGGGCCGGGTCGAGGTCGGTGACGCTCATGGCGCGCAGGGGCGAGTCGAGGATGGGCGCGAGCTGCTCGGGGAGCGCGAGGAGGTACTCGAGCATGACTGCAGGCAGGGGTACGGTCTGTCAGCGAGCTGTGCGGGGGCAGAAGGAGAGAGACAGTTGGTGCTCACCGGGGTCGACCTTGAGGAAGATGCGCTGCATCGACGCCGGCTGGGTGAGGACGAACAGGTGCAGGGCGAGGAAGGCGGCGGCTTGACGGAGCGGCGCCACGGTCGGGTTGAGGTGCTCTGTGGGTCATGGATGGGTCAGAACAAGACCACCGACTGCACCAGTACCCCTTTGCCGTCGTGCGGTAGAGGAGACGCCGGGACGAGCGAGAGGACGAGAACGACTCACCGAGAAACGCGCGCACGACCGAGTCTCCCCAAGGCCCCCTCATGGTGCCGTTCTGGGGCACGCCGAGCAAGTGAACCCACTTCCACCCCATGCCCTCCCACAGGCGGCGCATGACCTCGTACGGGCTGTACCTCGGCGCGGCCGGGTAGCCCTCGGCGAACGCGCCGAGGAGCGCGTCGACGTCGGCGCGCAGGGGCGGGATCCACGCGTCCGAGAGGAAGAAGAGCGGGTTCGAGAGGCAGTAGCCCGGCTGGTTGCTCGCGCCGAGCGGGAGCGACGCGCTGCCGGGGAGGGACAAGGGCGCGAAAGGTGTGGGGACGCGTGGGTCGGGCGTAGCTGGCGTGGAGGGTGCTGTCGCTGTCGATGCAGTCCTGGCCGAGCGCGCCCGTGGCGGCATGAGCGGAGAGAGTGAGGGGAACGAGGTCAACCGACGACGAGACTGATGAAGTCGAGTCTCTCCCGCCGACCTCTCTCTGCTCGCTCGAGATGGCTGGTGTGCTCGCTAAACAGGCTCATGACTCTCTCTCAGATCCAGACACGAGCGCGCGAAAGGTATCTGCAGCGAGCGACCCTCCCCTCGACACGCTCTACTCGAGCAGCACCGCCCTGTGCCCCTGCTTGCCCGCCTTGAGCACGACGAGCCGCCCATCGAGCAAGTCCTCGTCGCGCAGCACGACGTTGGCCGTCTTGGTCGGGACCCGCACGCCGTTGACCTGCAGCCCGCCCGACTGGACCGCCTGGCGCGCTTTCGCTGCTCGGTGACGATGCGTCAGTGCGGCTCGAGGAAGGGAGAGAGAGAGAGGCTGGACGCACTCTTGGACGGCAGGAGCCCACTCGCGAGCACGACCTTTTCGAGCTGCTGCCCGACGTAGGCGGCCCTCGGCAGCCTCGTCAAGAGGGACGGGATGGGCACGAGCGCCGTCGACGAGCCGTCGAGCGCACTGATGACGTCGGCCGTCACGCTCGACGACGACAGGGTCGCGCCGTAAAAGACGTCGGTCGCGGCGAGCGCTTGGCGCAGACCCTCGGCTGCGGGCGACGAGGTGAGCTCTGGGTCCGCGAAGGAGAGGGAGAGGGGCGAGCGCAGGACGCACGGCCGTGGATTAGCTCGGTCGCTTCAGAGGCGAGCACCTTTTGCGCGATGCGGTTCTTGGGGTTGGCCTGCAGGACGAGGCGTCGGTCAGGGACGTCGAGAAAGGCGAGGCGAGGGGGGCGAGGCGAGACGCGCCTTGTGGTCGTACATGATGCCCTCGATCTCGCCGATGCGCATAAAGGTAAAGATGCGCAAGTACTTGTCGACCTCGTCGTCGGTCGTGCGGAGGAAGAACTGCGTCGCGCAAGGAGCGTCAGGGGCCGGCTCGGGCGCTAAGAGGAGGGAGGGAGGGGGCGCACCTGGTACAGGTCAAACGGCGACGTCATGCTCGGGTCGAGCCACACGGCGTTGCCGGCGCTCTTGCCAAACTTGTCGCCCGCCGCCGTCGTCAACAGCGGGAACGTGAGCCCGAACGCCGGGTCGTCCCTCGCCTCGTCGCCGCTCGCGCCACCACTCGCGCCCTCGCCCGCCAACCCGGCCGCGTCGACAAAGTTGGCCCGGCGGATGAGGTCGACGCCGCTGACAATGTTGCCGAGCTGGTCCGAGCCGCCGAGCTGCATCGTGCACCCGAGGTCGCGGTGCAGCCGCAGAAAGTCGTGCGCCTGGAGGAGCTGGTACGAGAACTCGGTGAACGAGATGCCCGATGACGAGTCGAGGCGGGACTTGACGCTGCGGGCGTGTGAGTGAGAGGTCAGGCCTTCGTCGAGACGAGAAAGAGAGAGGGGCGGGGACGCACCTCTCGCGAGAGAGCATGGTCGACACGCGCGCCATCTTGCCCACCGTGCTCAAGAACTCGAGCAAGCTCATGTCGCCCGTCCAGTCCAAGTTATTGACGATCCGCACCGAGCCCTCGCTCTTCTCGTCCGCACCCTCGCCGCCGTCGCCGCCGAACCGTGGCCGGGTGCGCGACTGGGCAAACGCGACGCCGCGGTCGAGAAAGGCCGTGAGCTGCTTGGTGATGCCCTCGACGTTGGCGGCGAGCGTGTCGGGCGAAAGGGCGTTGCGCTCGGTCGAGCGGCCGGATGGGTCGCCGATGGCGCCGGTTGCGCCGCCAATCTGTCGCACGAGCGCGTCGAGGAGGAGGAGGGGGAGCGAGGTCAGTGTGAGTGTGACTCGAGGGCGAGAGGGGGACCGGCCGAGGGACGCACAAGAGCGACTGCGTTGTGACCCTGGAGGCGGAAGTGGAGCAGGCCGATGAGGGCGAGCAGGTTGCCGACATGGAGCGAGCGAGCCGACGGGTCGACGCCGAGGTAGACGGTCGTTGGCGACTCGACGTGCTGACGTGCGCGTTGGCTGTGGCGGTGTGAGAGAGGTCAGTCGACGCTCCTGTCGGGCAGAAAGAGAGACCTGGGCGCACCTGGTGAGCTCTGCGAGCATGCCCCTCTGCTCGAGTTCGTTGACGACGTTTCGCCGGCGCACGGTCGACGCGAACGAGCGGGTTGCGCGTGCTGGAGGTGCGGCAGCGGTGTAGGAGCGGATCAAGCCGCGCAGGGCATCCCTCGAGAGCATGGTCGTCGAGGACGAACACTCGGTGGAACGAGGAGGGAGATGAAGAAGTGGGCCGGCTCTCCTCCTCGTCTCGACCCTCCCGGCTACCTGCTGGCTGCTGCTCCACACTCGCCATCTACCGCCGAGTCTGCGCGCCGTTCTTCCGTCACAAGACCGCCCCGCCGAGGTCGAGCGGTGACCCGGCGTCGACCAACAAGCTTCCTCGCCCCGCACAACTCGCCAGCCAGCGCACCTGCCAGAGCCGTGTATGCCAGCCTAGCCCGCGCCAGGTACGCCCAGTCCGCCCGGCCAAGCAGCGCAACCGCAGCTGACCTCGTCGTCCCACAGTTTGCCTCGTTCCTCCTCGGCGTCGGGTCCCCCTCAGCATGACGACGCCCCGCACGCCCGCCAGACCTCGCGCCATCGACCTCTCCGCCAGGCTGTCCAAGACCGACAAGCCGACCGCGCCCTTCCTGTCCGTCTCGACCCACTCGCCCGCTCGGCCCCACCTCCTTTCGCCCGACGCCGCCCTCTCGCTCCACAAGACTGCGCCCGCGGTGTCAGCAGTACCAACGAGGCGGCAGAAGGTGTCGGGACCGGTGGATGAAGGGTGGACCTTGTCGGCCGACAACTGTGCGTCTCGCCGTCCTTCCTCGAGATCCTTCTCCCGCGTCTTCCTCACCTCTCGTCCCTCGCCAGGCATCGTCGCCGTACATGCGCCAACGCACGTCATCAAGCTGTCGCCGTACTGCAACTGGCTGCACCAGTTTGAGCACGCACGCTACCTCCATGCCGGCGTTCCTGTGCGCCGCGCACGCCCTCCTCGTCCTCATCGTCAGCCCAGGACAAGCCTCATTGGACGTTCTACGACGACGGCAAGGACGCGCCGGCCGGTGTCAGCTTCTTTGCCGAGCGAGGTCGAGGACTTGGGCGGCACCCGATGGGTACGTCTCTCTCTCTCTCTCTCTCTCTCTCTCTCTCTCTCTCTCTCTCTCTCTCTCTCTCTCTCTCTTTCTCGGCCTCGCCTAGACGGCGACCCTGTCTCGGACCCACCCCTCCTGCACGTACTGACGCACGTACCACCTGCAGACGAGATCGTCAAGGAGGGCCGACAGCTCGTCAAGGAGGTCGGCGCGCAGTGGCACCTGTGGGCGGCCGCGCACAAGTTCCAGGTCGACGAGGACCTCGCCGTCGAGTGGCGCAGGGCGTGGAGCACGGCCCTCCTCGAGGCGAGAAGCTGTCGCGCCGGCGAGCTCGGCCTACTTCGACGACCTGTGCGCCGTCCGAGATCACGTGCGGGCCATCCTCGTCGAGTACAAGAACCTGTTCCAGTCGTGGGCTCGCGACAAGGACGCTCGCAAGGACGTCGAGTCGTGCGCCGGCGCGCCGGGCTCGCCGTCCAAGACGCCGTCCAAGCGCGGCAAGGGCTGGAGCGCGTCGTCGCGCAGCCAGAAGGACGAGCTGCGCGAGCTGTCGGGCCGGTTCTGGGCGATCGTGGCCGAGGGAGGGCCCGGGTTCAGGTCGAGGGAGCTGCAGGGCGAGGTCGGGAGGAGGACGGCGAGGGCTCTTCTCGTGCGTCCGACTCTCGCTCGCCGCGTCGCATCCGCCTCCTCGACTGACATTTCCCCTTATCCGTGCGCAGGCATCGTGCGCCTACCTCGACCCTCTCGAGCCGACCCTCGATGCACCCGCCGTTGGCCACAAGCCGCTCCTGAGCCGCCTCCAAGACTGCGCTCTCGTCCCCTCTCGATCTCTCGCCGCCGCCAGCTCGCTCAAGGCGACATCGAGCATCGTCTCGACGGCGGCTGAGGTCGTCGTCACGACGTCGGCGGGCGAGGACGAGGACATGGGCGACGACTCGTTCAACGACCTCGACATCGAGTGGCCCGAGTTCCCGGACGACCTCACCCAGTCGGCGCTCACCTCCCTCGACAAGCTCTCGTCCTCCACCTCATCCCAGACCGCCGCGACCACCATTCTCCCCTCCTCCGTCCTGCCCGCCGCACCGCTCTCACCGTCGACCGCACCCGTCGTCGCCGTCGCCGTCCGCTCCAAGTACCGTGGTCGCCCGTTCGCCGAGCTCGCCGGCAAGTCGACCCTACGCTTCTGCTTCGACATGGCGCACCGCGACATGCTCGGCCTCAAGGCCGACTCGCTCGCACGGCGGCTTCACGGCGGTCACGCCGGCGCGAGCGGGATCCAGCCGAGCAAGATCGCGCCGCACATGGTCCGTCTCCCTCTTTCCTCCCCTCGTCCTGCTTCACGCCTCCCTCTCTCCTCTCTTCGTCCTTGCCACGAAGGGCCTTTGCGTGTCGGACGGCCCCATTGACACCCTCGACGGGCCCCTCGCAGCTCGACGTCCTCCAGGTCAGCAAGCGCTGCGCCGGCATCACCTCGTCTCGCCTGCGGGTCCGCCCTCGCACGCTCTTGGCTGACGCAGACGACCTCGAGGCCATCGGCTCGCCGACGAAGAGGGCGCGCCGAGCGTGACCTCGTCGACGAGGCGCCGTCGCAGTTCGACCTTCTCAACGCCGACGACCTTCTTCCTCTCGTTCGGCATCTGCCTCGACACCGCCCATCCTCTCGCACTATTCATCGTTGGACTCTAGGTGCGCCCGTCGTCGCCCTCTCGTCTGCAGTGCAGCAACGCGCACTGACTTTTTGCCCCGTTCCCCTCCTCTGTCCTCGGCGCCGCACAGACCCTCTCCTCGCGCCCTGTAGAGAGCCGCCTCGCCCCGAGCTCAGTAGACCTTAGCAATGCATACCCGTCCTCGTTACAGCAGAGGAGAGAGCCGAGAGCAGCCTGTTCGTCCTTCGCAAGCTGAGCCGGCTGCGCTTCACGCTCGCATCGACAAGCTCCATCACCTCGACTCGAGCACCGCCAGAGTCTGCCACCTGCGCAGCGAGCACCAGCAAACTCTGCTCTGTGCCCCGCACCTCGTCTCGCAAGCTCTTTTCGCCAGACGTCGTCCAGGCCGACCCCGGACTTCGCCGCTCGACGACAACGACCACATCGCGCCACCTCGAGGGATAGGCCCGTTCGCCGTGGAGATCTGCTTGTACGTCTCATCAACGCGGTCTGGCCAAGCAGCGCGTCCATCGGAGCCGCCCATCTCGCGTTCGCCCCATCGAGCTGACGTTCGTCCTCACACAGCAAACACCGCTCTCGGCCGCTCGAGCCAGTCGCCGCACCGCCTCACTCGGTCCAGACAGACCGTTGCCTGTACGCGCCGCCCATTGCGCGTCCCCTCCAGCTGCGGTCAAGTTGCCGCGGGACCTCCTCCTGAGTGAGTCGCCGTCCACTGTCTCCCTCATCTCGCACGCCGAGATCCGCGAGCCAGGTTGCGCGCAGGGGTACACACTGCATCAAACAGAGCTCACCTTTGTCCCCTTTGCTCACGCAGAGCCTTGATCACCCTCGACTCGGCCTCGTCCCTTGCCTCCCCCTCGCCGCCATGCCGACCACCGGCCACCATCACCCAGAGCCGCTCGAGATCCACCTCGAGTCGAACGACCTCGTTCTTCGCGGCTTCACCGGCGACGAGTTCGAGCCGGCGACCCTCAACGGCGAGCTCATCCTCAACCTGTCGCACGCGACCGACCTCAAGGAGGTGTCGTGAGTCCTCCCTCCTCCCTCGACCGAGCCTGAGCCTTGGGACGACGACAGAGCTGACTTCTCGAGCGCATGCAGGCTCGTCTTTACCGGCGCCGCCAAGGTGAGCTGGCGCGACTCGTCGACTCACCACCACGACCACCCGCTCTTCTTCCACGACTTCAACTTCCTCAACCCGTCGTCGCACACGAGCCGCGAGGACTCGAAGAAGGAGCACCACCACGTCCACACGCTCAAGGCCGGCCGTCACGTCTTTCCCTTTTCCCTCACCGTCCCCGGCTCGCTCCCGGCCAGCCTGCGCACCTACTCGGGCACGGGCATCATCGAGTACAAGCTCAAGGCGATCGCGCAACGCCCGGGCTTTACCGCCGCCGACTGGAAGGCGCGCAAGGTCGTCCGCATCTCGCGCAGCTTTGGCGCCGACGCCGTCGAGTTCAACCAGACGCTCGAGATCGGTCCGTCGACGCCTCTCTCTCTCTCTCTCGCAGCCTCGACGGTCACTCACGCTCGCCCCTGCTCGCAGAAAACACGTGGCCCGGCAAGGTCATGTACTCGTTCACCTTGCCGCACAAGGCGTACGCCGCGGGCGACACGATCCCGGTCGCCGTCAAGTTCTCGCCGCTCGCCAAGGGCATCCGCATCGTGTCGCTCATCACGACGATCCGCGAGCACACGACCGTGTACTCGAAGAGCTCGACCCACTCGGAGGCGCGCGACGCGACCGTCGTCAAGTACAACTTTAGCGAGGACGGCGCTCCCGGCGGGCCCTCGACGTCGGGCACGACGACGCCGGCGCCGCGCATCGAGTCGTCGGCGTCGCTCTCGTCGATGGGCGTCATGACGCCGACGACGCCTGGCTTCTCGACGCCCAACGTCTCGACGCCGTTCGGGAGCGGCGCGCGCACGCCCGCTCACGACTCGCCATCGGCGTCGGGCTTCCCGTTCGACCGCGCCGCGCGCAGCGGTCGTCGAGCCCGGTTCCAGCTCGGCGCCGAGGACGAGGACGAGGGCGACGACGTCGCGACGCCGCACCCGATGAACTCGGCGACGGCCGACGAGCCGCTCGTCGATGACGGGCAGGATACCGAGGTCGACGTCGTCGTCGACGTGCAGGTGCCCATCTGGACGGCGCCGTCGCACAGCGTGCACCCGATCTTTGTCAACCACAAGATCAAGTGGTCCGCCTTCATCAAGAACCCGGACGGCCACGTCTCGGAGCTGCGCTGCGCCCTCCCGATCCACATCCTCGCGTCGTGCCTCGTCGAGGAGGCTCGTCTCGCGTCGGCCGGGTCGCGCAACCTCCTGTTCGGCGCGTCGGGCGCGCTCGCCCACTCGGCCCTGCCGCAGGTCGACCTCCCGTCGTACCAGGACCACGTCATGGACCGCGTCGCCAACGCCGAGACGGCCGGCTACTTCTCGGCCTCGTCGGGCTTTGCGCCGACGCCGTGGAGCTCGCGCACGACGCCTGTCGGCACGCCGGGCATCTCGCCGCCGGCGTCTCGACCGCCGTCCCGCCCTGCGTCGCCCGACCGGCGCAACAGCCACCACGGCGGCTTTCACGGCCTCAGCACGTTCTCGGCCCTGTCGTCGCTCAGCAACAGCAACAACGCGTCGCGCCGCAGCTCGGGCGCCGCCACGCCCGCGACCGCCTCGCCGCCGCCCGAGCCCGCCGACGAGCACCCCGAGGACCACCGCAACTGGGTCGACTCGGAGCTCCTCAGCTCGCTCAACGTCAACAGCGGCGAGGGCAACTCGCCGGCGCACTCGACGCCGTCGTCGCGCCCGGGCAGTCGACCCTCGTCCCGCCCATCCTCTCGAGCCGGCTCGCGCGCCTCGAGTCCCGAACGGGGCGCGCGCTCCGACGCCGGCTCATCCTCGATCCCCATGTCGCCCATGACGCCCGGCACGCCGGCTGCTGCGCAGGACGAGCGCCCGTCCCTGTCGCGCTCGCACAACTCGAGCTTCTTCAACCTCCACTTCCCCAAGCCCTTGCGGCCCCTCACGGCGTTCTCGCGCAACAGCTCGTCGAGCAACCTGCGCGACGCGCTGCACCTGAACCACCACGGCGGCGGCGGCGGCGGCGGGAGCGCGGGCGGCGGGAGCGGGGCCGCACCCGACTCGCGGCGAGGGTCGACGCCGGGCAGCGAGCTCCCCTCGGGCGCGCCGTCGCCCTCGGCGCTGTCGAGCGCGCTCGCAGCGCACGCCGCACGAGCAGGGCCGTCCGGGCACGTGCCGCGACCGCCGCTGCAGATCGACACGCCGCCGCTGTCGAGCGTGACGCACACACACCCGCTCATGAGCAACTCGGCGGGCGCGTCACCCGTCTCGGCGTCGCCTGGCATGGCGAGCCCGGCCAACGCGGCGCAGCAGCAGTCGGCGCAGACGCAGAGCCCGCAGAACGGGTTCCGCCAGGTGTACGGCTCGCACGCGCCGCTCTTGTCGCCGTCGCTCGGGAGCGGCGGGCCCGGCTCGGCAGGGTCGCACCCGCCGACGCCGGGGGCGACGACGCCCGGGTCGCACGGCACGATGACGCCCGTCGACTTCCTGTCGCAGGTGCCGTCGTACGACGTGGCGGCGCGCGGCTTCCTCGGCGGCGGCATCACGCCCCTGTCGTTCAACCCGCCCGGGTACGACGACGCCATGTCGACGAGCTCGAGCGGCGGCGAGTCGTCGGCGCACGAGGGTGCGCCGGGACCAGGCGCCGCACGCGCGTCGGGCGCAGGACCGTCGCCGTTGCCGCCGAGCGAGGGCAGGTCGGCGGACTTTGCCTGAGCGCTGCGCCGAGGCGCTCGCTCACCCACCTTACATAGACTTCGCTTCTCGTTACCACCCATAGACGGCTCGACCCCCCCTCCCTGTACTTATCCGCTGCGATGCGACGGACCCTCCCCCTCTCTCCTCTCCTCGTCATCGACGTCCTCCCACTTTGCATCCCCTCTCATAGATCCGGTCTCGCTATTGCCTCGCCAGTAATCTCAGCGCTCCCTTTGCATCACAGTGGCCGAGTCGACGAGCAGCTCTGCGCACTGAGAGAGAGCTTTTGACTCCGCGGCCGCCGAGCGAGAGAGTCGCTCTCGCCTTCCCACCTCGCTCTCACCGCTCAAGATGGCCTCTCCGTTCCCCAAGGCGCCTGCAGAGTCGTCCACCCGGCGCATCAAGGCCGGCATCGAGCTCAAGGACTTCCGCGACGAGCAGGGAATCACGTCCGCCCGTCCTCATCTCCTCGTCCCGCTTGTCCGAGCCGGCTGACCTCGTTGCCCGCACAGCCTGCCGAGCAAGGATGCGTCCAACACGCTCATCACGAGTGCGCTCCCCTACGTCAACAACGCGCCGCATCTCGGTGAGCTCCTCCTCCCCTTCTCCTCCTCCTCCTCTCGCCCACCCTCCCCGCCTGGCCGTCCAGACCGCCCTGCCCTGCGTTCGCTCGAGCGAGAGCTGACTGGACCTCTCACAGGCAACATCATCGGCTCGACCCTGTCGGCCGACGTCTTTGCGCGCTACTCGCGCCAGCGCAACCAGCGCACGCTCTACGTCCGTCGACCACTCGTCCTCTTTGCGCTCGGCCGACGACCATACACTGAGTCCCCCTCGCGCACACACACACAGATCTGCGGCACTGACGAGTACGGCACGACGACCGAGGTCATGGCGGCCAAGGAGGGCGTGAGCCCGCAGGAGCTTTGCGACAAGTGTGCGTCCCTCGTCGTCAGCAGTCGAGCGCTCGGGACCTGACCCGCTCTCCTCGCGCAGACCACAAGATCCACGCCGACTCGTACGAGTGGTTCGAGATCGGCTTTGACCACTTTGGCCGCACCTCGACGCCCAAGCAGACCGAGTGCGTCCATCTCTCTCCCTCCCTCTCTCGCTCGAGCCAGCAGAGCTGACCTCGACCCACGTGTACAGGATCTGCCAGGACATCTTCCTCAAGCTGTACAACAACGGCTGGCTCGAGGAGCACGAGAACCAGCAGCTGTACTGCGAGAAGGACAAGCGCTTCCTCGCTGACCGATACGTCGAGGGTACGTGCCCCAAGTGCCACTACGACGTGCGTCCCCCCCTCCCCTCCTTTCTCTCTCGACCCTGCCTCGACCCGTCACTGACTCGCTCTGTCGACAGGGCGCACGCGGCGACCAGTGCGAGTACTGCAGCGTCACGTACGAGTCGCCGCTCGAGCTCGTCAACCCGCGCTGCTCGGCGTGCGGCGCCCGACCCGACGCGCGCACGACGGCGCACCTGCACCTCAAGCTCGCCGAGCTGCAGCCCCAGATCGAGGCCTTTGTCCAGCGCGCGTCGAGCGAGGGCACGTGGTCGGCCAACGGCAAGGCGTTCACCGACGGCTGGCTCCGCGGCGGGCTCCAGAGCCGCGGCATGACGAGGGACCTCGAGTGGGGCGTGCGGTTGCCCAAGGAGCTCGGCGCCAAGTGGGAGAACAAGGTCATGTACGTGTGGGTGAGTCGCGGCCGTTCTTCTACCTCCTCCCCCTTGCCGCGCACGTCCTCGTACTGACACCTCGCACCCACTCTCGCAGTTTGACGCGCCGATAGGCTACCCGTCGATCACGGCCAACTACACGGACGAGTGGAAGCAGTGGTGGCGCGACCCGGAGCACGTCAAGCTGTACCAGTTCATGGGCAAGGTGCGTCCTCTCGTTCTCTCTCTCTCTCTCTCTTGGCCTCTCTCGTCGAGCATCTCGACTGACTCGTGGATGTGTGCGCAGGACAACGGTGCGGCCCGACCGCTCGACTCGACCTTGCTCAAGGTCCTCGCACTGACCCTCCCTTCCCTCACCCGCAGTTCCCTTCCACACGGTGCTCTTCCCTGGTTACCTTCTCGGCTCGGGCGACAACTGGACGATGCTCAACTCGATCTCGACGACCGGTGCGTCGCCGCCTCCTCTCCCGTCCCCCCCCCCCCCTCTTCTAAAATCCGCATCGACCACTTGGATCACCCGCTGGCCCTGTTGTCCTCGAGGAATGGGCGTTGAGCTCGCCGGGTCTCCCCCTCCATCCCCACGACAAGTAGGA